CTTGGATCTTCACATCATAGATTTTAAAAGGTTTTTTTAACATTTAAAAAATCACTGTGGAAGGTATTATTTTCTCTCTGCTGCCATCTCTTGGCATCGCTGAGCAGTCCAACTCTAGCTCTGAGGGTGATGATGATCCACAATACCCATGGCTGTAGCTTACAATATTACCCTCATTGAACCTATTGCTTCTTACCACTGATAAAAGATAGTGAAAGTCCTTTAAAAACCTCTTAGGTGAGGAACGTTGGTGGAAATTAAACTAGTTTATAAGTACAGTAGTTTAAATCTATTTGTGTTCATTTTATTATCTCCTGTTTCTTTGTGCATCACAAAGCTCCATGGCTTGTGGATCTTTCACAATTGTATGCTGGTTGGGAATAGTCAGACAATTACATTTCTAGCATAACATGCTCACAACATTGCTAAGTGCCTTTTTTTAAAATGTCATATGAATGTCTGAAAAATGCAGAAACCAATCACTATGCTTAAGAGTATCCAAATCAAACAGATGGTACCTGTTTATTCCATACATCCCACCTATATATTGAAATTCCAGAAATGTTTATTGGAATAGAATGTGTACCCCTCCCTGGAGGGACGTAACCTGCTTACTGAATTCTGGAAAGTATTAGGCGCAGGCTGGCAAGAACCAAGACTTGGTGACTCCCAAGTATGAGTTGGGGTACTACTGGAATCCAACCATCTAAAACTATATAGCTTGCCATTGAAAATTGGAGTGCACATTCCATTCCAACAATCTATCTCTGGGATTTCCACGTGTAGGTGGGATGCACGGAAATCTCAGCTTGGTTTGGATACTCTTAAGCATGGTGATGAGTTTCCTCATGTGTCAGACAGCTGACTGACAACAAAAACAAAACAATTGACCATTTGACATCCTACAAGCTTGGATTTGAGCCCTCACTAGGTGGAGAGAAGGTATCAGGAACTCCCTTCGAGTTTCTTGGTGAGCAACACAGCCCACAGCTTGAACACAAATCCCTTTCCTTCAGAAATGTCTGCTCTAATCATCATTGTCTAAATCGTTTTAGATCAGTCGCTTGCCTCTCCCAATTGCATTCAAATAGCAAACAAAAACGTGTATTTTCACTATTGAGGACGCATGACTTAATTTGGAGAAACAGGTTGTAAAGAAAACAAAAATAAAATCTCCAAAGAGAGGCAAATGAAAGTAATCTTAATCCTAAATAACAAGGTAAAAGTGCTTTTCAAATTAAACATCTATCAGTGTTGCTAAATGAACTGTTTCAACCCGACATATTAAATGACATTGCTGGCAGTTCACAGCTGCTACTGTATCGATGCTGTACATTTCCTGATGACAAGTCAGATACAAGTGAAATTTCTGCTTTTAGAGAATCCAGTTATCTAATGAAATGTGTAATTCTCCAGACGCGTTCTTGGCTTGCAGAACATTTTCTGTTGCAATCTTTTATCTTCTCCATTAAGTTACTATCATACTGAAAAATGTTTGTTTTTGGACAAATTCAAGATAAATATTCTTCCCTTACCCTTCTTCCGAGAATAGTCAGACACGATAGTGTCAGTAAGTTTCTGATACCTTGTCTACGTCATCTTCAGCAGTGAATGTTGGGACGCAATACAGGGAGCCCAGTACTGTTCTCACTTCATACTCACAAGAACATGTCCACCAGGAGTTATTGGATAACAAGCAGGAGTGGAAATCTTTGGCATATTTACTTATCTGAACCTGTGAAACTTCAGTCCTATAAGGCTCAGTACAATTTACTCCCTATGCCATTTGGAAAGTTGTATTCCAGATTCCACTTTATATGGTAGTGAACTAAATATTACCCAATATTTACTGCATTTAAGGGCACCATAACCAATCACTAGGCTGCAGTTCTCTGAAATCAATACTATATCCTTGTATCACCTGCAAGTGTTTGTTTGGGGGCTTTTAAATCAGAAAGCAAAAGCACTCCAACTTGTTCCCTCCCAACTCATGTTTAAAGCCTCTAATAAGATGTACTTCTTTGACTATGCTTTTGGTCATCTTTCCCCTTCCAACCCTCTTCGGGGCCCCATCTCCCAGCCAGCACTGTTAAACATTGAGACCTCCTCGCAACATGAAAGGCGCTATACACTATATAAATGTAAATTCTATTGTATTGTAAATTTTACCCACTGCTTTTCTTAACCTTTGTTGTTTCACTAGTCAAATTAGAGAACATTTTCAGAGGTGTATTTTCCAAATGTGTTATTGTGTCAATGTGAAATGTTATTTACAGCAGAAAGGAAGCCAGACAACACTGCATGTTCACAGAATTTTCTAAATAAATAGTTTTTGAAAAGAAAAAATGAATCAAGGGACAGATAAAAGATATTGGTTCTAAAGAGGTGCAAAATATCCCCTTTCCAAATGTTTCACAAATTGAATGGCAGATTAATTGTTCATTTGGATAAATTATTGCCCTGTTTGGAAGCACTGGCTTACACCCAAGTTGCGCAGCTGTGTGTCCTAAATTTAGACCAGTAATTGACACCTATGCAATCCAGGCACACATTCAACAGTATAAATTAAAAGATATACCATCCAGCTGTGGACCAGGATGCAGGGTGCAATTCATACAGAATAAGACTTTCAACTAATCAATCATACTAAACAAGAATGTGATGACAAGCTATGTGGTGGTGTCCTTAATTATGTGCAAAGTTAAGATTTTGTCAAAACCTTACGAAAACTCATTGTGATTTTCTTTTGTATAGTCAGCCAAGCATCTACATATCTGGAAGTCCTTTGCCATTCTTGGGAATCTCCAGGTCCGGTCATGAAATATTCCATAGAAGCAATGTTTCTGGTCACTAAATATTCTACAGAAACAAAGCAAGGGAATCTAAAACCATGTTAGAAATTGGTGCCACTATTGTCACATTTCTGTCTTTGCTGGGAAAAGGCAGTTGTTAAACATTCCAACCATTTCTAATTTGTTTGGAGGGAGTCAGAAGACAAAAGAAAGCCTTATAAATATCTATAATAATAAATCATTATAATAAATATTTATATATTTTATTAATATTTATATTTATAAATATTTTGAAAAAAGCTATAATGCATAGAACAAGCTTTATGAATTACAAGTAAATTAAAAAAGCTAAACCTTCAAGACAATGTGGAAAAAAGGAAGATCCAAAAGAATGTAAATATTTTTATTTATTTTTTAAGTATTTGTTTTAGTTGTATTGGGTGAATGCTAAAAGTTATCTTTTACTCCTGACATTTGAGTGTTATTAGCATTTATTTCAATTGTAGAAATAGATTTAAATAGCAGAAAATAATAAGTACATCCTTTATTCCAAAACTGCACTCAAAAGTATCGATAAAACTTATAATTCTATAAAAAAATGTCTTCTGAACCACTAACCATTTGTGTTGAATGATGCATAAGGTGCTTTTGTATGGATCTATTCACTTAGATTGCCTAAGATAACAATTAATGGTTCTGGGGTTGGAGTTGAACATTGTAATTTTGATGTCATTTTTATGTTTAGTTCAGTAACTTAATTGTGAGAATGAATGCAAAGAAAAATTCTCATTCACATTTCTTTAAAGACTATTTGTTTTTTTATTGAAATGCCAATTTTGAGTTCATGTACTAAGAGGTAGATATGTTTTTACTTAGACTCTAGGTCATGGGCCAAGGATTTGGAAGTCATTCATCCCCCTTTTATTTCCTGTAGAAACATCAGGAATTTCATAATTTAAGGCAGATGAGAAACTACTTGCATTTGCAATGAACAGCTGTAATTTGTTTTGTGAGATAATTTCTCCTATTACTCCCATGTGTTTTGCACTGACACCCTCTTGAGCCCGATAGCAGCAACGAGTACATTGTCCAGCTGCCCTGACATATGGTCACTGTTATATTCAATGACAACAAAGGTGGCAATCTACCACCTCTTCATTAACCCATAATACTTTCAAATGCACAGCTAGTGGTTCCAGCAATCCTAGTTTATGTCTGAAGACATTGCTAGTTCATATTTGAGCAACCCTTACTTGAAATGTTGTTTGTAAAGTGGTTGAGGGTTCCCCCTGCTGGATCTCAATCATCCATGCAAAGAGCTCTTCAGAATGCTTTCAGTAAATCCAGCATTACACCACACCCACAAGGCAAATGTAGAGAAGATTATATGTTATTAATAAGGCTGCAACAAACTTTAAAAATAATAACTACCAGAATAGCCAGCCAGACTGTAGGTTGGGTATTCCGATAGTCTTTCACACCCCAGTCTTCCCATCATAGCATCAAATTATTTTTTCAATGCACTAGGCTTTTTTTTCCCCAACAAGGAATCCTATGGAAGAAATCCTAGATTGGAACTTAAATGACAAGCTGAAAATTATATTTGTCTGGAATGTCTTAATGAATAAGTTAATGAATAACTACTTCTATGAAATCCAGTGTTTAAAAAAGATTCATTGAAAACAATAGAGTGAGAAAGGATAACAGCTTGAAAACAAGTCTCTTCATATTCATAACCATTATTTTAGTTGCAGAATCATAATTATCAGATACAATTGGGTAATGTTAGACAAACCTACAGTGGTTTACAATGTTCTTGTTTAATACGATTTATTGTGTTCCGCGAGATGATCTTGTTTTGTTTTAAATGTGTTGAGAATAATAATCCTGGCTAATAATGTCATTTTTTTCCTAATCTTAATGAGTGTCTTCATTTGTCTTTTTGTCTTCAGTGAAGATTGATTGGGGTGGACAGGGTGACATCTCTGTGAGTTAATGAAATTACAGTTTGCCTGTACTGTTATGTATCCAAATAAACTGCATATTTTAGGAACAACCGTTAAAACCAATATTCGGGTCTAATTAGTAAACTAAATAGACGAGATTGCTGTAAACTACTAACCACAAAAGACACAAGCCTTACGAGAAGAGTTGACAGCTACCCACTGATTTTTGTATGCTGCCACAAAAAAGACGCTTACATTTTTCTGTTGCTGCAAAGTCAAACCAAACAATTTATTTGTGTTGGACAAACTGAAAATTTAACTGGGATTTACTCCCTTTGATACAGTGTACCGGCTTATTTAAGGTATTTAAGCTTTCATTACAGCCAAGCACTTTATTTCTCTGCAGCTTGTTCCATGTCTACAAAGCAATCCAGAATTGTTTGGCTATGATAGCATTACACCTTGAAAGTTAGAAACAGTTACCACCAGGGATAACAAAGCTAACTTAATTTTACACCACAAAGTGTATTTAAAGATGCAATTTTAAAACATTTACTTTTTCCAGTCATAGCATCTCCTCAATGGTCAAAAATAATTTGGCAGCAAATACATAAGATGATTCTTTCTTTTAACATGGTATTTGAATTTGCAGAAATAATCAGTATTTTAGCTGATTCTTACTTGCCTTCAAAAGCAGAAATTTTACATCAGGAAACATTTGCTTAAAACCAACACAACACACATTAGTTTTGTCTAGTGATTCACTATCTACAAAGCCCACAGACATTAAATCTAAGCAGCTAAAGGTTACAGTTTACATCCATCAAATAATTTTGATCTCCAGATTGAAATATGAAAAATTATTTTTCATATTTTACTTTGCCACAAGCCAGATTTATCAGAAATCCGTAATGATTACCTTCTCTTACAATCCTTGCCAAGTGGTACAGATTTGCCAAAATCTAACGAGAAATTAAAAAAGGCAGTCACAGCATATCAGAAATTCAATAATGAATCTGGAAAAACTTATATGCTGCTCAGTTGGAGAAAAACAAAACTTACCATCTGCACACACTGATTTCTGCTATGGTGCCTGGGGTATTTGAACGTTTTCTCTAAAACTTTCATCTCCACTTCATTTGAAATGTAGTGCTAATTCTGTAAATGCTTGGCAAAGCCATCAAGACTCGAGCATTGTACATAAAACACAGAGAAAACAAAGACTCGTCATGCGTGTAATTATTGTAAAATTTGTAATGAAAATCATTAGAAAGGCCTTCCCTTTTTACAAACCTACAAGATAAAGCTTTGGAGCTGACCAGCATGGCATTCAATATGGGCTGTATTACCAAATGTATGTGGCAAATGCTTTACCAAGAGATTGAAGGGTGTATATGTAGTTCCAGTCAACACTGACAAAATGCTGTAAATAAGTGTTGTAGATACACACACTGGCTGCTTTCCAGACACACATTTACAATACATTTAGCGGTGAAGCCTATATAATCTCAGTGCAAATAAGTCAAATCCAAATATGCCAGTTAAGCCTTTGGCTTTAGTAAACTGCTTTATGTCATCAGTCCACTCAGGACACAGCTGCTTCAGAGCACATGCACTACAGCTGAGGAGGAGGATGCGCTGAATGCTGGGAAAGGGCCGGCTGGGACGCTGCAGACTGAAATGTAGATTGAACCGGTGGCGGAGGTGGAGGTGGTGCTGGCTGAAACACATTCTGAGTGTTGGGAGAAGGTGGAGGTGTTGGGCGTTTAAATTTGTCAGGGCTGTTGCTTCTTCTTGGCGAAGGCCTCTGCAAAACAAATACATCCACATAAGGCAAAATGGTTTTACACATAATACAACTTAAACAAATCTCTTCAAACACTCTTCAATTTCCTCAAATAAAAAGTCCAATACAAACAGGTAACTGTAAAAAAATTACACAAGATTATAGCAGTATAGATGAAAAAGCTCTTCAGCCCACTGATCATATTCAACAGAGTAAATGAAAGATTGGCAAATCATTTTGAAGATTGAAGATGTGGTTGAAGTATTTTGTATATATTACAAGGTCTTGCCGATCTTTTCCATATTTCATTTAAAGCAAATTCAGTGCAGAAATGTAAGAGGAAGAAAGCGTTTCTGATCTGTTTGATATATATATCAAAGTATTGAGGAGAAAGTATCACCCGGTACTTAAAACACATGAACTAACAGTTGAAGAACATTTCCTTCCAAATGCTTTAGTCCTGTATCTAAAAATAAGTGACCACTGCTGGCACTTGGTTCCACAGCAGCAACAGTTCCTGGCAACCAACTGGCTGGTCAATGTGAAATACTAGATGAGAGTGACACACCATTCAAATGTAGAACGTAGCCCAACATTTCGCCCTGCCAGGAACCGAACCCAGGTATCTTGCTTGCGAGGCGAATGCTCTATCCACTGAGCTACAGGACTCCAACCGCACTTACCATAGTTTAAACATTAAAGATTTTACTTTTATTTTGAGATCCATGAAATACTTCATGCAACTGGCTTCATTTTCAATTGGACTCAACAAAAACATACAGTAGAACCTTACGAATCCGGTACTCAAGGGACTGGGCAAGTAAAGGCATTGCCACATTTAAAACAAAAGCTGTGATGTATTCAGCCTACCTTTTGAGAATGCATCCAGCTTGTGTTCTGCTAATGCCATAGATCACAGCTACCTGTCTATGACTTTTGCCCTTAATGTTTTTGATTAAGTCCACTTTCTCACGTAGGGACAACTCATTCTGTGGTGGCATGTTTACAACACTTGTCAACAGTCACTAAATCAAAACAATGTATACACAAACCACGTGTTCTGAATACAGCACTTTCCAAGAATTGGCGGCAGGAACTCAGGTTAGGCCGCTGGCACTGGGCAAAATCGCGCCGCTTCCATGATCCCAACACTCCCGGGGCCAGGCAATGCGAGACTGGAGCCCACTCCACCCACAGTAGCAGTGTCGAGGAAACAGCACTAGAGGCCCGAGGCTTAGCGCTCTGTGTGGTGTACAGGTTGGTAACATAGGGGGTTGTTTGTACTGTGTTTGAAGCGGAGAGTGCACTGTAGCAATCACAATCAATGACCATTGTCCTGAATAGTGAGGTGTTCAGTTTACTGAAGCAGACAAACTATCTTTTAACGTTGACAATGAAAGAGTGTGAAAATGTACCCACAATTGTGAGGTGGCTGGAACACTGAGGTGACCGCAAACTGTGTTTCTACTATAGCTCTATTGCTGGTTTCTCTTGTCTTTATGATCAAGCATGAGAGTGCCACCTAGTGCCGATCGACCAGTTGGAAACTTCCTGTTATAGGCAGAAATGGCTCAGCAAAAGCCTATCTGCAGCATACTATTCTGCTATTTTCTCGAGATTTCACTATACCTAGTCCTTTTCTTTGCTGGCATATTACAGCCTAAAAATATCTCCCCCCCCCCCCCATGATCATTTTCTCAGATCTACACAAGATTGCATTTGACTTCAAGTGGATTATAGTACTTTTTTTGGTTACTCTAAATTGCACATATTCACCTTTTGACAAAAATCTGAAACATCTAATCAGTTCTGCATTCATACCATTCTTTCCAGGCCGGTACCAACTGCAATTGAGAGGGAGGATAAGTAACAACTCCCATTCCTCCACCCATGCTGCCCTGGCCACTAAAGGTCAGAGTGAAGCTCCTCTTAAGTTTCTAAAGCTTATTCAAGAAGAGTCCAATTGGTGCATATGCTATTGCCAACATTTCATGCAACTAGATAAATTAATTTGAAATGGATTGGTTATCCCAATTTAGTGCTGTGATTTTTTTTATATTGAACTCTTATATTATTATTCTCCAATGTATTGACTCACCGCAATGCCATGAGAAGACCCCATATGCTGTACATGAAGACCAGGTGAGGTGTAATAGGAGATTCCTGCACGAGTCAAAGTAGTAGGAGGTGTAAAACCAACACTGTGGCTTGCATAAGACAACCCTGTAGGGAATGTATAAGCACAAGAACAATTTACTCTTTACATATTCATTGACACAACAGTACAGAACCAAACACTTTCTGTTAGCATTGCAGCACAACCCCTTTCATTTTACACTTTACTCTTGATTTATCCTGTACACTTTTGAGAAAGCATAAATTTTTTTTTTAATGCTCTAGAGTTAGAATTGCTCATCATTGGTGACTATCTAAAAGCACATCAGAATCAGCTATATTTTAAATTCAACTGGATCCTACATTCGGCTGCAAAACTTCTTTATCTACCAGGCCCATCCTTCCAATAACATAATACTTAATCCTACAATTCTCCCTTTATGTAACTACAATAAAACCTCTGTTATAATGTGCCTCGTTAACACGGGTTCACCTACATCATGTTTGGGGTCTGGACCCCGAAGTTTACTTATTAAAAAAAATCTAAAATGTACAGAATGCCAGCTGGCTCACTTCAAAACACAGTAGTTTCTTGGTCACCACTGCCACCATTCCTGCCCACTGTGGCATTTTTTAGTGCAGCAATCTGGCCGTCTCATAAAAAGCGGGTCGGATTTCTGAGAGCATGCACAGTTGAATGTGCATGATGCTATAGTGCTGTCATGACGCTGATTAGGATTTTATGGAATTGAAATACTGTGTTACAATGAGGCTCTACTGAAATATGTTCATGATCCTTGAACAAGCAGAGTGGACAAAATTTGCACAATCTCTACAACACAAGACTGATGGTGTTATCCACTCCCCTGTCAGGAGCCCATGTTAGAGGTCAAAGTAAATGTATTTTTTTTTAGTAAGCATTAGACTAAATAATCAAAACTACATACCGGGAGATATAGGCCTGCTGGAACTTGGAGATGGTGTGTAAGGAATAGGACTGGACACAGTGCGGGGTCTAAGTCCCTGTGCAGACATCTCATTAAAATACCTGGAAAACACAGTTTACTTTTATTAACTTATCACAAAGCAAACCTGCACAATACATTCACGTTAGATCTAGAATCACAAGCAGTACTTTTCTCCGAAATATAGTAAGGATTATAATAATCCTTATATTTGACATATATTTGATTATAATAATCTTTATATTCCTCCTTCACGTTAGAAGGAATCACAAAACAGAGAATAAACTGTAAAATGTAATGATTGTGCAATCTGTAGATGTGCACTTATGGAGAATCATAGAATTATACAGCACAGAAGGAGGCCATTCGGCCCATCATGTCAGTGCCAGCTCTTGAAAAGAGCTATCCAATTCAATCCCACTGCCATGACCTTTCCCCATAGCCCTGCAAACTTCTCCTCCTCATGGTGAAAAGGAGGAAAGAGAACTTGTTGTGCACTAACCTTTCATCATCCATCTCTAAGCTAGATTCACTTTCTGACAGTTGCCTGCAGAGAGCCTCTCTCCTTTCCATTTCTCTTTGCAATTTACGTTGGAGCCGCAGATTTTCTTCCCTCATGTGACGTTCTTCTTCTAAATACTGTGCCATTTTCTCTGTATCTGCAATTTTATAGTAGGGAGAAAAGATTAAATGAAATATACAGGGGTCTTACCAACATCACTTTTATATGCCAAGATTAGAAAACCGATCAACACTTGGGCTGTACCTGAGGACAGCAAATGAGTGCCAAGCCTGAAAATTGAGTTAGCTTAAAACCTGTCATGGGAAAATGTGGAAAGGAGGGAAGAGATTGTTTACTGGAAGGATGAAGACCAGTTTGAATAGTGGAGTCAGAGGATGAAAGAATGTTCTAGAGGTTTCAATTGATTTACTTTTGCAGGAACTTTACCGAGCAAACTGAATGCATTTCACAAGGTTTGCGGAGAAACAGCTTCCTCTCTAAGGTGCTGATTTAATTTTTCTCCATCACAAAGTAAGATGGTGCCTAGTAAGCCCGAATAAAAACGTAATTAGTATACTCACCACAGGCCAACAAATATCAAACTCATCTTTGAACAGAACAGAGAAGGGATTTTTCAGTCCCTGTCTAATGGAGAATTTTAGCAGTTTTAAGGTAAAGTACTGCAGTCAGTAATGAGCGCAACTAAAAATCTATATGAATTCTATATGAATGAGGTAGATGGAGAAAATCGGTCGAAAATCTCATCCAAAAGACAATGCAACACATGCACTGCATTGGAGTGTCAGCTTAGACTGTGTGAGTTCCAAGTCCTGACATAAGACTTGAACCCAGAACCTAATATACCTCAACCCAGAGGCAATATTGTGGAAGCACTTCAAGTATATAAGGTCTAAAGTTCTATACCTCTGTATCAACATGTTCTTTAAATATTTGATAAAAGGAATACAACAATATGAATTTATGCAACACCCTTCACACGGGATAGCACCTTGAAGCACTGACTTGTATACATGTAGGTGGTAAAACCAGCATCCTCATTTGAAAATTTGTCAAGCAACTTACGCTGTAACTGAGCAGACCGGAGTTGCTTTTTTAGCCGCTCTACCTCATTCTTCAAAAATCTGATATGTCTCATCATGTTTTCCGGCGAGTCAATTTCCATAGAAATGTCCCTAGGTGATGGTGGAGCTGAAACAGGTTGGTCCAATTTTTCCTGCAGAATACTGAATTAAAGGGATATTTAGAAACTAATAATCAAAAAACAAACATTTCTGAAAAATAGATATCAAGCTTTAACTGACAAATATGTTGAAAACAAGGCTAGAAAACCATCTATTGAGTCAGGGTAGATTTTAGATTTTTGTAAACCGGATTCCAAGGTAATATCTTTTGCTTGAATACTCAATACACTCAATATCGCACTTACCAAGCAGAAATTTAATTCAAAGCTTCATGTGAAATGGAAGCTATAAAGCATTACATCAAGTTAACAAATCATGAGTGAAGATTACACCGCTATTGAGCACACATCACATATGTATCTATATACTTCTTAAAGGCATGATAGCAAATACCAGGAAGGCAATTCTTGTCATGACAACCAGTGTTTGGCAGATAAATATCTGCTATTTAATATATCTGTGTAAGGAAATGATGATCAATCACACAAAAGAAAACCTTTCAACAACAACTTGCATTTATATAGCGCCCTTCATGCAGGACAGTGTCACAGGGCACATCAGTACACCAATCGTGGAAGTTCTTTAAAGAAAGCACAAGTGGAAATTGTTACCATGTTCCCTCTCACCTGTCTAGTCTCAGTCAGATTACTCATCTATCTCTATCTGTTCTCAAAACTCCACTAAATATTATTTTGATCTAGTCTCTCTATGGTGAATTGGTGCCATTTCTAATACAATTAAAAATGTATGATAATTCTTAAGACTTTTCACTTTAACTTACTGCACAACCTTTCAGATATCAGACATAAGATTTTTTTGCCTTATAACTTGATGGTGGGTGGCTTGCTTGCTGGACACCAGTTAGTAATACAGAGGATCTCCCAAGATGTCTTGCTAAACCCCATGGCCAGCAGAAACTTGTTTTTAGTTCAGTACAATTACTTACCTAGTAAGGGTATTTTCTATAGTTTCTTCATTGATTCGGTCTCAAATTCTTTACCAAAGCGAATTGAGTCTAGCTGGAGATATGACAGGAGTCAAATTAGTGGCAGAGCTGAGCAACAAGTGGATTACATAAGAGGCATTGAGTGAGCATGCCAATCAAAGGTAACAAAGCAATTTAGAAAATTCACCTGGAGTTAGCTTCTCTCTCAGGCAGGTAGCTAGTGGAGTATCAAATGCACCAAGAAAAACTACAAATGTACTCATGCTCAGCTCGACAGAGGAGAGCGGAATTAACAGGTGAGTGAAGGGGGCTATGGAAAATACCCTTACAAAGTAAGCAATGGCTCTCTCCTTTACGTCTTCATGCGTCAATGATTCCTCAGTATACAATTCCTTTGTATAAGCAGTGTACAAAACAGTACAATGGAGGCAGTTAAAAACCCATCCACTGATTGCAGCTGTGGCAAATATTTGTTGAAGGTAACTGTCCTGTAGATATCAATAGAAGGCTCCAGGTTGTCATGATAAAAAGTAGCTCTGCTCAGATATGTAATAGATCTAATCCATTTGGCAAAATAAAACTTTCACTTTGTGATTCAAAATAAATCAACACAAGACCAGATAGTTGTAATACTGTTTCACTGTACAGTAAGACCCAGTCAGATACCAACCCCAAAATGAGTGATCAATATTGCGAAAGTTAAAATTTGAAAGGAGGAAATACAATGGCCTCCATGAAAATGTCACAAGAGAGAAAAACCTCTCAAAATTCACTGTGAGAAGACTTTCCCAGCCCTTTGGTAGGTTTGGCAGAAAGCAAGATCCACCATGTTCATCATCCCAGGTTGACAAGAAAAAAAGCACAACTTTTTTTAATATTTAACACACCTGATGAAAATCAATTGTTTCTTAGAACTGAACTGAAGAGAAGGGCATTCAAACTTGCCATTTAACAAAAGCTGTCAATATATAGGTTGCATCTTCAAAAGCTACTTCCAAGAAACTGAACCCAAAGTTTTGAAATGAAAAGTCCATATCTCCCTCAGAAATGCATTAAAATTATTGTGGCAAGCGTTATGTGACTAACATGGGCTTTAAACCCAGTCAGATACCAACCCCAAAATGAAAGATCAATATGGTGCAAGTTTAAATTTGAAAGGAGAAAATACAATGGCTTCAATGAAAATATCACAAGAGGGAAAAACCTCTCGAAATTCACTGTGAGAAGATTTTTCCAGCTATTTGGTAGGTTTGGCAGAAAGCAAAATACACCACGTTCACCATCCAGACAGTGAATTTGAAGTTCTCTTGATCCCCTAAGAAGGCTGGGCAAGTAGCCTTAGCATGGCACAAACAAGACTGAGTTGAGAAATTCCATGCTAGGATTATAGACCTCTTCATCACCATAATGATTATGTTATGATTCATCCAGTGATCCAAATAAAATAACAAAGGAAGGGAAGTTGTAGAACTGTTCATCCCATCTTAAAGACATTTACTGCCACAGCCTTGAAAGAAGAATGCTAGGAAGGATTTGTATTAGGGGTCAGAAAGCAGAGAAAACTAATTGTCTTGAAATGCAAAAGGTGCATTTGTACATGAAATTAGAATAAGATGGATTCTGTGTTAGCACTCACTTGCTTAATGGGTCAAATTTAAATAAACCAACCCACTGAAAATCAAGGGTAAAATAGACAGCTGATTACCTGCGGAAACGATAATCAGTGGTCTTCAACTGGGTACATCAACTATGTACCAAGCAACAAATGATGCAGGCATTTGTTTAAGTTTTTCACAACAATGTGAATAGACAGAATGCAGAAAACATTCTATCATATCTGAATGGACAAAAATAAGACACCTTCTGTGCTGAAATACTTGATAATGTTTCTAAACTGACTATTTAGTTCAATTTAGTTCTAACTGACTATTTAGTTGAGAATCAAACATTCCTTCTTCAAGAGATCAACCATATAAAGGAGATGCTGCAACAAACACAAAATTAATTTCCTCAGAACAAACCCAGAATTCTGACTATTAACTTGTCAATTCTATTGTCCAACTTTCTTTGCCCTCTCTGCTGGGCGAACTGAGGTAACCTACGTCAGGAAATACACTGGCCACAGCAAAAGCTGAACACCTGGAATATACTTGGACATGTGTACACAGAAGGGGTCTAAAGAACACGAAACAAAATAGTGCCTTTGTATATGATTGTGCTCATAATATAGAGGCATGAAGGTACATGTACCTCAGTTGAAAAGAATAATCTCTAAAGGGGTATAGGGAGATAGGATTTCTGTTTGCAATATGTAAGTGGATCTTCCAGATGTATATCTTGAGCACTCACCATTTCCAGCGCAAAGACAAGAACATATTTATGTAAGTACCAACATACATAGAGTGGTATAGTGGAAGTTAAATTAACCACAAGTGTCTCCTAGCTCTTGCTCATCATCTCAAATAAGCATATGTTAAATACAAATCTTATCCTATTCACAACACAAAAAGTCTAAACTATGAGCTGTTTCGGTAAATTGAATTAGACTCCAGCGCTTCATAATCAGTCCATTTTAATCCGTGTTAAACAAAAATTGCTTGGTTCTACAGTGCAACTCCGATTATCCATTGGTGTTGGAAGGAACAGTCCCCTTCATGATAGTGGATGTTCAAGCTTCCTACAAGGTTCTGTGGTCCAGAAATTCAAATTCCATCCTTTTATGTGAAATCAAACTTCAGTCCAGTGGCATCAAAATACTTACGTCTCATCATCAAGGTCTTTTTTCATCTGCGATGTTGGATTCCTGTTCAAAAGACAGCACTCATAGACTTGGAGTCACTTTCAAGTAAAAATATCCAGGTTGAACATACTTATTTCTTGGGTCTATTAAACCAACATAAATTTGAAAGCAGAAGAGTGGAGAATTTTAATGAGGAAGTTCGAAAGCTGCAATTTGTCTTCTGGGTAAACATGGATCAGGAATATTTTTGAAAACAGAAACAATAGTTGTATCAATAGTTGGCAACTATAAATCAGTCAATCTACTAGTTTAAACTGTACAACACTGCAAGGTGAGAGATGGTTGTACAGCAACAAAATTGCCCTCTTCAAAGTCATTAATGAAATTCTGTCCGACTGGCCCAGGATTTGCTGAACTTCTTTGATCTCTTAAGGGCCAGTGACACTTTTGACTAAACTATTCTCATTCAAATCCATCTTCATGGCACCATGGTTCCATTACTTCCTGTCGCAACGCCATCACTACATCTCCAATGGATCCCTGTCCATTCCTTGAAGTCACAGCTGGTGTATTCAGAGCTCTTAATCCTTAGTCCTCTTCTATTCACGATTTATACGCTTCCCTTGGTAACATCATTCATAAATAAAAGTTTAGTTTCAATATGTATGTGGACTGATCCCAACTCTACTTCTCTACTACCACACTAAATTCTGATATTGACATTGAGCACTTGGTAAGCCACATTTTTTTGCACCTTTTTGGATCTTACCAGCTGCACCATACAACTGGACAAGGCTCCACAAACTCTGATTGTGTGTCAGTCTGGCTCAATGTTAGTACTATCACCTCGTAGTCAGAGGTTTGTGAGTTGAAGACCCACGATAGGGACTTGAATTACATTGTCTAAGATGACACTCCAATGCAATGTTGGGTGTCTGTTGAATTGTTGAAGGTGCCGTCTTCAGATGAGATGTTAAACGGAAGTCCCGTCTGTCTGCCTGTTCAGATGGGAGTTAAAGATCTCATGGTACTATTCAAAAAGAGAATAGAGTTTCCCTCAGTGTCCTGGCCAACAATCCCACAAAACCAAATCTGTCATTTGCTTCATGGTTGTTTGTGGGACATTGCTGAAGGCAAACAGTCAAAACCACTTTGCAGCATGTTCTGTGAAGAGCTTTGAGAATGATGTAATGAGGCTGTTTCTGGGATATTGTTGTGCGCAACTGGCTGCTGCATTTCACTCCCAAAATCCACTTAACAATACATCCTGAGAATCGCTTTGAGATGTCCCAACAATGTGATATGGCGCTATATAAAATGCAAGGATTATTATTGTAACGTTTACTTGGCTTCAAAATCACATTTCCCTTTCTTTAGGTTAAAAAAGTGTGAAGAGATATTGACATGCTTTTTAACTGTACTCTTATTACGTTTGCAGCTCAATACCTCCAACTTACCTCATGGGACTGCATAATCAACCCGAACACAAAATCCTTAAGACCACTAACAAGAACAATAATTTTCCTTTTTAAACTGAAATTGATTTTATACATTAAATACTGAGGAAAATGTACTACTTTTATAACAATTTCAAACATTGAAATGTATCTGAAACATGTCACCCTCTTCTTTAGGGTTCTGCACTAACATATACGTTATCTACATGTGGAAACTTCCCAGATGTCTGGAATAGAATGTACTCTCTTCTGGGATGGACACCCCAGGCTCACATCATCCCAGAGTAGGTGAAGCTTGTCAAGAGTCATGGCTATGAGTATCTCAGTTTGCCATGGTTACTGGAGGAGTTCAACCTTCTAAAATCACATAATTGAGAGGATCGCCTCTCGATGCGTGTCCAGCGAAGACCACTCTATCTGTTTGGGCTTTCAGGATTAATCAGAGTCGAGTGGGAAGAATCCCTGTGATTGTCCCTCCAAGTTTTGTTGACAAGCTAGGCTGGATGGTCTGTCACCACAAATGGCTTGGCTGACCCACCTACTAGGACAGCTCCAAGGAGACGCTGCTTATCTCTCAGTTGTCTTGGGAAAATAGGCTTCTTAATTTTTAATTTTTGACATTCCAATTGTATACTTTTTTTGCTTTTGTTGATTACTTATGATAAAAAGTACAGTAAACATACCGCTTTTCTGCTTCCAGTTTGTCCATCCGTTTCCATAAACGATTTACTAACGCTTCTTGTTCTTGTTCCAAAGTATTTTCCAGGTCAATCTTCTCACGCCTCAACTACAAAAAAAAGTCCTAATTAGATAAATCAAACCTTCTCCAATATTAAAAAATATTATTGTAACTTTAACAGTTACAATATACACTTTTTGTATACAGGCACATTACAACCAGCAATATTTCCATTGATAGAGCCCGTTTCAAAAGAAAGATTATGGACAGTGAAAAGTGTTTATACATACAAATGGATTCTGATACTTGCACAGAAAGATGATATTCAGTTAATGCTACATTTTTAAATTTCAAAACTCACTGCCTGAAGTACATTGATTAGAGTAGGGAATTCTAAGACTTTTAGAAACAATTGCTGAAAATATTGTATACTGTCATACCTAAACAAGTAAGATATTTCAACCCAATTGAACCCCATCTTCCACAAATCAAAGCCTAATTTAGTGCAATTATGCATAATCATGGAAAGATCAGTCTGCAATTTTTGACACACTGTAAAAATGCAATAGACATTAGACACTACATTATTAAGTCTACACCTGTATGTAAATGTATTTCTTAAGTTGATTTTAGGCAGATCCTCACAATAGAGGATCTGTAATCATTATGTATACACCCATACTTGAGATAAAAATAGATTGCGAGGTGCATTCAGAATAAAATAGTACACTCATGGATGTCGCAGTCAATAAGAGGATATTATATACCGATGGATGTTTCTTTTCGCCATATAATTTTTCTATGCCCTGAGGTGCCAAAATCACTGCAAAATTGTCCCGGTTTGAATATCTTCTATATAATGCAATACTACAAGCTGTAACTTTTTACAACTAAACAGGATACTGGTCAGAATACTTGGCAGAGGCAGAAGATTTGTTTTCAAGAAAACTGCTGAATGTTCAAACAAAACTTGAAAAATAATGTTCAAACTACAGGTACAATGTATTAATACCCCTACAAAAATATGCACGTTTAAAATAAATTAGACAGTTTCATTTTAAAATGTCTAAAAACAATTAAAGATCGCTTAAAGCAGCAAGGTAAAAATAAGTTAATAATGCAGATGCAGAGTTTAAAAGATTGAACATTTTGACAAGAGAACTGCTCACCTGCTCAAGCGTAAGCTGTTTGGAAAGAGTATCATTCTCCAGCTTTTTGATCTTCTTCATCAACTTGTTCACTTGAAACTCCTGCTCTTGCTCTAGAGTTTGCTCCAGTTCAGCCTTTTCATGCTGCAACTAAAATACAAACAATGAAAGATGGAAATTAACTACAAATGTTTTGGCATGTTCTAAAACATCTTTTCAGTAGGCATTGCTGTACTTAAATATAGATTTAATTTGTTTAAATACATTAGATTTAGTTTGTGGCGCAATTGCTCACAAAATACACATCACACCAGTTTATAGTACATCCTACTGAAGCGCTTTGCGACATCTCAAAGATTGATAAGGCACTACATCAAATGCCAGGATTATTTTTATTATTCTGTGAAGCACTTCGAGACATCAATGCAAGGATTAATATTTTTATTACACCCATACACAGAATTAAATTACATTTAACATAATACCATGGTGGATGCACAAAGGTGAAACATAGAGGGGATGTTAACTTTCCATTGTGTCAGAATTAAGATAGAAATTAAGAATGGAGACTTTTTTTTGGAATACGACCCCTGCAGGAACTGAATTTTCATTAAAATCTTTTCTTTTTTCTTTTAAGAGCTATTGACTATGAGACACTGGCAATAAACACAATTATACTCTGGCATGAAACACTGCCAGTTTAGCACAGTGCAGTTTAGTAACAGGTGCAGTTTAATACCCCTTCAATGCAACTCATTTTATACCACTAAATTTCCCTTGCACAATATATCTATAGAAACTAAATGAGATTGTACAATTATTGAAATTATGAGCAGCTGTATTGAAAATTAGATTAGTACAAAAACTAATTTTCATTAAAGACCATCATTAACTATCAATCTAGAGGTTAAAGCCACTTGTGTAAACTACATTTAAACACAGGTCAAATTAAAGAATTGTTTTAACCCACTATACCAGACTTCATTTTACTTTCAGTATCAAAAATAATGTAGTTACATTAGTATTTAAAGAGTATACACATTGTTTCTACTCTGACAAAAAAAATGTAAAGTCAAAGCAAAATTTATCTTACCCCTCCCACTCCTCTACACTCTCCTTTGCTCAGTTGGATCTAGCCTCCTGTAAGTCCCTCATTCCCTCTGCTCCACCAGCGGCCTTGCTTTCAATCACAAAGCCCCAAAACTACGAAACTCTCTGTCTCAATTCCTCTGCCTTGCCTCCTCCTTTCCCATCTTCAGATCACACCTAAAGACCTTTCCCCTGGTTCAGCGTCAAGCTCTGCCACCGTTAAGCACTCTGGAAATGATACCGCGTGTGAAGGGCGCTAAATAAATGCAAGTTGTTGTTCTGTTGTATCTTCCAATTCATTTTTTATGGATATCTCCCTCTTCCAGCTGACCTCTTCAACTTTCCCAGCCTCTTTCTCAAACTCATTGAACCAATGTGGGAACTTGGCATCTGTTCAGTGCCTTTTCTCTCGCATCCTTGTCCCTGATCAAGATTGCCTTCCTTAATCTCCACTAAATCACCCTTTTAACCAGGTGTAGTTTAATACTCCCTTAGAAGTTCACCCCTCTTTTAAAAAGAATTGCTTTTTATCTTTATTTTTCTTTGAAATTTGAAACAGGAATCAGGTACGGACCAGTTTGGCTGAATGGCCTGTTTGTATACCGTACCACTGGGCACGTGTAAATGGTGCCACAAAAGGGTTAACCCTAGCAGTGATGAACTGCTTCAGGATCCATGTATCTTGGTTAGTAAAATATGCTGAATATGATCACAAAATATTATTATTAAAGACAAAGCCAGGCATACGATGAAGTCCCTAATCATGTTTAGTAGAACTCAAAATAGATTTAAGATAGGCACGGATGATTTCAGATATACAAGTGCCACACATAAAAGGGAAGTTAGAATTGCAAAAACAACTTAATGCAGCGTTTGAACTGTATCAGTATTTCAATACATCTGGAATGCACTTTAAACCACTAATCGAGCCTACCTGCATCAGCTTGCGGGAAAGTTCATTAGTCAGAAATTCTTCTTCTTTTTCATAATTTACAGCTAGTGTTTCTTTTTCTTTCTGTAAAGCTTGAATCTTCTTAAACAAGGTATTGCTGATAAACTCCTCCTCCTGTTCAGCCCTTGCTTGCTGTGAAAAAAAATCAATTCAGTAGATATGCAAGAACGCATCAAATTAATAATTTGAGGAAACTTCAGTACCAGAAATTGGCCAGTGTCAAAAGAGCAGAACAAGTCATTAACAATGTCTAACTCTACAAACTGTCAAGTATGTTGTAGCAATAAAGAAATGCAAATGAGGAACAGATTCTCAATTTTAAGGCCTGATAAATATGAAAATATAACCAATCCGTAAAAGTATCAACCTACCCATCTGCATCAATGCTTATAGGTTCTGCTATTCTTCAGTAAGCTATATGCAGTGATACAAAGTATTTGAATTAGAACCATGTTGTTACTTTATGTTTAACATAATTTAATTCCTGCATCATCTAATAACCGTACAATGCAGATTATTTATTGAACTCTGAAAACTAGCAGGTGCTGCGATATACATCATTCTTCGGGTTTCCAAGTGCTGACAACATCGATTTTTCAATGTTTATTTGAAAATATTGACAGATAATTAGATGTTTCTTCACGATTTTTGTGATCTTTGATGACAACATTGGCTGTTTTCTGGGTTGTAAAGTTGTCACAAAGTGCAGAAACTGATAGAAGAGCTATCTGTGTAGTTCAAAGCAATATAAAATTAAAACCAGAAACCATCAAGTATAATCAAACAATCCATGTGGCAATCACTGGTATTGACCATACCTGGTGTTGGCAAAATTATCAATTATATACTTTGATTCCATAATGACTAAGATAAGGAGTTCTGGAATAAGGATGTAGTTCCACCAGCGGGCGTGACAATTTAATTCACAAGGAAAAAAAATGTACCTGTAAATTAACACAAGGTATGATTCAAAGCGAACAAATATAAACCACGATTGGACCAACAAAAGAAGAGGGCATCTGTTAAATGCAACAGTAGCAAAATGCTGATCAGTAAAGAAACCTGAATTTTTTGTAAAACTGTTAAGTGTTCTGTGGTCATAAGGAATGGAAATGAAGTTGCATTATCAAAAAGATGGAATCTCAACAAAATTTCATTGTTGAAGGGGGTGGTTATCAGATCCCATACGGAATCCCTTTTGTAGCTTTGATACCTACTGGCAGTTGATAGTGCCCACAAACATACGGTCAATTCACTTTACAGTCTATTCTGTGAAGCGCTTTGAGACGTCGAGAAGACGTGAAAAGCGCTATGTCCAATGCAAGGATTATTATTATTATTATTATTATAACCTTGCCTTGCCTAGCGCTTAAGTCTGGCTCAGTTGGTAACACTTTGAATCAGATGATTGTGGACTGAAGCTCCAAGTCCGGACGACACTTCAATAGCACCTCATTGCTGGAGGTGCCGTCCTTCAGAGGAGACCGTAACGCTGAAATCCCGTCTTGTTCGGGTGACCGTAAAAGATCCTATGGCCCTATTCGAAAAGAGAAGGGAATATCTCCCGATGTCCTGGTCGCTCATTCCGTGGCCATTTGCGTGTCGGGGGCGTGGGGGGGTGTGGGCATATGTTGTACGCAAATCGCCAGCGGCGTTCACCAGCAAATGACACAGTCACTACACTTTACAGTAATACCTGTGAAGAGCTTTAAGGTGTGTGCGCGCGCGCGTGTGTGCGTGTGTGTGTGTGTTGGGGGGAGGTGAAGAGCGACCGGACCCTGGAGGCGGTCAGGCCTTGGGAGGGAGGGAGGGGGGGGGGGGGCGGGGAGGTGGTGGTGGTGGTCAGGGCAGGCCCGGGGGTACGGGGCAGCCTGGCCCCGTGGGGTCGGGGTTGGGGTGGGTCCCGGGGCTGCTGACTTACGATGGTGACGCTGGCTTTGCGGAGGTCGCGGTTCTCCTCCTGCAGGGCCTTACACTTGAGCTTGTAGGTCTCCAGCTCGATCTTCAGCACCTTGTTCTCCTGCTGCAGCGACGCCAGCCGGTTGCTCAGCTCCTCCAGCTTCGAGGCCGAGATCAGGATACCCGCCTTGGAGGAGGAAGAAGAAGTGGAGGAGGAGGCGGGCGGCACCGCGGCGGAGCTGCCCGCCGCGTCCGTGTCGCTCTCGCTGGCACTGTCCGCCATGTTGGGAGCCGCTCGGTGCCAGCGCTCGGCCTGTGTGTGTGTGTGTGTGTGTGAGAGAGAGAGAGAGTGCGCCTGGGCCGAGGGCGGGGACCGCGCCTCAGAGCGGCCTGACCGCGCCACAGCGCCACCTGCTGCAGGGAGGGCTCCCCGGGCAGCCTGCAGTGCAGACAGGAGGGTGGAGGGGGGGGGGAGGGGGCAAAGAGAATTGTGACCCCCAAGAGCCCTGACGACCTGCAGAGTCCTGCAGTGTAGTGGTTAGAGCACTCGCCTTGCAAGTGAGAGCTCCCTCTTCCCTCCCTTTGGTCACTGATTCTGGGACTGTTCGTGGCGGTTGGCAAATTGCCCGTAGAGCACACAGTCACTACACCTTTTTTTTTTAACGGTCAGCGACATTTCATTCGCCCTGTGAGCAAAACACAACGTCCGCTGCGGCTGCTGGATATCTGATACGGAAACAGATGTCGTCGGGACCGCTCCGCGGGTCATCACTCTGGAATTATTATCCCCAGGAATTATCGTGGACCCGAAACGTTGACTCACTTTCCTTTCTCCATAGATGCTGCCTGACCTGCTGAGTGGTCGCAGCGACAGTATATTCTGTGAAGAGCTTTGAGACGTCTCGACAACGTGATAAGATTCTGTATCAAAATAGGAAGATTATTATTACTGTGGAAAAGGGGGAAAAGAGCCCGTAAACCCCGGGGCAAACAGCCAGGAATAACGAGCATTTTGTACATTTACCCGAGAGGATCCATTTTAATGTTGTGCAGATCCAGAAGTTGCCTTGAGGTACCCATCCTGTGAGGCCTCACAAACATTGCGTGTGAAATTCTATTTTCCTGAGCAGGAATTGGTATTCTTCCTATCCTAATCTCGCTAGCAAATCATAAATCAGACTCAGTACTTGCTGTACTTCAGCGCCTTGAGACGTCCTCCCGATGTGAAAGTCGCTGTACAAATGTAATCTTGTTGTTGTTGGGTTCAAGTACCAACCAATAGTTTTTAATCTGAGATTCAATTAGAACGATTTTTAAACAGAAACCTTATGCAATAAAAGCCTTTAAAATGCGTTTCTCAATCCTACATAGGGGATAGTTTCAGTCCTTTTTCAGATCTGAATGAAAATTTGGGATGTAGACTCTTTGTAGGCTTAATAAAAATCCTTGCATTTGATATAGTGCCTTTATCACAATGTCAAAACATCTCAAAGTGCTTCACAGGATTTGCTGTCCTGCCTCAAAACTAACTTCTTTGAATGAGTCTCCAGCCACCTCCCCCTTCTTTCCCTTGCACAATGCCTGACAGTATCACTGTATGTATTCAAAGACACTTTACACTCTATATATGAAGGGAGCTACAAAAATGCAAGTTGTTGCTATAAATTATGACCTACTGGAGATTTCATGTTATACATAGAAACAATTTGCTGTTTGCTAAAGTGCAACAGAACCATATAAGATTTCCAAAATGTTGGTGAGCCTATTCTACTGAACAGAATTATGACAAGCATCATATTTTGCCAATTTAATAGCTTAATTATGGTATATTAGATATTTCAACAGTGATAGAAAGCCCAGATGCTGGGATTTGGAGTGATAAGGGGAGTGGAAACAAATACCTAAATTTGTTCAACGGAAATGAAACATTTTGAAACTCTTGAAAAAAATGTTCTAGGCTGATCTTTCAGTGAGAACAAGGTGTATTTTAATGTAAGCGAACAATTAACTTCATTAACGGCAACATCTTCATGTTCTTCAAGTTATGTTCTTCGTGTTACTGCAAACAAGGGAAGCAAGCGGCTGCAGGGAAGAGGGACTCTAGCCAACACTAACCCGTGACTGAGTACCGGGAGAGAGAATTGTCTTCACAGCAGACAGGTCTGTTTGTCAAAGCCCCTCACAGAGAACCTGGATTAAGCAACTGGTGCTGAGTAAAGCTGGTATGTGGCATTGGACTTAGACCTTGAAAACATCGAGATTGCTGGCACGTCACAAACTGTCCTGTAAAGGTTCTTCCATCGCACTGAAGGCAGATGTTGGTCAGATAGTCAATGAGGAAATTCTGAAGCTTGGGATGACAGCTTCTGGAAGGCATTACCTGGAGTAACCTGGAATGTACCTATACATTCATATTTAGAATGCTTGGAATCCACCTTGATTGGTGTGCAGAGAGGTAAGAAACCTCTACTCAAGCTACACACCTTCAACTGGTGAAACCATTGCTCAATGGATGTGGATATGTCCAAAATATGGGCAGGAAGATGTGGCAATCTCTCACACATTTCAGCCTGAGCTGTGCTCACAGGAAGGTCCTGGTACTTGACATCCACTTCGTGAGGGCTCAAACGTGCGTTTGTTGGATGTCAAATGATAAACCAGTGATTATCTTCCTTGGGGACATACTTGGTGATAGAATATCAGAATTCAGACTATCCTCTGGACTCGGTAGCTTTGTTCATGAGACAAGCAGGTCCACAATACTCCAGGGCACTAGATGACAGACCAGCTAGCCTGGCTCATTGGAAGGACTTGGAGGGATAGACTCCACTCCCCACTTGGGGTAGGGATGTTTTCCATCAGCTCCTGTTAACCCTGCAAGTCAAAGCTCCAACAGGTAGCATGCTCCTAGCTGGACAAGCAGCAGGAAGCTTGCCAGACAATGCTTTCAAAGGCAAGCTATGCGGTTTAGCTGCTTAAACTCATCGGAACCCCAATGCACACTCAAGGGTCCCGAGTGGTTTGGCAGTTGTGCCAACTACTCTCCAGAAGACACCCAGCGAATCAAGAAGTGCATACTATCCTATTTCATGAGGGTTCATTGCTTTTTATTTCAAAATAATGTAGGTTGTTAAAAGTTACATGTTCCATGAATTGTTGTTCCATAAACCTATGTTCCATCCTCCTTGATCGCTTCTCTTCCTTCATCATCCTCTGTGAGACCACACTCTAGTTTTCTGGTGTAGCACAGGCCTGGAGTACACACAGTAGTGAGGTTCAGTGCCTAGTGACCACTGCTGCGCAGAAAGGAGGAACACTAGCCTGAGGAAGTGTGAAAAAAAATGTGTGCATGATACCTCACCCCCACAAAATATAGTCGTCACCTTACAGAATATTCTGTGAAGAGCTTTGAGACATCAAATGCAAGTATTATTATAATTATTGTTTGTTTTTTCTAATTTACCTGCAGCTTCACTAACTCCTTTTTTGTTTTAATCAATAATTAGCAATCCCTTCGTCAGTTCAGGTTTGTGCCTAAATTGACAAAAGTAAGAAATATGAGTGCTACATCCAGTGCTCCTCTCCTTCATGCTCCCCCCCCCCCCCCACCACATCAGCGTGTAGACCATTTCTTTGATCGCAGGTTCCTTGTCTTGACGTGCATTTTAGCTGCTGTCCCCTTCCAGAATTGTACTCCACCCAGCCTCACAAATAAAAAATTCCCTTGTTTCTGAACCCCATTTTCCATTAGTCCTACTCACTTCTCTCCTGTGGAGAACATATTCAGGACTTAGGGAGTGAAAACTATTATAACAATATGTGGGTATGTCAGGTATGATCCAGGCAGAAGGCAAGAGATGTCTTTAGAAGATAGAAGAGTGTAAATATTTTTGTATATTGAAGCAGAAATTCTAAAGTTAGGCAATGTATTTTTATGTATTCATTAAATCAAGGTTGGAAATATACAATTATATAAGTACAAAGTCAGAGGCTTGTACCAGTCTGTCGAGTTTGAGTAAGTATATACTGAAATATGAGACCTGAAGTTTGAGAACTCTGGTAGAGGTAATTTACTGTTTGAAGATTTAATTGAAATTTCTGTTGAATTGAATTTTCTGCAAGTAAATGTAACATTACTGAGATCCTTATTAGCAAGTAATTAGGGACCTTTTAATAGGGTTCAGCCCCCTTCTTTGTAAATATCTTGTGGTAAATGTTTGTTTCCCCTACATACTGCAATAAAAACATCAATCAAGTATTTTAATGCCAGAATATTACAAGTTGAACTTCTACAAATATCAAGAACCATAAAAAGTGAACTGAAATCCCAACAGCCCAATTATAGGCCTGGAAATCTTAGTAGAAACCAAATGTAAATTTCAGTTTCAATCCTAGTCGGCTTAGTCTCTTATCTTGGCCGTCTCATCTGGGATGGAAGGAAACTGATCCAAGAAGAAACCCTTTTGAAAGAGTCTATAAGTCTATCTAGAGAGACTAGTGAAGGTGCAAAATCTGAAATTGTCAGTAAAGATGCATGTAGGCTAGTTTACATCAATGAGGAAATCATTGTGATACCATCTGACGTAGGGGAGAAGAGCAAGTTATTCATGCCTTGCAATTAAATGAACAATCAAGTTTCTAAAAAAACTCAAAGAATACTAGTGATTTAGCACAATTTATTTTTGCTTGAATAATCAACTGGATCATTCGGTGGAATTCTGTTTTTTCATACATATGTTATTAGAGCTATCTTCAGTGACTGCATAATGTTTTCATATGAATATAATCAACAGAGGAGAATAATTCACCAAACCCAAATGTAAAATGCCCTTTTAACCACAGCAGCCTTAACAACCTATTATTACACTGCTAAAAAAGATTAGATGATTGGCTTACAGAAAGACTTCTACATCTTATAGCCAATGCACATGATACAGTAATACTTTTACAGGGTGCTGCCAGTCTACAAGCATGTACATTCTGATCATTTCAACTTTATTTTCAATCCTGTGCCTGCAAGAGAATTAGTTGAACTATTAAGTTGCAAGCATGAATCCCTCTGTTTAGCAAGAACATTAAACTTTCCCCTTTGCATAATGTATGGCATCTTTAAGATCATTTAAAAAAAAGCAACAACAGATAGTAAAACAAGGGAAATGTGTTTTACACTGATAAATTCTTTGTTAATTTCAACACAGTGTCTGCAAACTTAGAAAAAAGTTTAATTAAAATGAACACATGCATCAAAATATTAGTACTCTGAAGAAATTGTGTTTTTAGATTTTTTTCACAGAATTACAGAATTTTCCATTGTTTTTGAAAATCATTTTAAAGTTAGCAGTATAATCTGAAAGAAGGCTTATTTCAGTTAAAATTAAGCTAGAGCTTTTGCATATACAAAGATTATACTTTCTAGTAATTGTACAAGAATTTGTGGAGTTACACTCAAAGTCACCCAGTAGGTGGAATCACTTCTAAAGCTTAATTGTGCACTAAAGCAGTTGCAGTGCTCTTAATGATTTCTTAGAACAGTACTTCGAAAAAAAGTATGCACTATCCATTTCATCAGAATTTTTACAGTGTTACGTATGTACAGCAAGACCATTTGTTTTTTTTATTTTTAATTTTTTTAAATAAGCAAGTAGATTTGTTTTACCCTGAAATCATGGGTTCAAGAAAATTATAAGGCTAGCTGCTGTGTAATCAGTGATTCTTAATTTCCTTCCAGGAACCAGCATTCCTTTATCTATTGTGCCATGTTTTGTCACAGGAAGATATCAAATACATTAAATAAAAATTCTGTTTGATGACACTGCTCTATTTGAAAAAAGTCGTTCATACCATGGCACCTCAGACATCTGTCAAGTCAATCGCACTCTCTTCAGATCAATGAATGAAAGTGAATTTCCATGCGGTTTTTAAATTTGCTCATGCTAAATGAAAATATCCTCTTTTATCTAAACCATGCTTTAATATGTGGAAGCAGCAGGTACACACTTTTCTACAATTGCTTCGTTTTCTGTTCTAGCCATTTTCTTCTGGACACGTGGCAGTAAAATGTATTCCTGTAAAAAAATCAGAAATATAAATTCAGTCCATCCACATTAATTAAATACATTGACATTATAAATGAATTTACTACACCCCTGAATTAAAGGAGTTAGGTGCTTTAATAATTGTTTAAATGCCATTTGTATTTACTCTCATTCCCTGTACAGCCTCTGCGTCTCACCAAAAAGAAAAAGCAACTCTCTCTCACGCTCTCCTTTCTCCCTTCTCTCCCCTGCTACCCGGCTGCACAAGAAAGAAACAGACATTCCTGGAAATCATATTTCTTTTCCTTTCAAATCAAAAATGTGAAGTGACATCTCAGTGACAGCCATTTTCATCTTACGCCCCATTAAAACAGTTAGCCCTGCTTTGTCAAGTGCCAACTTGGTAGAACAAGAAATTGTATGGATGACTAAAATGGGAGGAAGGGTTAAGGAAGGGGAAAGATTGTAGATTGTGAAAGTGAAGGGAGAGAGCAAGACATCAAGAGGTGAAATAAGTGAGCAAGTGCGTTAGTGAGAGGTAAACCACTAGAATGAGTTGTTTTACCCGCAGTTGCAGAATTACCTTTATCCAGTTCCTTTTGCTGGGCATTAATGAGTCTTTTTATCCGCGTGTCTGATAGTTTCTTTCTTGACTTTGATTACTTTATACCCTTCAACCTGCTATGGTAAGAAAAAAAACTGCTGGGTTAATAGAGAATTTACTGGGTTTAAAGAGAATAATCTGGTTAGCAGGATACGTGAAAGAAGCAGACACCTGAGGGGCTTAATGTGAAACTGTTAATATGATTAATGAGCGTATTTTAAATAGATTTTATCTGATAATTCCTCTCCCACAAGAAGAGCAAAGTTCACACATTCAGCAAGAGTAGATTCTGCAACACAAGCTTATTAGTCAACAATTGTCAACATGGTGAATCAGTGGCACAGATAGAACAGGGATTAAAGAGATCAACTGGAATTGAAACGAAGGCTAGAAAGACTGAACGAATCATCCCACTTTTACAAAATCTATTTTGAAGAAACCACTTGAATCAGATCCAGTTAAATTCCAATGAATGGCAAACAATCCCTTTCCTTTGTTTTCAAAAGAGATAAAAGTAAAGTGTTCAGAGGCAATACTCTGCCATTTTATATAGACACAATTTCTAGAATATCCACATCTGCGGTGAAGCTCCTCTAATGGGGAAATTGAACAAGTATTTATGTGCATGAAAGGTAAAATAAAGTGTTATGAGGATTTTCAATTTAAAATGGCAACTTTAATCTGGATTTGATTCATGCAACAGAACCCAAAGATTCAGCAAAAGATACAATGAAGCCAAAGAACTCTTTTCAGAATTCATTCTAGTCACACAGTAGCTCAGCAAAAGACGTGTAAAAATAATTCTGACCTGCAGAAATAATCATTAGTTGCTAGATGCTTGCAGTATCTCTTTCAAAATAATACTGCTTTCTCCTCCCAAGAAAAGATTCAGCTTTAAGCAATACTTTGAAAAATAAGGGCCATTCTGTTCATTTTATCATTGAGAATCATGGTGACCAAAAACTGCATTGGCAGGAATTGTGGAACTTTTCTATTACGATCTGAGCATTGAGATAAAATGTGTAACAACTACCGTGTGCCAAACAAACCACTACCTATTATCAATAAACAGTGTCAAGTTTCTCATTGTTATCCTTACACGTGAAACGTTATACATATCCTGAAAGATTGCAATTGACACTTATATGCTAACATTTCTTAATCAGTGTGAACTGACAACTAAGACACTACTCTTGGTTATCATTTTGTTACTGCTATTGTATCTGGCATCTAAAAGTGGTCTATCAACCATTCAATAAAATGTTCATGTCTGCTTACTGAAAATTACTTTTCATTTGTGAACATATTTTCTGTGGAAAGGTATGATATTAATTCAGTGAGGAATTTGGGTCAGAAATGAACTCTTTAAGAGGCAGGGTTATTATTTTAGCTGTGCTATTGCCCACAATCTATATTAAAAAAATCCAAGATTTATCTCAAGCATCTAATAATTAATTCTGCTACAGTTATCCATATTTCTTCAAGCGTCAAACCTCCTGTTCTGTATCAGCACATTCAAAGTACTCAGAATATTCCTCATCATCTTGCCCTTCTGCTTCTGTAATAATCTCTCCAGGTTCGTTGTCTTTAGACTTAACAATACGTCTCACTACTTTTCGGGTTACCTAAGAAAAGTGAGGAAAAATTTAAAGGAAACACTGGGTTTAATATATTTTTGATGGTTAAGGACTAAAACTCCAATTATTTACAACATACAGCTTAGTAAAGTGATATGTGTGAGGAACTAAATAAATGTTGTCAGTTTAGCATTACTGTACTTTTCTTGTGACGTGGTTGCCATCTTCATCAACATACTGCTCTTCTACGACCGTTTCTCCAGGGATGTTTTTTGCTTCCTCTGCCTAAAGGATGCATCATTGAAAAATCAAGACATATTTAGAATAGGTAGACTGACACAACACTGAACCATACACTTAACAATCCTGGATGCTAAGAGAATGGTTATTATTGTAATTTTTGTCCCTTGTAGAATATTTTCTTTTTGTTTGCTCGGGACCCATCAAAACACTACTGTATTAATGACTGTGTGATCCATGCTTCATTTGGGAATCGGATGCTGACTGGCTGCTTGCTGTCCTCAGTGGTGACAATAAGGTAAACAGGGGGCACCCTAAAGGAAGTAAAAGCTGTATCAACCCTGTTACAGCAATATGAGCTCGGAGCTACAGCCAAATTAAAAATGAGGTTCTTTGTTCTTAATTAAAAAAAAAGTTCTCAAAAATACCCATAATATTTAATGATTAACATAGTGCCACACTTAACTGATTAACCCAATGACTAAAAACATGAAGAAATCTTGGTTACCACATTTTTTAAAATCAAACAGCTACAGTAATTGAGCAGCAGTTTGAAGGATTTGTGGGTTAGTGGGATCATGCTTCAGGAAAACTGCCTGTACATTAGTAGTTCACACTAATGTATTTGTCATGGAGTCCTGTAGATTAGTGTTCAGAGCACTCGCCTCGCGAGTGAGAGACTTGGGTTTCATTTCCAGCAGGGCAAAACGTTGGGCAAGTTTCCTTACTCTACACGCCTGATAATAATCCATCAAGAAAAAAAATAATAATTTGGTCACTCAATCGACGACTGTTTGTGGGACACTGCTGTGCGCAATTCACTGCCGAGTTTCGCTTTACAGTATATTCTGTGAAGTGCTTTGAGACGTCTAGAAGAAGTGATAAGATGCTATATCAAATGCAAGGATTATTATTATTATTATATGCCTTTTATATGCTGCATTGCAAAGATGCACAGTGTAGTACTGGAAGCAGTCAGTCAGAACTCCACCGTGCTTAAACCCGTGCGACTGCAACTCACAGACTTCTCATACAAATTTGTTACCGTAGCCTGAAGCAGCTGCACCAGAGCTGGGCTCATATCTGCTGCTAATTGCAATAGCATTTTTTATAAGGTAAATTGTAATCTGAACACTTTTGTAAATTGGCATTAAGTCTTCAAGGGTTGCAGTTTTGCACCAAAGAAATTTTAGTAATTCAACTAGTTGTGAGTGACTATAATTTTCATTCATTCTGTATAACACTTATGAATCATATATCTTTGTATTATGATAAAGGTTTCAAGGGATCAGGCGATTGTCAGAGGGCAATCCAAGAGAAGCATTTACTGACAGATAGTTAATTGAGCTTCCATTCTGAGTTTGTTCCAAATTTAAAGCACTTCTCTAGCTTGTATGATAGTCGGGACAAAAACACATTAGTGGAGTCAATCCTTCGGGGTGATAAAACTGCACAATTTCCACACCATCCAAAACCAGAGCCAGGGTCATGCTTTCATGTAGCTGAACAGTTTGATGGTCTGTGATAGTGGTGTACTGATCACATTAGAAGTAAAGGAGTTAAGTCACTTGTTTTTCTACTCCTAGCCTTTTTCCAAGGAATTTGCTTTCCTCCCTGGTTAGTTTCTTTATTTCTTCCTCTTTTTTCCCCTTTTATATTTGTCTTTAAGACAGGAAATTCTCAGATTGTACTCAATCCTATTGTTCTAATTGGGGAAAATGGTCATAAACGTATCAGAAGATGGTAGAATTGGCATTTTGGATACATTTCTTTAACTATAACTTTGGATCACAGATTCAGCTTCAAATCTGGATGTGTATTTTTGACATGCCTTCAATTCATAGAATTACAAATACAGATTATATTAATGTTCTAATCTACAGAATGGCAGAACAAGGCAACATCTTGACAACATTAATATAATCTGGTATTTTGTTAATCATACAATCTCTTTTGCCTCAGGAAATTAGATAGGTATATTAAAGAAAACATGGAATAAAAAAAGATCATTCAACTGATCAAGTTGATTCTTTCCATGGATTATGTGTGATTTATTCCATCCCCCGTGAACTCTAACCAATAACTAACCAATCTCCACCACTGGATCCCAGCTAGCTGCCAAACAACAAGAGACCCGACAGCACAGAAGCATTGGAGTTTTTTTAATCACCAATAAAAAGAATTACAAGTAAATTTTTGGTGCTTGAAAAAGTCTGGTCCATGAAGTAAGAACCCAACCACATTTCAGACCCTAATGTGATAACATGTAGATGGAAGTAGGCTTGATCGGTCTAGGGACTTTCTCTTTCCACATTTATGTTCTAATGCATACCGATTTTCTGTACCAATGTCATCCCACTTGCTTATTTAGGACCTTCCTAATTTGTAATACTAAATTTTAAAATTGATTGTATTTAAATAAATTGATTCATTTAAGAAAAACTATTTGAATGAAAAAATTCAAAGACCTACAATTTAATTTCAAAGATGTGATTTTCTACAAATCAATGGAGTATTGTTCTATTAGCACCAAGCTGAAGATATTTATGAAGATGTTCCTGCTCATCAAACTGATCACCTTCATGAAATCATACTTGGAGTCAAAAACCCAAACACAGCAAACTGAAGCACCAAGAAAGATAGAGTCAAAGAACATTTCCAAACAGCAACGGACAAGCAACAACACACTAAAATAACTGGATACCTTTAGAATTACCCTGCGGCGAATAACCTTGGTCGTGACAATCTCCTCCTCATCCGAGCTGGGCTCACTTTCCCCAAGCTCCTGATTAATGCATTTTAGCACATTATGAAACAAGTTGAAATGTATTGTGATTGCCATATACCAGCTTTTCTCTCTCAATCAAACTCTCAATCAATCAATCACAAATAGTTCACAGTGCCTCAAAAATCTTCTTCAAAATATTTGTTCATCATGAATGTTATTCACTGTTGTGGTTTGCAGTGCAGTAAAATATCACAAGGCTTCCGCTTTTGAATCATCAGAACATTTGTAACTGTGAATAAATTGATCTGCTTTGGGAAAAATATCAATTGATATTGATAGAACTGCATCTAAAACCAACTTTTAGCTATTAAGGGACACCCAGAATCACATTTCTGATTTGCCTAATACCATGAAAGCATTACAATCACTTCAGGCAACATAAAGAATAATATATTTGTAGGTATAACACACAATGGTATATTTATTCAAACAGAAGCCTGTGCAGGTCTGAAAACAGCAGTGGTATGTTTTCCATGACTTAACTTTAGGTGAAAACAGATGCCTGTTAAATCAAGCAATGGTTTGTTACATAACGTGAATGTCAGATATAATGAAATTCACTATGTGTGACCAGGAATATTGATGAAATCAATGAACACACCATGAACTGGAGGATAAATCTGCTAAGACATTAACAGATGAATCGAGACAGTACTTCTGGAATTAAAATGTGAACGCTTGTAATAAACAAGACATTTATTTTTCAAGCTAAAATAATACCCAAATGCTTTAATATTCTTTCAATTGAAAGATCTATCAGGCTATTTAAAAAAAACATTATTTACCTGTCCTTGGCGTTCTTCCTCCCTGCTGCTGGGTCCTCGATCCTCTGAGGTAGTCCAGCTCATTTTCTTTTCACTACCAAACAGAGCGGTTACTGATTCTATAACTGGCTGTGTTGTGCCCCCGAACTCTTTCTGCAAATCGGTTCTGGGTTCTGTTTGTTCTGTAATAAGCACAGAACATTTTGGTGCCTTCCCATTTAGCGTTTTCCTGTCATGTACCCCCACAGACAAGCCTTCTGCAGGCTCCTGAACTTTTGCTTCACTTGACTGACATTCCACACTATGAATGTCATGTTCCCCATTTTCTTCAAGCTTTGACATTTTTCCATCTGCTTGTCCTTTCTGATGAGATACAACAGATTCAACAAACTCATCCTTGGATTGCTGTTCTTGCACACTGCAAAAAACATGGAGAAGATTGATTTCAGCATGGAGCAACACAACACATTGGGGTTTGAAAATGCATCATGCACAAAACCAAAATTTGCAGCATTAATTACCACGATAGGATGACTCTCTACTAAATTTGCCCCCTCCAAAAACCGGGATCCCGAAGGCAGGTTAACATTCTGAACTTTTGTCAGACTTTTTGGATTGTTTCCCAGTGAGGGTAAAACACTAACAATCATCACTGCAGCTTGCTATTGCAGCAGGACATTTATTATCGGGCTATTTTTCACTGAGGGAAAGGGCCAAAGCCCAAAAGACGCTAAACTAAAGGTGGAAATGCTCATAAAATCTAATAAAATAACAGAACAGGCTCAAATGGCCAAGTGTTAGACTTGCTCCTATGATATGTTCACATGAACTCATGTTCCTATTTTATGTTCACAACCATAACAGATAAGAAACTTAGTTTGGATGCTCTATTTTCTACTATTTTAATGGGTAACAATTTGGTTTCAGCTAATAGAAGGAAACAGTATTATACTATTCCCTTTTTTAATTTGCTCTCTAGGACAAAGAGGAAGATATGTCAGTGCTGGGCACCAAATCATTTCCATTTTAGCAATCAAGCCTGACTGGGCTCCATCTACACAGATGCCTCTTATCTTGTATTTTAGACAAGCATCCTCACCCCACCCCAGAGTAGCATTTGTAGTTATCACAGTTTATTATTATTTAGAAAGTGCATTCTCATTGACTGAGTAATAAAGGCAATTTACCTTTAATTAGCAATTAGCATGCACTATGGCCAGTTTTTGTGCTGCAGATATTTACCAAATTAAAGAAGTATTCATTTTTTAAAAAAATTAGAACCATTAGGAGAAATCACAAACTTCTATGTCATCTGTGATTAATAAATCACCATTAAAACCAGGTCTTAAAGAGTGAAAATATCTTTCAACAAATTCTCATTTTATTCTTAACATCAACAATAAAATTATATTTGTATAGCGCCGTTCACATCAAGAGGATGTGTTTCGGACCCTAACTGGGGATCGGAATCGGAGAGGATGGAGGGCGGGGCGGGAAGCAGGGTGATGGAAGGCACGGTCGAAGAGGAGGGTCTTGAGATGGGTCTTGAAGGAGGCAAGGGAGGGGATGAGATGAAGGGATTGTGGGATGGAGTTCCAGAGGGTGGGGGCAGAGTGGCTGAAGGCCCGCCTGCCAATGGTGGGGCAGGCGAGGGTAGGGATGTGAAGCAGCCCAGAGCCCACTGAGCGGAGGGAGCGGGCGGGTTGGTAGGGGGTTAGGAGGTCACAGAGGTAGGGGGGAGCAAGGCCATGGAGGGCTTTGAATGTGAGGACCAGGATCTTGAATTGTATCCTTTGTGTGGTGGGAAGCCAGTGGTGTTGGGCGAGGATGGGGGTGATGGCCTTTTCAAGCCTGGATGTTATGAAAGCATGTATGAGGATTTTGGTGGCCTGCGGTGCGAAACAGTGGAGGAGCTGAGTGATGTTGCTGAGATGGGGGAAGGCAGAGTGGGTCATGGCATAGAAGTGGGGTAGAAAGGATAGTTGAAGGTCAAACAAGATGCCAAGGTTCCGGACTGGCTCAATGAGGTGGAGTGTGCAACCATGGATGGTGATGCTGTCAGCTCCTGAGGTGTAGAGGCACTGATGAGAGCCAATCAGGAGAGCCTCGGTCTTGTTGACGTTCAACTGAAGAAAGTTAGCTCTCATCCAGGACTTGATGTCTGACAGACATTCTGTCAGGACAGCAGTGGTCCTGGAGTTGAGGGTGGTCCTGGAGCAGAGAGGCAGAGTTGGGTGTCATCTGCATACATGTAGAAATTGACCCCATATCTGCGGATGATATCACCAAGAGGGAGAATATAAATATTGAAGAGGAGAAGATGCCTCTTACTTAACATCTGGCCGATCTAGACACTCCGTGCTCAGGGTGTAGCTTTTTGGAGTCGGTGGCTCCACGTCCACACTGGATGCTTCACTGTGCCAACCTGGAACTGTAAAAAATTCTCTCTCGAAATTCTGAGATTGAAGAGCCTGGAGCTTTTCCTCTGTCAACTCTTCATACTCTGAACCCTGGGTCCCTTCACCCAGTGGAATCTCCTTGTGGCATGTTTTTACTCTTTCTTCTGTCAATTCCTCAGTGCCTTCCTCTGGCTGGTTAGCAGAGATCTTTTGTTTGGTTATCTTTCCTCCCTCCAGTGGCAGGTTGTACTCCTCCTGCTGTGCTTTGTTCGAAAGCTGAGTATCAGAATCAAACACTTTGCTAATTTCTGTGAACTGATGAAGCTTTGGCTCATTGCTGGTGCCCATGGTGGCCTCACTGACTTGCCTGTGGTCTGCGGATACCATTTCATCTTCATCAGCTTTACTATCTTCCAGTGACATATCCTCAGGATCTATGATGGGTAGTCTTGATTTTATCTCATCATTTAGGTTATGGGGAATTCTAGGGGTCGATTCTACACCATAAAAATCACTAAAATAATCATCACATCTCAGAGGGGTGGGAGGCACGTAGCGCAATGAAGTAGGTGTCAGGATTTCCGTTTGGATGTTAGGATGACCTGAGTGGACAAAGACAATGGCACTAGCTACAGAACACATGTAGTAACACAATGACAGAAGCATGACATCTATCACGGCATGATACATTCACAAAGGTAATGAAATGCAATTGTAATCTCATTGCTATTCAATGGATCCCATGCAAGTAGCAAAGATGTAGATATCAAATCCCTATTCCGATATAGTCCCTATGCTACTTTCACTTTGCGTCACTTTAATCATTAAATTCAGCCCTCTCACCCATTTTCAAAAAGAGTTTCTTTGAGTAAGGGATTAAAATCTATTTAAGTTCCACAGAATTTTATTCAAGGTTAATTTATTTTTGTCCAAATGTTAACATGCATACTTGACAACAACATTGTCAAAAGGAATTCATAAAATATGTTTTCTCTACTACATGAAAGAAAAGCAAATTAAATATGCTTTTTTTGCCTCTTTAAAAAAATTAGTTCCAGTTATCAATATAGACCTGTCCTAAGAATTTTTATTTCCCAAAACATGTTTAAGGAAATAAATCTGAAGAAACAATTTTATTCTGTGTTTTCCCTCTTTATAAAAAAAACTGAGGCCAAAGATCTGCTAAAGTAAGGTTATGAATCAAGAACGTTGAATTTTAATGTTTATGAGTTGAGTAAATGGGAATAGGGCAGACGATTGGAATTACTAATATATATTACGCCTCAGCAATAACAGCTATGTGCATTATTTACCATATAACATTAACGATGGGAGCAATTCCTGACATTATTTTGGTACATTTACACAAAGCTTACCTCAAAGAGTAATTATCTTTTGCTGATTATCTGATTTATAATACCCATGGATTAATGCATATGAATTGAAGAGGCTGCCATTTGTATAATCTGCTTGATATAGTACATTGGCTAGCTTCAAATATCAACTTGATATATCTTCAGATTTGCAAATTATGCCACATATACTATAACCCTGTACAATTCGTAGAATGGTGGAAAACAGTGATGAACAGGTAGCGAGACTAGAAAGCATACGGAGTGGGGAGTTTCTAAAGGAGGATTTCAGATGCAGTGGATCGGTTTGATAATGGTGACTGTGGTGAGCGAGCAGATCTTGGTGAATTCGAGGAAAATTGCATAGCCAAGCACACTGATTAAAAGAAAAGAGAACACAGTTTAAAACAACTCTGTTGACATACAGACAGCAGAAGAAACAACCACAGAGCTTAAACAGATTTTTAACACTTATTAAGGAAAAAAAATCTATCAAATGCAGAATGGGTAGAGAACTAAATAGGAAGTTAATCTAATTTTTCTTTAAGCAGGAGGAGGGCCACTGGTAGAACTTCCCAAAATCAGCTGAGAGGATGGCAGAAGTCTTGACAGAGGAAAGAGCAGCCAGGAAGGTTCAGAGAAGAGGAGCGATAAGTGTAGAGAAAGGAGCTACAACTAAGCAGCTATATCTGTGCAAAAAAATCATAAAAAGACTGAAGACACTGAAAAGTAGAAAATAAGTACACTAGAATTTGACGTCTTAACTTTTTTTTAAAAGCCACTGAATACAGTGCAATCAGGATTAAATGAACACTTTTCTGTATTAAATAAAGCCAGTTGTAATACACATAACGGAATGATTAAATAATTATTTAGCCCAACATACACTAGCTGTCATATTTTTAAATCAGAACTAGGACTTGAATACAATGGTCTAATTTACAGAGAAGCACAGCAATATTTTATTTTTCAACAGATCGCATTTGATAATTTCCAAATATGAAAATAAAAGCTGTACAAATTAAAAAGAAAGCTTTGTTTTCATTAGTTCTGTACAGTACTGTTTCTTAAAAATAATTACCTTCCGATTGGTCCATGAAAACACAGCTATCATCGACAAAGCTTCTTGTGCCAGAAACATTACCATAATCAAATATCGGGCCTTCTAGTAAAGTTACAATGTCCATGCGGTTAATCTTTTTGAGTACTGTACTCAAGGCATCAGCTGAAAAAAGAGAAAGCTATTAACTTGTGGGATGATGGAAGGAAGCAATAACATGGGAAAAGGTGAAAAGAATGATAAAAATATGGTAAAATGATAATAAATGCACCTTTAATTGAGAAAGAAAAATAAATCTGTTCAAACAAGTTTCAGAAAAGAGTGGAAAATGGCAAGATGCCCAATGACGCCTCTCAAGTTATAAATCAGCTCATTAGTGTACACAAAGGAAATTATTTTCCCCACCCTTGTAACTTACTGGTAGCATTTTTTCCATCTCGATAAACCCATTTCTTCAACAATATGAAGCTTTGTGTAGTCAAAGAATTTGGATTTTCAACTCGAATCTGATTTATATCATCAACTGAAAAGTTCATTTCTCTTGCCAATTCTGCAAGGAAAACAGATGCAAAAGTTTTAAAAAAAGACCAATTATTTTCTTAGGCATGAGTGTTTGAGTGACAGTAGTTGGTTATAGCGGTATTACAATGAGAATGCAAAACTATACTCTAATCAATTATTATCAGTTAATTATCCAATTTAGTCAAAGCAAATCATTTTTCATATTTTTAACAAGTATAAAATAAATATCTAATTGTCTCAATATCTGACATTTTGTTATAAAATCTAAGATTAATATTTTAAGTGTCAAATAAGAACACAATTGGCATTTGCAGGAGCTCAGATCAGTAATTCTGCACTTCTATCTTGCAAGCTCACAATCCTTTCTCATGCACGTGTAGTCCTTCTGAAGAGCTGTTAAACAAATATCCTATCTAACTTTTCAGGTGGACATTAAATATCCCATGGCACCATTCAAAAAGAGAAAGGAGTTTCTCCAATTTCTTGGCCAACTGTCCCCCATGTAAAATTGATGATTCACTTCACGGTGAAGCATTGCAATGTGTACAATTTCCAGGGTGTGAATTGATGCCACATTGGGCTACAAATCAATTTAAAGTAAAATCCTGCGAGATTCTTCAAGATGTTTTAGTGACTTGATAAGGGAATATATCAGATGAAAGGTGGTTACTATATTCTAGTCGATCATTTAGGTACAACATCTCAAACATTAAAGGGAGAGTGAAAAAATGGAAGCAAGGCTGATGCCTTCCAATTGACGTCATTGGCACTTCTGATGCATGGCAGCATTTGTAGCGTACATGATTACATTAGCGTTTTTTCGTCCACAAAATATACAGTCAATTCACTTTACAATATATTCTGTGAAGCGCTCTGAGACGTCTCGAAGACGTGATAAGGCACTATATCAAATGCAAGTATTATTATTTTTCCTGTATATAGTGCATATATGCAGCACACCGGAAATGACATCAGCAGCAACCTGAGAAGCTGGAAATCAGCTACTTTAATACAGGAAGCTGGATAATCCCCATCAATCACGGGGCAACAAGATTAAAAGCAAACTTGTGCTCTAGTTACAGGCACTCAATTACAGGGTTGCCCTGTGCTTGCATTTAATATAATGCATTATCACGTTAAAATATCTCAGTGTTTGTATATTAAAAGACATGAAGGTGATAGTTTACCAGTCCAGCTCAATCCAAGATGATCTGCTACTATTGCTGTCCTTATGTCCGTCCTTTCACATGGGCTCTGTGGACCTGCAGTTTTAAACACAGCATTAAACGGACATTCCCACCTGGCAAAAGTAACATCCAACTTTTGTCGCAAAGTTACTAGTGCCCAGACTGTAAACAAAATGAATATGCCCTCATGAACTGAACATATACAAATCATTTCACAAGATCTGAAATAACGTCTAGATTTAGCATTGCTAATTGTTAAATTATTTGATATCACAGTGCAATACTGATTATGGATCTATACATGCTGAGAACACCTATGTGGTTTATTTTAATGTTGTGTAACTAGTGGTGAAGAACAAACTACTGCATGGCTTTTAATGTTTTGTGGAACCAGTATTGCATCTTCTAGTGTAACTTATACAGTACTGCAGTGGCAAGAGCTAATGTGCTCTGCTACTGTTTGCTGGCATGCTTAACTAACTGAGTTGGAGTAAAGGGGATACAAGACAGCACGCACAATGACAATGACAACATGATAGCTAGGATAAATCACGCCACAGGCAATCACAAGAATTCATGCACTAAAGATCAACAAGTCGAAAATTTTACAAACTAGGCTTGATCTCCACGATGTGAGCCACGTGAGGCCCAGAAACCTGACTGCTCTCCTCCCCACCAGTCCTTTTACTGTTCCTTGTCTCACTGTCGACCTTTTCAACCTTTGTTTTTAAAGGTGCTGCCTCTGGTCTCATATCTCTAGGAGACCTCGATGTAATGGAAGGTTGACAAGCTTGACCAGCTTCTGACAATGATGCATTTCTTGATGTGCTGTCTTCATCATCAGACATCTCTGACTGCACCTTTTTCTCTTCATCAGCAAGACGATCCACAATCTTTAATGTCTCACCACTAATACCTTTAAAATATTCAATTGTATGTTTACGGGCCTCACTCAACTGATCTTTACCTGTTTTAGTGGTAGCAGTGTTAGATCTTACCTTAACTGGAAGTCTGGAATAAAATTGTGTAGACTTTCCTACCTCTTTCTGCCCTGGGGTTAAAATAGACTGACATTTTGCAGTTGGAGCTACATTAGATTTGTCTATGTTTTTAACTGGAATTCTAGACTTTGGTTCTAAACATTTGTGAGGCTCTGCTTTTTCTGTGAAATCAATTTTCCTAGACTGTTTCACCTTGCTGTTTTCTGGTTTCTGATCTTTATTCTGACAAATTGATGTTCGAGTACTAGCTATTTTAACTGGAAGTCTTGATTTAGGTATTTTTACTTTTTCTGTTTTGTTTTGTTTCTTTTGCTTATCTGCTTTTATTTCAGTTACAGAGCATGCCAATGTACCTGGATCCTCATCAGTTGTTTTAGCTGCTGGTTCAGCTTGTGTTATATCTCTGCCCTGACTGCAGTCAGTTTGTGTGATTGGGGGATCAAGATTGTCATTTGAATTAACTATTGATAAATCTGGCTTGTCATTTTGTATGCTACACTTCTGACTAACAGTTCCAGTTTTATCTGTAGTGATTTCTAAAATTGTCGTTTCTGAAACCTGGTAACCTAATATCACAGCATCCGATTTAATTTCCACCATCTCTGCAGCACCCACGTCTTTCTTCATAGTCATTGTAGAAGCTGAAATTCCCATTTTTATAGGTGTGCGCAATTTAGGATCACCTTTGGCAGCAATAACTGCAGATGATGATTTGTCCATTGAGGTGCTGCTGGATACCATTTCTAGGCAGTCTCCAACAACCTGGACTTTCTCCTGCTCAACCTCTGGTATCTCTACTGGTGCCTCAGTTGCTCTGTCCCCTGGCTGAGACAGTGTTGTGACTACAAGTGTATTTTGAACCCTTTCCCCCTTTTCCCCTGACTTCCCTTCAGAAGTATGCTCACCAATCTGGAAAAATTGGAGCCTTTCTTCAACAAAATCCCTCTTGCTCATGTCAATTGCACCACTGCGAGTCATCTCAAACATCTTCCCTTCATGAAATGGGAAGGGATTAGGCTCACTACTTGGAGTGCTCTCATCTGTTGGGGTTCTGGCTGGGGTTGTATCTGGTGTTGTTGCTTGGGACCTGTCCTCTACTGCTAAGCCAAAGGCTTTTTGCTCATCCTCTCTTAACCTAGCTTCAAAGATTTCATCGTCTCCTCGGCCATTAGACCATGGATCAAAGTCAAGGCCTTTGGTAGCAACAGTTTTAAACTGTGTTGCAAATTCTTCCTCTAGTTTGTAACTAAAATAAGAATCATTAAACCCAGTTCTGTCAGGATGCCTGCCTTCCAAAGTGTAGGAAGCTGGTCCCGGTTTACCATCAGTTTGCCCTTCGCCTTTCGTTTCAGAAGTCTGAGCTTTTGACTGCAACGGCTGTTCTTCTTCAGCTCCTACCTTTCCTTCTTCCTCAATCACTGCAAGTTTACCCTGGCTATAGGAACGATCACCCTGCTTCAATATCCCTTCTGTGACCCACACATCCTTCTTGGGTTCTACTGCCTGATTCAAGGATTTAGAGTCAGTTTCAGTTAAACCATCATCTTCATCTTGTAGGTCGTATCCATCCAGAGAGTCAATTTCAGTGGCATCTGTGTCGTGGGAGAATTCTGCTGTTGTTGCTATAGAGCATTCAGTGACCGACTGATCATTATTGCCATTGGCCACTGGATCATTATCTAAAACAAAGTCATCTGTATTTTCAACAGGTTGAAGTACGTCTTGGGAACTGCCAATATTTTCAGGCTGCCCCTTAGTTTTATATCTCACAGTGTCAACCTTGTCATCCTCTTTGAGTTTAAAGGTATACTTTTTCAATGGAATTGTCTGAAAGATGGATTCATCACTACTTGAATCACTTTCATCAATTCCAGGTGGGACAGGAGACGGAGGCTGCACCCTTATAAGTGGTTCAGCCAAAAAGTGTTTGTCATGCTCTTCCTGCAAATTCAGCTCAATCATTTCTAGCTCATCATCAGAAGGATAGTGTTCTTTCATAGTCATCTCGGAGGTTTCTGCATCTAAAGCATTAATTGGAGGGGGCGGAGGGAACTCAATGTATGCGACTCGGTTTTCCTTTATTCGTCTGTCATTTCCATCCAATTCAGCTGTAAATCTGGTTGTTTCTTTGATGGTGATTGCTTTAGCCAGCTCTTCTTCTTCGGATTCTTCTGACACTTCAGGGATTGGACTGGGTTTTCCTTGTAGAACTGGTAATTGTGAATCGGGTGTCTTCAATGTAAGGTCATAACTGATTTCCTCAGAACTTGGTGTTTCAGGTGTAAGAGGACTTTTACCAGAACTTTCTATGAAGGATACTTGTTCCAAGGTGTCATCTTCTGGACTAGCCTGAGGAGAAGGGGGCTGCTTATGTTGTCTAACTGAATAAAAAGTGCCCCTTGTTTCCTGTATTGTCCTGCTTTCCTGACTGAGTCTTTTAAAACCTCCTTGGTGAACACCTGAAGTTTCCTTTTCATGCTGTTTGCCCATTTGAACAACACTGACATAAACAGGTAAAGTCTTTATCTCTTTAAAACCTTCAATACTTGCTAAGGGCGCTACTTTTTCCAAATATTCAATTGGACTTCGGTCAAAGAACTCACTTGAAAATGATTCTTTAAGAGGACTAAACTCCAGAGAGTCAGGAGATTTGCTTGGGGAGCTTTCTATGTCTTCCCGACAATGGCTTGCATCCATATAATCTCCACGTGTGGCAGAGTTACGGTCTTCAGAGCCATTAGCTTGAAAGACAATAGCAGGCGATAGTTTTCCGCTTTTAACTCCACTTACATTTAATTCTGCTACATTTGTTATCAGTTCAGATCTTTTCACCTGAGTACCATTGCACCCTTGCATCTTTGAAACTGATTTTATTTTTTCTTCGGGTATTCTAATTGGGATATGGGATGGACTTGAACTCTCCTTTTTTTTCACAGTTCGTCCCCTCATTTGCTCCCTGATGCCATCACCATCTTCTTTCATGACAAGCTCTGTGTAAACCATTTTTCTTGATGGAGAAGTTGACTGAGCATCTTTAATGTCCTTTACTGAAGGTTTATTATTTGATGAATGCTCCTTTTCCATTACAGATGAAACAATCCTCTCCTGTGTTTGTCCATTAATTTTACACTCAGCATGAACATTATCAATTTCCTTTAAATTATCATGTACAAGTATGTGAGTAAGCTTGTCCACTTGTGATTTGTGATTAGAATTTCCACAGCTCTCCCAGGTCCTGTAGATCTTTTTCTCTTTATCTGACTTTGTGGACAAAACAGATTCTTCATTCAAACCCGCACTTTTGTCAGTCGACCGAACCACATTTTTCGCATTAAACATCAATTGCTTTGGAGCACTGGCAACAAAATTAGAAACATTCATATTTGGTACAATTTCTGGATTTTGTCTGTGAAGCACTGATGGCATAAGATCTATTGCAATGGTGGAGCTTCCTTGTCCGTTTAAATCTTTCAACTTACTAGTAAGCACTTCTTTTACAGATGAAATAGCTCCTTCACCTGCCTGTTCCAGCTTCTTTTGATTAATTTCTTTTAAGGAAAATTGATAGATTGGTAGTTTGCTTTCTTGCTGTCGCTTAGGAATGAATTTTTGCTGCCCTTCTTGAAGATTCCTGTCAACAAAGTTACTCAACAAAGGTTCGTCATGAGCCAGGCCACTGGAGAAAGCATCAGCAAACATTTTGTATTTGCCATCAGTACGATCATCCTGATAAACTCGATCGTGTAGATGTGTGAATCTGGATAATTCATTCTTCGGCACTACTGGGGTTTCAGTTTTTAAGTGAAGCGAACTAGTCTTTGCCTGTTTACAATGGAATGCAGGCTGTACAAGATCTTCTTTTTGTCTAATTTTATCTTTCATGTCATCTGCAAAATTGGAATAAGTTTTTCGTTCAAAGCCAACTGCAGAATCAGCAGCTTTCTTTTCTCCAGCATTTGCATAACACTTTCCCATGCACTGGTCATTTTGTTTTTCCTGGTTATAATCATCATTCCGTGATACTATATCAACCAAAAGCAGTTTCTCAGGGCTGCTACTGGATGAACTAAAGCCTGATTGCATTTGCTTTCCATCCCTTTTGTGGGACTTCTTTTCGGGAGATTGCAGTTCATCATTTAGCTTTTCCGTTTTGTCACGAAAAAACTGAGATACTTCCGTTAGCTTTTCTTCCGCTTCCTTCACGGTCCGGTCTACTCTGTCTTCATACATTAGTTTTTCTCTTCCACCATCTATTCTGTCCTCACTAAACCGCATCCACAGTGCATGTTTTGGACTGCCAGGATCTGCTGGATAATGCAGCACTGTAACCTTTTCGAAAAGATCACCCCTGTCACCAGATTTACCTACAACATTTTCAGATGCTTCTTTACGTGCTTTGGAAAGAAATTCTCTCTCTTGAACAGAGGCAATCTTTCCTTTGTAATGACCATCAAATGAATCTGTAAAGTAGGAATGAGGCTGCTCAGTAGCTGATTCTTCGGTATCAGAATGAGAAATATCCATTTTTTCAGAATGAAGCATTTTTTCTGCAAATTTGTAAGACTCTCCTCTTAACTCTGAGTATTCATCATCATGGTATTCGATTGAATGTTGAGTCAGAAGCTTCAGTGTTTTGTAAGAATCATCAGAAACAAGCTGAGCAGAACTAGGTCGACTGTCATCTTCCTGAGAAACCGGCGTGTTCACTCGTGATGATTCCATGTAGGATGGAAGAGATTCTTCAGCTGTGAGTTCCTCCTCCTCTTGTTGTGCCTGTTCATCTGATAGCACTTGGCAAATATCAAACTTTTCTGGCAAAACTTTCATATCTTTGAATGCAGTGTGTCCAGGAACGTCTTTATGATAAACAAATAACTCTTTTTCGGGATGCTTTTTTGTCTCTCTTATGATGACCTCTGTTGGGTCTGCTTCATTTCCTTTCTCAATATGAACCTCTATAACTCTTTCCACTTTTGGCTGCAAGTTGAAATCTTTATCAATGTGCTTTGCTGATGCTTCACCAGCCTTATGATTATCTGAAGAAACTCCTGACTTATGCTCAAAGAGGCCAGCCAGTTCTTTGGAAGGATCACGTCCTGACTGGAAAGCCTTCATTATATCACGAACAGACATAGTTTCTTCTATACTCTCACTCCTTTCCTTGCGGGGCGGTGAGTGATAAACCATTCTGGTTGTGGTTGTTATTTGAGTTTCTTCCTTCACACGCACTTCTTTGCTCATTAGACATTTATTGTCCTCTTCCTCGGATTTCATTTTAATTTGAAAAGCTTTCATCTTGTCCTTGACTGACCCAGTCGGCTTTTCTTCCACTTTTGTGAACATCCCTGCAGTTTGTGATGGAATTAATAATTCTTCCACTTTGGATTCCTGAGTTTCTTCTAATGTAGGTTCATAACTTCGGATAACATGGACAACTTCAGTCCGTGTTTCTGTAATAACAGGGGGAATAGGTACATCATGAAACAGAGGTTTTGGTCCAGTGCTCTCTGCACTTTGTGGGGCTGAAGGAGTCTTTTCACTTCTTGTCTCAAAACCACTGTCAGATAAAGGACTCTTATCTTGATCATGTTGAGAAAAATCATCAGGTGATTCCAAGATGGCTTCTGTTGCAAACACAGCGTCTGCAAGTTTACTTAATTCTTTCTCTGAAGCAGAAGGTCGCATGGGTGATGGTGGCATTTTAAGTTTATGTTCTGGTAAAGGCATTGCTGGTTTAAGTATTCTTTTTGAAAATATTTTTTCTTCACCTTCCTTTTTGACATCCATTTGTCTATATTTACTATCATTCATTCTTCCCAGTGCATCAGTTCCAAGATCATTTGTCAAATAGTCAACAACTCTTGCTAAACTGAAGTCCTTTTCATCTCCATTCCTGGTTTTCATATGCACAAATTCAGGTTTAAAAGTACAAAATTCCTCACTGGCTTTTTGTTTTGCTTCTTCAATTTCATCATAATCAAACGTCACCCACTCATCTTTACCCAAATGATCTCCATTTGTCGGACCTCCTTTGCAGCCATCCTTATTTTCTGAAAACACATCCTTCTGTAGAATCTCGCTGACCTTTACCAAATCTTCTTTAACTTTCTCCACAAGTTTAAAAGGCTCTTCACTATCATCTTCACTTTTTCCTCCTTTTGCTGAAATTTCGGATGGGAATGTCTTGTCATTTGATGAATCTGTCTGGAGGATGGCAGTCACCTTCATCAAGTCTTCTTTCATTTCAGCGACGTCTTTCAAAATTTCCTGGCTTGAGGACAACGAAGATGCACAAGATAGTTTCAGTGCTGAAGGAGCAAGGAACATAGAGGTTTTCAATGGAGACAATGTCTGAAGAATTTGAGACTGAGGTTGTGAGCGAGATTCTGTAGATATGGATTTGATCGGCGATAGTAATGCAGTGGTTGATTTGGTCAATGCCGGTTTCTCTGGGAGTTTTTTCAACTGTGGATCTGGCAAAATATTTACAACAGAATACACCGGCACAGTTATGGTTGCTGATGTCACAGATGCTGTCGTTACAGATGAGGATCTCAACGATGAATACAATGCCCCTGCAGGAGGTAATCTAACTGACTGAAAAGCAGAAGATGTTGAAGACGCAAAAGACTTCAGTGGGGAAACACTGGCAGTGAAGGTTTTCTCTACTGCATTATGTGCTGTTGAGAGAGATTTGTTGATTGACAATGCTGATTCCTTCTCTGGAGATGATCCAGATGTTTTACTGGATAAAAAAGCAGCTGCTGATGGATATTTGACAGGGGATATTGTTCCATTAGTTGTTATTTGACCTGTGGATGAAATTACTGACTTAAATGGAGAGAATGATGTAGATGTTAGTCCTTGGGCTGAATCAACCATGGATTTAACAGGGGATGATCCGGATATTGACATTGTTTTCAAAGGAGAAGGCAGAACTGTGGTTGTAGTTGTAATGATTGACTTGAATGGTAAAGTTGATGAGTACATGTTAACTGTTGATTTAGGCGAGGCTGGTGGAGTCATTGTAATAGAGGATCTCTCCAGTAGTGAGCTTGCAGTTGTCACAGGTGATATACGTGAAGAGAACACTGAAGAAGCTAGTCCTTTTACAGAGGAAGATTCAGGTATTATTGACGCTTTCACTGGTGAAGAAATCAAAGCAGAGGAAGGTTTAACAGCATACGGAGTCTGTGTCACTACAGTTTTTATAGGTGAAGATGTGGATTTAAATGATCTAATTGGAGATGCTAAATCACTCATAGATCTTACTGAAGAAGTTGTGGAAGCTCCTAAGGTTGATTTGATAGGTGAAGCGGAAGAGGCAGACCAGATTGACTTTAATGGGGAAGCTGTTGGTGTGTTGGACGTTGAACTTGATAAAGATGTAAATCCAGATTTTGCTTGTCCAGTTACTGCCATGGGAGCAGTTACCCATGACTGGTAAGGTCTTGTTGAAAAGACCGACTTGTATGAGTAAGGTGCAGGTAGAGACCTTGGGGTTCCTGTACTTCGTTCAATGGTTTCTTTAAAAATTGTTAAATAAAATACAAATGCAAAATCAACGGGAAAATTAAAGAAAGAAAGACCAGAGAAAAAGGTGATCAGTGAACAGGGTACACTGTTAGAAAAAAGTACAGTTAATAATTACAATACATTCAGTGAGATGCCGTAAGAAAACAATTTCATTTAGAAAGCCCATTTGAATTCATTTATTTTTAAGCGTACAGATTATCAAATCCGGAAAACGAACAAAAGCAGCAAATAAAGCAGAAAACAGACCACCAGGATGGTCCTTGAGAAGGGACAAAAATAGGTTTGAAGATGGGGGTGGAAAACAAACAAAATACAAACATGAAACAAATGGACACAACAATAATGGACACTGTAACAATATTTTCTACCTGTGTTTTCATGTGCTCTCATTGGTCACTATCTTTGAGTAGATGATGCATTTAAACTAAATATGTTCAGTTGTCAGAAGTAGCAAAGTCAGAAAATGAACCAGTTTCAAATTGTTGTCAGAATGTACTGGTTTAGTACCCACTCTTTCTTGTTAAGCAAATTAAGCACAGATGAATAGACATAGCCCACAATAATCTTTTGCATGCATAAAGTAAATTGATATGCAAACTGTGGAGGGACAGGAGAAAAGGAATAAATCATATCTAGCATGCACTTATATGGCAAATTAAACAATTCCTTCGATAACGTAAGAATTCAAAAGATAATACATATAATTGTAATTCAGAATTAAGTGTCATAAACTAAAAATAGCTTAAAAATGTGCCCAAATATGTGGACTCGATAGAATTTTGGTATGACTATCTCAATAACCAAAGCGATTACTACAGCACACTCTTCAGAGAATAACATATGGCACTGTTGCTTTTAATATGTGACAGATATCATGTGTCTCTTTTCATAGCTGCATAAGAAACTTCAACCTAACTAGCACAATTGTAATCTTTTATTTCTTATAGTGTTAAGGTTGAAGAAAACTAAACATCAAAATCATAATACAACAGTTCAGTTTTAGCCCACACAGAAAGTATTGTATTATGAACAGAAAATTATATTNAAAAAAAGAACGTGATGAAAAAATAATTCAAGTACAAGCTCCACAACTCAAACTTGTGTCCCAGGAAATAGATGTGGATTGGGGTGGGGTGTGAGGGTGGAGTGTGGGGGGGTGGGAGTGGAGGAGAAATGCCATGCAACAACAGGCAACGGTGATAAAATATTCTAGTTATTCACATTTCCCTTTATTTAAAAGTTAAGAGTTTTAAATTTCAAAACCAATAAAAACATTGTTAATGAAAATTAGTCAAGATTAAACTCACTCATTCCAGGCTCAGCAAGATAGCTGTACCGCTTACGTAATGCAATAGATGCAAAGGTTTGACGCCGGTCTGAAGTTCTATCAACCTGGAAGAAATAAGGCAGGAATTTTGCTAATTTCCATCACAAACCAAATTATTATTTTGAATCGTATGAATCTTAAGTATCCAATTTAATAGTAACTAAATCATTCTGTCACATGGTTCTTGATGAATATCTAGATGTGCACCACTGTATAAGAAATGATTTGTGATGGCCCCTGGTGTTCAAGACATATGTGTGTGAATTTTATACCAGTCTTATGTTATTCATTATATAAAGACTAAAGCAAATAGCATTGAAAACAAAACTACAATCCAATATACTTTAAGTAGCGAAGTGGCATATTGGTCTAACAAAATAGTAATTTATTTCCATTTAATAATATGCACACTATTTCCATAATAAGTGTTTTGAAACTATATTTAACTGTTTTTCAACAGCTGATTTTGGTTCTCTGTTTATCACCCTAACTGCTTTTCAGCATAAACCATTAATCCATACTAATCTTGTGATTTTGTGTAAACAGTATAAATGCTTCCTGAACTACAAATCTCTTCAGAACTCAATGTATTGAAGTTTGTCAAACTAGGTGACTGAAAAGGTTAATCCTTTCTTCTATAGATAACTTTCAGTCTAATTTTTCAAATTCTGTTTTGTTTCATGTAGCACATAAAGCACGATTGGGAACGTGAACTAAACTGATCATTAAAATAAAATTGAATTAAGGTGAATGACATTTTTGAGGCACTTGAGCATTGTGCTACACAAGTAAAAAAAAATTCTGTTACTTTCGCAGAGTTGAAATTGGAAATTAAGCTTTGCTTAATATGGATACACCATGGACATAACAAGTTATAGATGAAATTTCAAAACATAAATGCACAACACACTGCAAATAACTCCATGTAATCTCCCTAGCCATAATAATTGTTGCAGACAGAACTTTACTAAACAATCTCAGCTGTTGCCCTTGCTCAGGTATATACATAAATCAGCTCTCTTACAGCAGAGAAGCTTGTTAGTCTGTGTCACAGTAGAGGTTAGTTTTAGGACAAGAGTGAGTTACAATCCAGTTTTATTAACACATCTGTGTTAGTGATTTGAAATATTATTGATATACAATAGATAGTGATGAAACTATTGAGCTGCAGCAGTTGAGCTGTTTTTAGGAATGCAGGCTTTTTTTTCACAATTCATTAATGTCTCCTTTCTCAACCGATTCAATAATCTAAGAAAGTGTTGCAGAATACACTCAAAGCAACAAAACAAAGCTGAGTTCATTGCATAATTCCAAAGCACTAGGGAATGTTGACCCTTTAAGATTGCAGCATCAGCTTTGCATTGGACGCACAACAAAATGTGAAGATTACACTGTTGCAGTTGAGTCACAATGGCTTCAAAATGAAACATTTCTTGGATCCTACCTTACAAAAGTTAGTTTAGAAAAGTACAGAAAATCAGTTTTGAGGGGCAATGAAAAAGATGTTTTGAAATGGAGTAATCTTTTAGAAAGAAATTGGATACTGCAGTTTTTATCATCAAAAAATTAATCATCTCTTTGATTTTAGCATTAACTGTTCAGTTTCACTAGCTATTAGATGTTTGGCTGTCACTTATTTATCTAAGCCCAATTCCACAATGCCCTCTGCAATAACTTAATAGATATCATTACATTGAAACAAACAATTTTTTTTCCTTTACCTCTTCATCTTGATCTGATTCAGTTTCCTTATGGTCCCAAGAAGCATTGCAGAGACAAGGAATATTATAATGGACAGCAGGGAAAAGAAATATCAGGAGATGAAAAGGACCAAATTGGGAATACAAAATGTAAGCTGGTTAACACAAGATCAAACAAACCCAAAGCTAGCAAAAGGAAAAATTAAACCTGATTTCAATTACGAAACAAATCCACAACAAATGATGGGAAATATTGCAAGAGCAAAAGCCTGTAAATTACTGGCCAGTGCAAGTGCCTTGTAAACAAACAAACAAATCTTACTTAAAAATAGGCTTTAGACGTACAAAAATAATAAATTTGACAAAATGCAATATGTATTACCATTGAACAACATTTCCAGATTACAAACAATTTCAATTGTTGCAAACAAATTCTATGATCTTTTATATCTCCCTTTAATATCAGACAATTATCCACGTACCTTTTTATGAGCAGGCAGTGTAATATTCAGATTACAAATAGCCATTTGTGGTAACCCTTTGGAAGTTTTTGCTTCCTTGAGGAATGATAAACGACCACATGATTCCTGGCTGTTGTCTCTGACCTAAAAACAAGACAAAGAGTTATTGTTCAATGTCTACAGAACTAGGATGTCTGGTATTGTTCAGGCTTCTTGGTTAATTGAGGTCCTATTTGCCTGTTCACATGGATGTTAAAGATCCCATGGCACTATTCGCAAAGAGAAGATCCTGACCAACAATCACTAACATAATTATTCCACCACTGATTGTGGGATACTGTTGTGCGTAAACTGGCTGCCCCATTCACCACCACTACTCTTAAAGTAATGCCTGTGTTGCACTTTCAGGTGTTTTGACAACATGATAAGACACTATATCAAATGTTATGTTATATATGATTATTATATTGTTGCAAAATACATTTTATTTTAAAACTAACTGAAAACTGCTGCAAGGTATTTCAGAAGTTTCTTCAGCAAAAAAACCCCCAGCCCATTTCCTTTTTTTTATATAAACATAGATAATGTGAATTTTCTGCTTGAGGCCAGCAAATGATTTTCAGCATAAAATCACGATAACAGATATTTACATATTGAAGAATTTGAGTTTATTTGAGTTGTATCAAATATCAAGATAAATGTTCAAACTAAGGTCTGCAGCATTCATATGAACAAAAAGGCCCTTCACATTTGAACTGATTATTCAGGTCTTTGTGCCTAGTTTATAGATTGTTCAGGATCTGCATCCATCGTTGTTATAGAAATTTTTGTACTTTGTAAAAATATTCTTGAGTCAATATTGAAAAAAATTAGCAATATAATAATAATCCTTGCATTTGATATAGCACTTTTCAAGTCACCTAGACGTCTCAAAGCGCTTCACAGAATATACTGCAAAGTGAATTGACTGTATATTTTGTGGATGAAATATGGCAGCAAATTACGCACAGCAGTGTCCTACCAACAGTCGTTGATTGAAGTGACCAAATTATTATTTTTTTTTCTTGAGGGATTATTATCTGTCGTGTGTAAGGAAACTTGCCCAAGGTTTTGCCCTACCGGGAAACGAACCCAGGTCTCTCGCTTGCGAGGCGAGTGCTCTAACCACTGAGCTACAGGACTCATGCTCGTTCACCTTCATTACAATGGGTTTCACGTGCAAAAACAAGTTATAAAATAAAAATGTTATAGTGCCTTTCATGTTAGGAGGATGTCTCAAAGCACTTAGATGCAACATACAAATTGAATATTTTTGTTAAAAAGACAACTCTTGTTTTTCAGTTTCCTTGTATAAAAACTTAAAAAACAATAATATCATAACCCTTGCATATGATAAAGCATGTCATCGAGACCTCTCAAAACTTCACAAGTTTTCACCGTGAAATGTAGTGACTGTCTATTGACTGTGGTCAATTTTGGCACAGTAATGTCCCACAAACAGCCGTATTTGGTTAGACCAATTTTATATGAGGGACTGTTGGCCAGGACATCAAAAGAAACTCCCTTCTCTTTTCCAATAGTGCCATGGATCTTTCATGCACCTGAACAGACAAACAGGATCTCAGGTTAATGTCTCATGCAAAGGATGGCACCTCTGAGAAAATTGTTTAAAAAAATTGGACATTAGTATCTGAAAAGGAAGAAAACACTTACTAATTAGGGCTTTGCTGCCTTCTGCTGGGCAATATATAACACTACATTTTTCTTTGAAACAAAGCAAATTTTAACCCATTATTTCAAAATTCTACTTAAAATATTATGCCTCCTGAAAAGATAGCAGTCAATATATGGCTTCAGGCATATGTCTGGAGTGGTTACCATTGCGTCTTTCACACAGAACACGCATAGAGTGCTTCAATGGGGGTGGAGAAATAAAAAGAATTGGATCTGAGAGACGTTACGCACTAGGCATCTACCAATTGTTTGAATACAACATTCTGTTGGAGCAATAAGAGATCATACTGCACCTTACCTTTACACTGAAAGGCAATCGGTTTTCTTTGAAAGCATAAAAGGTGAAGACGAGGGGCTGCCCAGCTTTTGCAAGAGGAACCAAATTTCCGTAGCAATCCAAGTGGATGATTTTACCTTCTAGCACCTGTTGATTGCATCATGACGTTATGACAAACACAAGCAGCAACTTAACTCCCAATTCCATTTATGCATTAAAAGTATCCACCAATAAGAAAAATACTTTGAACTTAATTTCGTCCTTCCTCAGGCAAAACTGGAACCTCCTCTCAATATTATTTCCAACCATATGCTTGAAATTACAATTATGATTGTATTAGTACAGTATGTTAACATTGCACAGTATTGGCTGGAGGACCTGTCATCAGTTCCAATCTCTGCTAACATTAACACTTAGATTTTACCCAGAGGCTGACCCGACAATCATGGCTCAGTTGGCAGGTGCAACACTGAGCAATCAAATGATCTCAGCCAGTGAGAGGGAAAAAAGGTTATAAATCTTTTCTTCTTAAAGCACACACACATGAACACCTCTGATTGACTGGTCATAAAGTAGTAACATCGGATGCCTCAGAAATGTCCATTGTAGTCTGCCCACCTCTCAAATGGAGCCAAGAGTATATGGCCTTGAAGACAAGGAATGGGAGAAGAGGGAATGGATCAGCATATTCTAAATTATACCATCGCTCTTTACATCATCATTTCAACAAGTGCAAATGGCAAAGGAGAAGACATTTTTCAGAATAAAAATCCAAATCTACACATGAACAATTCAGTCACACCATACAGAGTGTTCATTAAGTTCAAAATAATCTTTAAATACACTATAAACAAGTGTGAATTACAGTTTAACTGCTTTGGACAGACGTGGGTTACACCAATATTGTATAAATGATTAACATCTGGATTCTTAAACACTTATGTTATTGACAGCAGATGCTAGCTGCAGCATTGCCACAATCCTTATTAAGCACTTTTTCTTTCTTGATAGTAACGTGCGACCTAGAAAAGCTAGACTCAAATGATGTTCATCCAACTGAAACAAATCATTACAAGCTGCGTACATTCTATTGGGATATAATTCATGTCACTCAACTGATATTCACTCATATACACACACACACAAGTAACTGTTAAAAAGACTGTACCTCAATATCTTTGCTCCTTGCCACTTCCGTGAAGTTTTCCTGTTGTTCTAAAGTCTTGTCAACTTTATCATCAGTCATGCAGAAACAACGCAGTCGAGCTTCCACAGGGTCATGCATTTTGGCAAACACAACAAATTTGGCCATGTATGGAACACAGATTAATTCTCGGTAGAGCTGTGTAGCTAAACTAACAGTTTCTGGGACCTGATGGCAGTCTGCAAGCCAAAATCTGCACATGAAATTAGACAAACAGGAAGTTCATTGAGAAATGCTCAGCTCAGCAAATCCTTTTATAATGTTAATGAGCAAAGACTACTGTATACTGTTAGGAAATAGGTTACAAGACTATCTATGAGCCAATATTTCTTGTTTCCCTTACATCTGTTACAGTTTAACTATAAATTTAAAGTCAGTGAAACAATCATTAAAATAACTTGACTGTAAAACTACTGCTTGTTTGGGAGTATTTAAGTTTGTTCATAGTTTGATAAAATGCAAGAATTATTATTATCTTGGACAACTATAAGAGCTCCGAGACGCCATCCAGCGTGAAGGGACCTATAGAAACGCAAATTGTTATTGATATTTATCTAGAAAACCCATAATTTAATAAAGTGGTGGATCTTAAGACACTTATTTTTTGAATGCTTTCTGCTCCACAACCCTTTCCCCATTACATTTCTGCTCAGTTTCACTTTGTAACTCACAACTGCAATACATTATCACTTTAGTGAAGTGACATTGCATCTAGAATGATAATTCCTCATGTGGAAGAAAAGTCCAGATTCCAACCACCACAAAAGTATCACATTATCTAAACCGGTAAATGATGGGAGTTAAAACATTAATTCAATACCCTGTCAGTACATCACTTGGGAGCTCTTTGCATACAAAAACAAGGAAACTAATCAAAATACTTTGGCTATTTTCATTACAGTCAAGCATTGAAAATATACATTAAATATTTTCAGTTTTAAGCGATGTAAAACACTGTACCCTAGCTTATGCTTTGCTAAAATACAACACTTTGTGGGGGCCATGGGCTTAACTACCAAAAAGCCTGTACCTGGCTGAAACATTTGTTGTGAAGGAAACCCCCTCATCCACAAAGGTTAATGGGGTTGTTCCTGTGATGTCTTCCCACTGCGCAGGTGATGTACCTCCTGTCAAATTAAAAGGAAAAATTAACTAGGAAGTAGTTATTTACTCCATCAGCAGCATGCAACACCAATGTGGACTTTATGTTAATGAAATGAGAATATCTTTAGAACCAAAATATTTAATCTTTATTTATTAAACATTGAGATAACAAATACACAAGCTGGAGAAAGACGTAGTTGAACATTTGCCACCCTAGTTATAGAGTTAAATTCTAAGAGAAACATAGTTGCCAGCCTTTTGATAGATCGCTGCATATCTACATGTGAATCAGCTGGGTACAATTAAAATAGTAAGAGTTTGATATTACTGAAAAGGATATTAAAAAAACTCAACCTTTTATCCACTTTAATCCTTAAATTTTAATATGAATGTTGAACAAAATTGCCACAAATATTTTCCTCTTATAGAACCATTGCATTTAATATTTGCTAGCAATCCATCAAACTGCCTCCTGTTGTCATGATTTTCGGATGAGTTTTTTTGGTGTGTTCTCCTATACAGTGTGCTCCAGTGTTTCGGTTCTAATGAAAGGCCACCCACACCTCACATGTTACCGTGAACCAATCTTTCTCTTTCAGTTGGTGGACCTGTTATTTTTAATTTAAGTTGTAGTAACAGGAGAGAAGGGAGGGTTAACACACCTGTTATGCTGCACAGCAGTCGGAGGCTTGGAGTATCGCCTCTGTATCCATTAGAAATTCCTTCCCCTGATGCAGGTGGCACGGGAATTGTCATAGTAATGGGTTTGTGGAATTTCCGCCTTCTGGGTTCCACAGTTACAATTGGACTAAAAGTGGCTCGATTTCCAAGGATCTTTTTTACAACCTCATCTGGGACAGGCTGGGCCTGTGGGAAAAGTACATTCCAATGTTAAACTAGGAACAGCAGTAATAACCTGTACATTTTCTAATCAAAGCAACATAATTAAATACAGTCACTACACTTTAAAGTATATCCTGTGAAGTGTTCTGAAAAGTCCTCCTGCCGTGAAAGGTACTATACTAATTGTAACAAAAACATCAAAAAGAATATGAATGCAAGGATTATTATAGGATTATTACGACTATGACACAAGAACCTTCCTCAGAATACCCCATTTGCATCAAAAAGTATTGAGGCCACACATCACCATTGTAAACCTCCACTCAGTTTTGACCAAACTGAATGTACTGCAAAGGCCAACTCGAAGGAGTTAGCTCCAATGAAGTGCTGACCATTTCCTCCCAGAAGCAAAAGCTTTGGGGTCACTGTGTAATTCCTAATTTTGCTTTTTTAGATCCATCTATTTGGCAATGATCTGATGTATACGAAAGTCATATCATTTCAGAGTCAGATCAACACTTGGAATGATAACATACATGATACATTGTTGTGCACCAACATTACTTTATGATTGAGAATCAGAACAATGTGCTCAAGCTGGGACAATAAACATGTTTTATATAAAGAGGAAATAGCAAGCAAATACAATCCAAGTTGTGACAAGTTGCAGAGTCATTTACGGATGAACATATCAGACTGAATGGGTAGTGAAGGATCCCACTATAAACTATAGTGTTAAGTTTTATTCCTTTTCATCATGTTAAGATATAAAAATGGCAATTGAGTAGAACAAGCACATTTCTCCAAAAGCAATGATTCAAAAGGAAACTTGGCAAGTCAACCAGTACCACTTTGTGTGTATGTGTGTGTGTGTCTGGAATGCAAAGAACTGAGCCAAATCAGCCTAATCAGAATACAAATTTTCATCCTATAACAGTGCAAATGGGCCTCATCGGGAAATGTCACATGCAAATGTTATTAAACATCTGCCTCCATTTATACAGAGCAGATGGAAACAATGTTCAAAGTTCACATTAACAGTGTTCATTAAAGGAATCTGAAGGTCTGAACAACTTTTTGGGAGCACTATTCAGAAATCATGGATTTTTGTAGAAAAGTGTTAAAAGTGAAAGAAAAAGCAGACTAGAGTTCTGGTCAGTACAAACTCAAAACCACAGTCTACTCAGATTAAGGCCAGTGCTCTGCGATGTGAAACAAGCATTCTGTAACTTCACAATCAGATTGAAAGTGTAACATTCACAAACCAGAAGTCACTCCGCTAACTGCATCTTCTGTTTTTTATAATAATAGTCCTTGCATTTGATATAGAGTTTTATCACGACTTTGAGATTTCTCAAAGCGCTTCACAGAATACACTGTAAAGTGAATTGACTGTATATTTTGTGATAGAAATCAAATTGTTCACCACTGGCATTTTATTCTCAGGCCATTGCTGAACTGGGCAGAGCCTGAAAAAAGGTTTAATGAGATTGGTTACTTTCAGTCCAAATCAGGATGACCAAGTATGAAGAGGATCAGACACTCTCAACATTATAAATTTCCTCCAATTAACATTGTAGTCTAGAAAAACAGCATCTTGGTATGTTTCTACCAATAATCTGTGGTTAGGTCTCACCCGGCAGTAATACAGTGTTTGAATGATATCTGCACATATATTTCATGGCATGACCACAATTATATTTCATTATATTAACACACAATGCAGCACAAATTGTGAGATCTCACAAAACTAATGTAATAATGTTTGATAAATATGGAAAGTTGCAATTTTCACTCCCAATATTTCAACATCCCAATGAATGAAAAAATAAGAAATATATATACGAGCAGATAATGATTTATATTCTTCGTTACCTGATGTGTGACCTCTGAGGTTGCCCATTGTTGCATTTCCGCTTATATTTCCATCTCTGGGGACTTTACTTGTGTACAATACAACTCCCTGCACTTTCATGTGCATCATTTACTTGATTAACTGGTTAGAAATGTAACGATACACCGATAAAATATACACAGTTACCTGGAGGCCCACTCGGATTCTCTTGGTTAAGGCACCCTCTGGGAAGGATGCTTGAACACGTGGGATTGTTGAACTGCTCAACATTCCTCCTTCTGGTCCCATCTGATTACTTTCTTGTTTAATACGAGATACCACCGCAAAATACTGTGGGAAATCCTTGGAGACAACTCGACAGATTCGTTTCTTCTCCAGTTCTTCAAGGCTATCGAGTTCTGAATATCAATACATTGACATCTTACTATCACAACTTTTTTCAGCTTTTACTCAAACAAAACTCAAAGGAATATCATCACTTTCCAGTATTTATACATAGAAAAGATGAACTTTCTTTTCTTTTTAGGTTAATCTATTTTAAACTGTTGCTAGTTGTGTCAAATGTCTTTCTTGTAGATTATACATCAAGGCAATTTCTCTAATAGAAAAGACTAATACTTTGTACTTTCACATCCTTTTAGAAGCTGTTTATAAGCAACACAAATAAGATTTTGCATCCCTATAAGGTCAGTTTGACATGATTAATAACCAATCCACAATCCAATATCTAAAAACTGGAACAGAAAATTATCTCCGCTGTGCTTCTGGGAGAGGTTCTGATGGATAGAATAAATAGATACAACTGCAGGAGGGCAATAAGAACCGCTACATATATTTTTGTGTTGTCTTTCCAGGAGCTTTGGTTTCATTTACTAAGTGTTTTCTTAGCTTAGATAATATTTAGATTCCAATATACATCACAGACAGCAAAAGAAAAACACATGCAATGGGTTTTTACAGAGATTATTTTCCACAGGTTCCATCTTTGGTTGGGTGAACAACATACCCTACCTGTATGAGCAAATTTTAAGATGTATGTCTGGGAAAGTTAAATTACTTAAAAATAAAATTGCACGGTCATACCAAATCTGTCTGAGCAGCCTTTTGATAAATACATGCATTCAATTCCTTTGGATGAGCAGTGATGTGATCTAAAATCTGTAAAATATGACATTTGAGTACATCAAATGACCCAAATGGTGGACTCAGCAAACTTTTTTTTGTGTGAAGGGGAGGTTTCCAATGTGGTGTTAAAGAGCAAAATCAAAGTCTACCAAAGCTATTGTGAACATGGCCTCAAGAGATGCCATTGAGCTTGTTCACTCCTGTGGGTTCTTAAAAGTTGCCATTGGGTATCTTCATGCCTTCACAGAGTTGAATTCTCATTAGATCCAGCTGAATCATTACATATCACTAGGTCTCCGTGTTATTTTCATTCATATCCACTTTAACTTAAGCATATGGGTTTCCGCAAGTGTCAGACACCCGGCTGACCAACAAAAATCCACTTTAAGAATGATTGTGACATGGCAGTTTAAAAAAAGTCATTATAGAATTTAGATATTATCCCACAAAGATTGTGCAGTTACAAGTTCTGCAGCATAACAGGGAATAGTAACAGGAAACTAAAGCAGTCAAGTTTTAAGATGCATGTCTGGGTTAAATTACGTAAAAATAAAATTGCACGGTTATCATTCTTCCAGGAAATCATGAGTTAAAAATCTAGCCTCAGAGAGATATCAACTAGGTTTGTTTTCAGCTGAATGGGACAGATTGGTGAACGTTTTTTTAAATTAACACAGAGGTCCAAAAAGCCTCATCAACCCCAGTCATAACTTGAAGCCTCCACATCTGTTGTACATTATGCTATGTTATGCTATGCCATTATATTTTATGAAACTCCTGATAAGCTCTGGACATCACATTTTAGTGTCCACAGGAACGTTTGACCTACACATTTGATCATTATCTTACGTTTAATCAACTTCATTTAGAGGCATCAGATATCCATTTTCAAAGTGATTCTTAGATCAAAGAATGATTTGACTTAAAGGAAGAATGGTGTATTGATTGCTAGACCTTCTATCAGGTACTGATAGTATGACCTGCCAAAGGGCTGTACATATGAGCACATGCATTCAGCACAAATATATTCTTTAAAAACTTGAGGCCAACCAGCCTGAGGTCAACTTACAAGCTTGAACCGAATGAAACTACTGCATCAAGAGTAACACTTTTGAAACAAAAGAACCGAGTCTGATTACCTTGACTACTTAAACAAAAGAAATTCTACAAAATTACTTAAAATAAATACTTAACCTAACCGAAAGCTTTAATGCTGTCATGTACATTTTGGAGAAAATCACATCATGGTTAGTCATTGTTAAACTCACAAGGCAAGGAATATGATCTGTCCTCGCAATTCCATCACTTACAAGCAATAGAACGTGCAGAGGATTTCACGCTAAATAGAAATTGTGGGCGTATCCAACAATTAATATAGAATACTTCCATCTGCTCTCATGATTGTAATGTCGCCTCCGCTGCCAGCTCAATTCTTTAGTAAAGAATCCTCTCCAAGGGAATCTTAAAATAGCTTTTACTTTTATCTTCATTTTCAGTCATGGATTGGAAAAGAGTTCACAAAATGAGCTGAGTAGCAGAGTGGGAGATAGTTAAATTGCTGAGTGGGAGTCTGCCTTGTGAGTTAGGAAGCAGAGTGTTTTGTTTAAAAAAAACAAGAAAAATATGGAAAGTTATCCAAGGATCATTTTTCCAAGGAGCTTAACCTGTGAGGCTGACTTGGAAAACGGAATTCCTAGAAGACCATCCCAGGCTAGGCTGACTGAACATTAGACGAGAAAAGTACTAGTTCTAAAAAAAAGTATGTTAAACTTGTGATGCTTTATGCACAACCCTATCTAACTGTCTTGCTGGGCAAAAAACAGTCTTCTGCAATTACTATAGCATATTAGCAAAGATTGAAAGAATGAACAAAAGAAACTTAAGTGAAACTTAAGCTTATTGGCTGAAAACCAGCACTTTAAGGCTTTGTGTTGAGAAGTTTATTTTACAAACCAAGCAATACCAATGACCAGAAACCCATTAAGACCATTTGACTGTTATCTCTGGCCATGCTTTTAAAGGATAGCAGTCCAAACTCTCTTAAAGTAGAGAGAAATATCACTGTTTGCTTTTCCTGGTTGGTACTTACTTGTGTGAAGGGGTATTGTAAATCAAGAATAAAACAAATATGAAAGAAGGAAAAAAATATATTAAATTATGAACTTTTGCTCTCAAATAGTTTGCCATCTTTCTGTGTATCACTACATACATGCATATAAATGCAGATATAGCTACCTTTGACTCCTCATTTTATTATATCCAAACATTCTTTGATGTTTAGCTGCTATTTTCCTCCACAAGGTAGACAAACTACCAAATAGTAAGACACGCAACAAATTTAATTTTGTAAGGCAGCTTACAAATGGTATATAGAACACTCACAAAAGTGGATACCTACCTTCATCCATGCCGTTTAGTATTTCATTAAGCTCCTGTTCTTTACACTCGTAATGGTGTTCTTTCCAGGTTTCTCCACTTTCACTTCGAAGTACGATGAGTTCCCTTTCCTTGTCTCGCATTGACCCAAAATGTGGTATCTCCACAATGACTGGCCTAGAAAGAAAACACACTTTTAGTATTAATTTTAGTTGACAGACAAGGACCTTTTTGGGGTATAGTGAGTTAAGCAACCAGTTTCGTCATCTTATCAGATTTCCTCAACAAAATGTTAAATTTATCAAAAACATCAATTTGATCGTTTCAACCCTTTGAGAACTGAAGTAGCATTCCTGCATCACAAATCAAACTAACTTTCTCTCCAAGAGAGAAACATTAGAGGAAAACAAATTCATCAAAACAATAAATCTCATTACATTCCAGGTTATAGTTGTGTAATTCTTCTTATGGCATGCATTTGTGCATCACCGTATGTATACATAGAAATGTAGACTGTCTCTACATTTCACATACTTACTTTTAAGGATATCATTTGTTTTGTATCTTTCACAATTTTGTCTGCAGGTTCAGATATTTGCAAAAATGCATGTTTTAGATCTGACAAAAAAAATGAAAGATTTCTGGTTTTTGTGACCTGAAAAAATTATTTCTGCACTCAAAGGGCTAGAAAAATAATTTAAGCTCACAAAGACTGCAACACTGTATTTGAAAATCTACCACGAACAAGTTTAAAGACTGTTTTTTTTATTTGTATAAGCAGACGGTACTTAATTCATTTAAAAATAAAATATACAAAATATAAAACGCTACCAGTGAGGTGACAAGTTTACTGCATAAACGTATACTTTCACCACCAGTTTTAAGGGGCTGGTTTTAACTGTATTTCTGACGCCCAATATAAAAACAAGCACATCAGGGAACCAATGTAGTAATCTTTAGCAATCTGGTCATTCTCTTTATAAATTGGCTTCATCGTATTAAATGGTCATTTTCAACAGATCAATTTAAAACAAAGTACAAAGTTTCAGTTCGTTTTTTTTCTCCTTTTGGTCAGAATACTCTGCATGAAGAAATGCTCATTCTTTACATTTCTCTCATTCCACGTCATATTGTTCAAATTTTAGACATTTACAGAAAATTTTTTTTTGCAAATGTGAGTAAAAGCATGTGTGATTATTGAAAAGTGCAAAGGAAATTCAGTACTCAAAGGCTTTATTAGTTTGGAAATACAGCCTTGTAAGGCAGCGAAACTGACACTGTCCCATTAAACATTTAGGAAGTTTGATAATTTCCTGTGTTTTAGTGCATGACATCCAGAATGAAAATATGGGTATAGAGAATGCAACAAACCATCACTTTTTATTCTAATATTAATTTTCATTGTAAAACCTCAAACTAGAGTACATTTTGAACAAAACTAAAGAATTGACACTGCAATACCATTGTTATGATATAGAAACCCGTGTCAATGGGTACTCTTGACAATGAACCTGCAGAAGCTTCTCACTCTTAAATTTATGTGGATCCTTATTCAGAATGACCAATAAAACTAAATTATGTTTTACTAACATACTGTGAGAGGTATATTCACTGAGATCTGTAGCTGATACTTATGAAGTTAGAAAAACACCTAAATTTTATACTTAAGATTACATTTTCTGCCTTCAATTTATGTGAATCTATGTCATATCCACCGATCTTACAACAAAACATTGAGCTGCTTACACTTGCTGGAAAACCAACATCTATTTTATAGATGCATCTCAGTTGATACCTTCTCTATACCCAATATTAGATGCAAAGAGCTTTTACATTTTACCAAAATGCATTTGAAGCAGCTGAAAGAGATTTTATATGTGAAATACAGAAGTAAAGCAGTTATGAAGGCTGAATGCTTGCAGTGAATTATAACATGCCTTAAAACGCAAAGCTAATTAGCAGAGCTTTAATAAATCAAGCCACTATGATCTTCTTTCAGTGACACAAACTGAAAGTTTTTCAAAAAAACAGAAAAAAAAAACATGGGGAATGACTAAAATAAACACCAAAAAAATCTTCAAAAATTAAATTAAAAAAAGTCTGCTGTGACAGTTTGTATCTTTTATAAACATCCTACCCAATAAATTTTGTTCCTCGAGGACCGAGCTGCAGGATTCTGCAAACCAAGCTCTCGCCCTCATTCAGAGGGGGAGGGTTGGTAGGAAGGTGAAGTTTACTGATAAAACATCCATGCAGCAATAAGGGAAACAAAAAGGGGAAAACAATGAACAAACTGTCATTCCCAACAGTACCCATAATTTGAAGAGACCATTTGCAAAGCTTATTCTAATGTAGAGAATCAAAAATTACTAAGTGCTGCCGAATCTTTAGCCACATCATAGTGGATTGTTTTCAGAGGAGTTTTAAAATTGAATTATTGCGGATGATCAAATAAAAATGTCATTTTAATTTATTTTGGATGGAATATTATGGTGCTTTGTTAGGGCCACATTTAAGCGGTTAGGAAGTAAATCTTACCCTGAGTAGATGATATAAAAAAAAATCCTTCACATAACAGTATTTAAAACCTCTACACACCTAGACGGAATCTACTTACTGGGTGTTACACGAGTTAGTGCCCCAAAACTAACTAAAAGCTCACAGTCAAGAATTTGTGAATTATAATATTAATCCACAAAAGAAAAAAAATGAGTAACGTGGTAATGATATGAAAATTTCAACAAAAACTTACCCTAAGAACTGAGCACCTGATGGTCCAACTTCCACGATTCTACTGGCTAACCCTTCCCCTTCTACCATGGGCGGTGGGCTGGCAAGTTTATGCCTCTTTACTAAGCGGCAAGTGATTCGTGTCGGCGCTGTGCATTTGCGAGGTGGGATGATAATACGCATTCCGTTATGGCGGCTGCCACGCATTGAGCCACCACGCGCGTCCACCATGAAGCTAACAAGAAAACTGTCGGGGGGAGGGGTGGGGGGAAAAGATAAGGAGGTTACTCCAAATCACAGCAGCAGAGGAAAAAAACACATGCCTGTCAGCAATTTGCAACCCATAATAGAAGGTGTGAAAAATTAATGGATAAAATCAATCGGTTTTCACACAGCAATATTACCCCGAGGAGAACAGCACCTTTTAGTTAGCGTTACTTTAAAATATCTTATGGATTACTTCGATAGGCGTAAAAAATAAGTTCACAAAAATCACGTTTTCTAAATTTCCATTTCTTTGTTGTTCAAAACTCTAGGATTAACACCCAGAAATGTTAACTTGGAGTGACGTTGAGGGATAAGGAGAAACAAATCTGATCCAAGCATGAACCTTATCCGACTTCAAATGTCACCTCTACAGCTTCACAAGTTGGTTTCTCAACTATTTCCATTATGTATTATATTGTATGAATTACACTCATGTAAACTGCAACTCCTTTCAACAACAACAACAATAACTTGGATTTATATAGCGCCCTCCACGCCGGACGGCGTCTCAAAGCACTTTACAGTAATGGATCCCAGGACCGAGCCGGGGAAGGGGGAGGAAGGTGACCAAAGGCGCGGTCGGAAAAAAAAGGTCTTCAGCAGAGACCTGAAAATGGGAAGGGAGGGAGCGAGACGAAGGAAATGAGGAAGGCAGTTCCAGAGCCTTGGGGCATAGTGGTTGAAGGCACGGCTGCCAAGGGTGGAGCGGAGGACTCAGGGGACAAGGGGGAGTATTTCAAATACTGTATACACAAATATTCTTTCTTTTCAAACAGTAATTTTAAAAATAAGTTCACCACAATTGCCTTTAATAATTCAAGTATCTGCTATTTATTCTCTCCATTCGTGGATTCAACACAATCATTCTTTTTGCAAACAATTGTTATGTTGCTACACCTGAATCATTAACACCTTCTTCCTTAGTGTAGAGACAGCAGCAAGATATCCTGGTCTCACAGGTCCATTCTCAACACAAACAACCTGGCCTAGCTAAGGAAGCCAGGAAACAGATGTCAGCATAGGGGGAAAATCCTAACTTGTACGATCATGCCATACTTTTACTTTTCTTGGATAGAGGTATCCCTCATACTCTTCTTCGCAGTCGCCAAATTTCCAGAAAATACAAGGAAACATTAGCCCTGTATCAAAAGTGCAATACTATTTCAACTAAGTAAGATAGAATGCAATCACAATGTAAAATATTTGTTGAATCCAGTTGTCTCAGTAAATACTCTCTGTACAACACAATCTGCCTTGCAACCTACCCAGAATGGATGGGGCTGGAAACAAGATTGATGTTATCCAGCGTGTCTGCAGTCCAGCTGAACCTCTTCAAAGAATCGCTGTCGTACTCTCTCGTGGCTGCAAGGTGCTACAACAAAAATACCCAGAGAGGAGAAAGCAAATCAACCAAAGCACAAAGCACAGGGTTTCTAAGATGCAGCATGAAATGTCATGAAATAATGATTTCACCCTTTCTGACAGATGCCATTAGGAATTAAAATGTTTAAACCAATATGCAGACACAATATGAATACACCAAATTACATGCTAATGTGCAACTACTGTTTTGGAGGCTGAATAAACAGAGAAACATTTTCACAAATGAATTTACGCAACTCATACACATCTGCATTACTTTATAATTATCTGGTCTGTATAGTCATAAAGATGTACTCTCTTCAACCCTCCCCTAAGCAGTATTCTCTGTTTACATAAAGAACCATTAGCTCCCAGAGAGTTAGAGCATTCAGATGGCATTTACAAGCACAAGGACCTATCTTAATTGTCTATAATCATCATCTGGACTCAAGACTATTACAGACTTTCAATCCCTCACTGCTAGTAGTAAATTCACATAATCTATCAAATGCAGGTGTATTCATCTGTAAAGTGATGTTCATTAATGGTTCTCACACGAACAATAGGACCAGGCACGTCAATAAGATTACAGCATCATGACATAAATGAGGACATTGTCAAAAGCATAACAGACAAACAGAATGAATAGTCTTGCAATGCCTCAGTGTCAAACAGTATTACTGGGTTATTCACTATTTGAATATAGTCAAGCAACCAACATTGGTTAGAAAATAAAAGTCTGTTAATTGAAAGTGAAAGCTGTTAGCAGATTTATTTCCTCAAAGCAAAGGCGGCTATTATTGAAGGAACATTTTATTGCACTGTGTTTTGCCCAACCTCTATTTGTCTGAAAAATAGTATTTTAAAACACCTGTAAATAGATGTTTATTATTTTAAAAAAACTCAAGCAATTATTGGTCCTCTGGTCAGGATTGCCATCTTCTCTGTATTTCTAAGGCTAAGTGTGAAGGAAGACATTTCCTCATTTATCTTGGCTCTCAGCACCCACCTTCTCATCGATTCAGTGCTTGGGAGCGGATACCAAGTGAAGAGATGTCAAGGATACACAGCACCTACCCCAGAAACGTAGCTAAAGTAGTGAAATAACGGTGCTGGGCAAGAGACAAGTTGATGAGTTTCAACTAATTTTAAAATTAACACAGCACTGTATTTTGCTGAAGTTATTTAATACAGGTTAAATGTAGTACATATGATGAAAAGGAGAATACATGGGGCCAAAACAAGAATTAGGGTTATTATGCTACATTTTCTAAGTTAAAGATGTATGCAACATGGAACCAAACCAAGAATATTTCATTAATAGCAACCTCTGCACAACTCTCCAACAAGTTAGATGAACAATTATAGATGGAAATTGGATTGAAAGATCTGGCATAAGGTACTAAAATAGCATAACCGGTTCAATGGGTTGATCGGCCTACTCTTGTTCCTATGTTACTGTGCACATATTGAAAGTTTTGCAAAGAACATAGGGCGGCTGAGGACAATGTTAAAATGATAAATTCAACATTTTGCATAGCCAATATCACAGCTATGGTATGTGACCCACTTTATGTGCTTCTGAAATAGCAAGTAGGTTTAAATGGTTTCTGAGAAGAGATTTATGTCGAAATTGAAGAAGGGCAGCAAACAGCATAAAACCACTGATGCCCATCAGTGAAGTTAATTGATCACATGACCCTGTTGGTGTAGATTGGTGTATACCAATAATTGTCATGCAGTTGGAGCAGAATAACACGTGAACAATTTTTACACAATCCCAATAAACCTGGCTAGCAGACACAAACACTTACTATAGAGCTCTGCCATCTGGTTCAAATAAATATTTGAAAACCTTATTATTCCAAATCAAAAGGCAAGATTATTTAAGTGATTGTGTCCCTTCAGACTTTTAAGTGTCTTATTTATTTTCAACATGATGCTCTCATTACAGAATGGCAGGTCCAACAGATGTGTGTTTGTTGTTGGGGGTGGGGGGAGAATTTTTTTTATAACTTTATTACAATGTTAAATCATTGTAAATCAGAGAGGCCCATGTAGTCACATGACATTGCATTCCTGAAGCAATTGCAAAGACCTTGATAATGAACAGGAATCTGCCGTCTTCACCCACGTTTCGTGGATATGTAAACTCAATGCCCGGTTTTCTCAGTTTTTGTGCAAATTAAGGATTTTCGTGAACTCCCACAGAAATATTGCACTCTCCTGAATAGTATTTTTGGAAGGACTGCGTTTCATATATTGCAATACTTCAAATTAAATTTACTTTGTATATTTTAAACTCAGACTGCTGTGTGTCCAGCATTTATAAAGATGGAATATTTGCAATTACATCGATAACTGTGATGAATCAAAAGAGCTAGATTTCTAAGGTTAGCTCTAAAAATTTTTGTTAATGACCAAACCGCTGTCAGGTTAGTGAGCGCACAAGTCTTGTCAAATAACTGTCAGGTTAGTGGGTGCTCAAATATTAATGGGAGTGAACTGCATAACAAGGCATTTGAGATACAAATCAGGAAATTGGAACCGGGAAGGTCCCAGTGCAGTAAACCCCACTCACCTTGATGCCCACGGGTCAAGTTGCACTCAGTTTACAGAATACCTCAATACAAAACTAGTTCAAATTAAACCAGGTCTCAAGCAGTCAGAGGCTTCTGGTGTATGGAATTTGCCCATTTACTTTGTACAAAGAATCTAAGGCATCGCTGGCAACTTGGAAATAAGTGTAATTATATCTCAGGCTTCGCAATCCATTTTTCTTGGCACACACGTTCCCCGAACACAAGGGAAAGTATGACAGACCAGCATTGCTGATGAAAAGTAACCTTGAATGATCTCCAGAGGCACAACACTGACTTGTTCAAATTATAGCAACGTGGCTGGAGTTGGGTCTGGCATTAGTTCCATAAGCCCAAAAAGGGGGTCTACCAGAGAAAAATGAACTGTTATGCTCAAATACCTTCAAATCAAATCTATTGTTAACCTTGTTAAAACTCTTTGCCTGACTGACCTCACCAAAGAACACGCTTACCTTCAGCGAGTTGCACACCAGTGGTCCATCCACAGAAACAACGTCAGGTTCGTAATCCTGCTGAACCAGGAGAAAAATCAGAGCCGCTTCTTACCTCACAGCTTGTCCCAGGCATTGTCTCCAAGGCACTCTAAATCTGCGAGTTGGTAAGTAAAAGGCTGCTCAAGTGAGCCACTAAAATTACTAGGGAAGACTCATAGTTCATTGAGGAAATTATTCCACCTGCCAGTAAATATGAACAATATTTTTCTGTGACGCTTCAGGAATTTTATTTGATTGTTTGTTGGGAGTAAAAACAGATTTCCCTCTCTACACGTTATCCTGAGCTAACAACTGAGCACCCCACCATGACTAATGGTAAGCACTCAGGTCTGGGTGAATCAAGGAGGTAAAAAATAGAAGTGAAAGTTCACTGCTCCCTTTCTAATAAAGGCCCCAAAGATAACATGATATGCTTGCCCATTAATATTTTAAACCGCTTGCAAAGTAATTGGATTTCAGAAAGATGCTTGGTTCAACATATATCCCTTTCCAAATGGATGATCAGGACTTGCTGAGATACTGACACCCACCTCCATTTGTTGCCAATAATCTGCTCCAACTGTACAAAAGCACCAGACTAGGTGGGAGAGAAGGGGTTAAAGAGAAGACCTCAAGTAGTTTATTGAACTGTGAGGCCTTTGCCTAATTAAAGCTATTAAATGATTTTACATTGAATGTTAACATTCCGGGATTTAGAAACATTTAATGCACATTCTTTTAGATTTAATTGCTAAACTGCTGCTTAGCCCTTAGTTTCTACTTAAGTCTCTGATAAGGATTCAGGTTCTATCCATCCAGCTCAGCCTGTGGACTGAATTCAAAGGTTTCCAGAATGCATACTTTCCAACATTCATAAAGGATTATTAAAACTGAATTTAATTTGCCTGTGAGTGTACAGTAGTATAAGTGAGAATGGGATAAGGAGGCTCAGCTGCGTGGGGGATAAAAAGGGAACATTCTGTCTCTGCTTCTATTCCCTAGAGAATTCAATTGGAGGGCACTTTTGTCACCTTCCTCTCAAATTACCTATTGTTAATATAAACAGGGATTATCTTTGCTCGACATATATTACATCTCATCTCAGCAGGACAAGCCAGTGGTTAAAATGTACGGTCTTTCTTGAACAATGGTGCTTTATCTTCCCAGATTACGTTTGAACAATGCAACGATAGGATGGGACTTTCTTTGGATTGAGCTGTTCCTGGAACAGGAGCAAATGTTTCCACATTTTGTTAAATAGCAAATTACGAATAAAGATAAATTGGTGAGGGCTGAGAGACCATTGGAAACCTCAAAGTAAGGCAAATATCTTGTAGTCTAAAGAACTGACTGTTTGTGAAAGGCAGTCTTTGCATGCTTTAGAGATCAAAATGCATTTCATGTTGTCTTTCTAAACATTCACAGATTAACAAGAGAGCAAATAATAATGTGTTTTTTAATGAGAGGTTGGAGTTGATTTAACTATTTTTTCGATAACACATCAAATTTTGCTCAATGCACGTTCCACGTGTCCTCAATCAGCTAACCAAATGGTACAAAATCCTGTGAATATTAGAAAGGTAGCAAATTAAACCTGTAATACTGTTAGAATATCTGTGGCATAATCAACATGCAAGGGAACACAGGACATTTTGAAAGAGCAGCCAACTGTTTCTGCCAGATACTACAGCAAAATCTCAGCCAGCAATATTTGAGGTTAAACTCAAAAGTGTGCAACAAGATACTTTCATTTGTAGAACTTCACAAGCATGTGGCAATAATGTTTTGTACTCACCGGTTCCTTTGTAGTTGCTATTAGTTCTTCAATCATGATGCTATCCCTTGCATAAGGACTTCTGTTCAGCGAGTATGACCTATCCGAACTGAAGGAGCGGAGGCTGTTGTGTTTACAAGTTACCATTCAGGGGGTGGATGATAATGAGATGGGCAGAGGGAAAAAGAACTCATTAATGCATGCAACTTCCAGGGGCGTCACGAAAGGAAACCGACCAAAAGCACCCAAAAGAAGAAAGAAACAAAACACAGCAAAGAAAAAAAAAGGAAACAGTCTGGACAGAGAGAGAATTTTGAAGCAGATTAAATGCACTGAATTTATTTTTCTTTCGCAGAAACTAGTCACAATATTAAACAGAGAAGCTCTGTAGGCCCCCAGATTTTACACTGTACGATTACCAAGACATTGCTACTTTATATAAGCTTTCAAAATGGCCACAGTAGGAATCTTAAGTTTTTATTTACCCTTTCAACGGCAGAAATCTAGATCTGGATTAAAGAAACAGCATCAGCACGTGCTAACTTCACTGTTTATTTTGTAACTATGTGACATGTTGTTAATTGAATACTAGGATTCAATATAAATTTTGGGAAAATAAAGATATTAATTCTTAATAATGAGAAGCACCAACAAGAAGTAATTACCCAAATGACTTGAAATTAAATCTGGATCTAGGTATTTCCGCATGAGTCACTTTGGCTGCTTGAAAGGTTAAATTTAACATGCTAAATGTACAGCAGAAATTGATTCAGTCTGTTACCTAACATGCAGGGACACACAGAACATACATTGCAGCAGTAATAGATGTGGAAGCATGAATGTTGCACTTAGAATAGAAACAAGCTAAGCCACAAATTGAAAAGATTGGCATCTATTTGTTCATATTAAACCCAGGAATATTGTTTCATAAATGATAAGAGCTGAACTTTGGACAATAATTATTTTGACTCATATTCTTCCTCATGATAATGTTTTCAGGTATTATAATTGAAGGCTTTTAATTACTGAACTGTCAAAACATAGATGTACTATAGCTATCAAATACTATACAAAGAGCAAAGGCTAAGAATTTAAACCGCTGTTCTCTGCAAAATAATGGTAAGGTATGAAAAAAAACTTTGGTTTGAACAGTAATGTGACTTAGCAATATTAATTAGTAGATTCATTCATCTTCTAATATTTTGATACTTAAATTCTAGCTTTCAGAAGAAAATGATAGTCTTCAAACCTTTGGATAAAGCCATTTGTCAACAACAACAACAACCAACAACTTGGATTTATATAACGCTCCAAGATGCTACCCCGCATGAATAATGCTACATAAATGCAAGTTGTTGTTGTTGTGTGGATACTTAGATGTTGGTAGAAGTGTCTGCTGTAGAAAAACTCAATTCTGGTTTGTGAGCACGAACAGCTCAATATAGATGAAAATCATTTCTTATATGGCTTTTTTGCATGTTCCATTCATGCTTTTCATCGCTGTGATGAATTGCACATAAATTACATGCTGCATTACATGCCTCAAAGAGAAACTTACACTAAACGTGCTGAACAAGGTCCCCAAAAAGTGTTGCTACAGTTTCAAATAACAGTATTGGCCGGCAGAATTTCGGTCATGTTTCTTTGTTCAGATGGTAGTAATTATTAACAGTTTGAAGGCACGAAACAATGCTGCTAACTGAAAAGCAAACTCCTAGTTTGTTTTAAATGGCAACAATATACAGTGTAAAATATGAGAATTGACCAAGGTGGAGTTTCAGATACTTCAAAGTCCTAAAATTGTAGCTACAAATGGTTTACACAGCTATGGGAAGCTGTCACTGCACGTCTCTAAGTATATCCTGTATTGTGATAGATGAACTAACCAAAACCAAAGGCACCACTGTACGTTTTTCAAATCAAATCAATTCAAAATAAAACAAATCTTTTTTAAGTCAAATTACAAAAACAAAATACATAGGTGCTCATTCTAGCCTCCTGAATCAACGTAGTTCCCCTGGAAGATACATGCAATCAAACTTAAAACTGAGACCAAATACTAACTGGGATGCAGGAGCAATGGCAAACCAAAATGCAAAGGAGAGGGAATAGCAGATTCTCTGTTAACCCTTGCTCAACAGGACTCCATATAGTTAGCACAAAAAAATGACTAGCACTTTTATCCTAGCCAGCAAAAGACTACAAGCTACAGTATTGATATTGTAGATTTACAGTTTGTCATACACCATGGAAACTTTCTTTTTAAAAAGATTTCCCAAATAACATGCCAGTTTTCATGCAAACATTTAAAAATGTTTTTCAATACCACATAAGTGTCTGCAAATGTTCAAATCACTTAAACATTTGGTATACACCGGCCACTGAATGACCTTCAAGCAAATCCGAACTGAGCTTCAACTTTTTTTAAAAAAAGTATTACATTTTTTTCTCAAGACAATTTTAGATGTTCAATACTGCCTATGGAGGCTTCAGAAAGTACATTCTCATTTTTCGACAACACTCTGGTTTAGTTTAATTAGTTTGTACTAGAACAGAGTTCCAGGATGTCTTAGAATAACTGTTTAGTTACTGATAAAAGAGTGGAGTGCATTTTGCAATGTCCTTTCATTTCACAATACAAAACCATTGGCTGTGGAAATGATGGGCAGTTCAGAACGAGCAATCCTATGGAATTGTTACAAATTTTTTAAACAAGTGTCTGCTAAATTTAGCAAATTTAGTGGACTTCCTATCCATTTAGGCCATCCATATTTCTAGCATCATGTTTCAAAAATCCTCGCCCCTTTCTTAGTTAAGAATTGGATCCTCCTCACTTGAGCAGATATCGCCTAGAGTCAGTGCGTGTCACGTGGGATAGACTAGAAGTAGTTTTACCATTTATTCAGTGACAGAGACTTCCAATTATGTTAATTATAATGGAAGACGTTCCTGGCAAAGGCATGCTACAACATTGAATACTAAGTTATTTAATAGAACAGTTGTCATTGTTTAATAAATTGTCTTTCAATTAATTCTGACATTTGTAATTAAAGTGTAAGATCATCACACCAAAGGAAAGCTGCAGGGGCCTAAACCAGAAGTGTCCAACATGACAGTGGGTAAATAGAGTTCACTATAATTTACAGGTTAGACATTTCCTTAAAAAAATGTTTTGTAATTGTAACCCTCGCCTTTACACCAGCTCCAACATTCATTGCCGAGCTAGACGATTCTGATTAGGACTCTTGTAATCTTCCATAACATACTTTCCCATTCAAAATTGTTGAGCCAGTAGGCATTATCGACATTTTTGAAAATGAACTCTAACTAGCCCCTGTGGAATTCAGTACATTTACTGATTTTCTAGCTCAATACCTGTACACACTACTTCAAAAAGGTATGAAAGACAAACTTGAGTATTTGACTGCCTTTACAAACCGGTCACAAACTATTATAATGCAATACAATGCCATCACCAGGGGTGTTGCTAACTGTAAATACCAGTAATCTAGACACGCAACTCAACCACCAACTGGAACGGAAATAGTAATGGACCACCAAAAAAAAGTGAAAACTTTGTGCTATCTTACCTGATCTTAGGACTTTTTAAACAAATTGTGGAAAAAAGAAACAGGAGAAAATAGAAGTGATTAAAGAGCGAGAAGGAGCAGAAACAAGCAATAAACATAGTGCTATGGTCCACCTTTATGGTTTCCTTTCACACAAGCATTTCTTTTGCTGCTGTTAAATTTAACTGTTAACTCGTGTTAGACAGTGCTAAATTAATTTATTATAACAACAAACATCTTGGTCCACTACGATAAACATTTTACTAACTCAGAAAAACACAACTATTCTGATTACACAAACTGAAACATTTATAAATGCATAACATTTTTAAATGAAAAATTCTCTTCAAGCAAAAGCAAATGTTTTGAACAAATTATAAATAATGGAAGAACAAGAACAAAATGTTTACTATCGGTGCAGGTATTGACTGTACTAAGTAAGAGGTCAGGATGTCAACTTAAAGAAGCCTATTGATCTGTTGCAGTTTTAGAAGGTTTTCTTTGTGTTTCATACAGTGTCTCTCCAGTTACCTGAAATGTTCTCTGNAAAAAAAGTGTTGTAATTATTTACAATACTTAAATTTGCATCTCATGTAGTGGGAGTTGGAATGCTGCTGAAATGTACACTCGCAGGAGTTCTAGTCAAGTTCTAGTTGGCTACTCTTTCCTGGTACAGACCTCTAGAAAAATCTTTATAACACACTGAAAATTAAATAATCAACAGTAAGCTTCTATTGAAATGAGTGGATAATTCAATATTAGGAAAAATAACATGCTGATGGCACAAAGTCATTGCAATGATATTCAAATGGCATTCTATATCTTGGGAACCTTCATAACATTCCAATTAAACTTTATACAGAGTCTGAAGATGAGGATATCATACTTAGAGGTTTCCACCAGACTGCATTTTTAGTGAGAGCTGTTTTGTATGGAAAATGGATAAATTGATATAGCTGAAGCAGCAAGTCATCAACACAAAGGGGTGGGGGTAATAATTCTGTTAAGCATTCTGCATAGTGCATTCAGTGATACATGATTATAATGGGTAATCCCATTAATGGCGAATACTGCCAAAGGCGTTGTACATAATGTTCAATAGATGTTCTATTCAAGGTTGTTTTGTTTATTTTTCATATGCTTAAACCCCAGCTTGCCAGACTAATGGGTGGGGGAGTGGATGGGTGAGTGGGGGGGGGGATAGAGATCCCGCCTAACGAGCCGGAATTTCTGGCTAAGTGTAATTATAATACGAGTACTGCCATTTTTTAAAAAAAATTATTTTTTTGTTGAAAAAATGCCTGTAAATGTCAGTATCAGCATTGTAATTGTTTAAATCCTGCGAGTAGAAAATAGTGAATAACCTATTCGCTGCCTGCTGGATTCAAACAATCTGAGTGAAAGTGGATATCCCTGGCCAGTGTGAAGGGCAATAGGGACAAGGAGGCTGCTCAGTGCTGGTGTGCACTAGCGGAGTTAGGAGTTGGGAGCCAGGGGACCAGCGGAAATATTTTTTTAAAAATTCAGTGTTGGACCAGGTCCGGGTATGTTGGAAATTCCAGATTCCTGGAGTCCGGGTAAGACAGAGGTTTACTGTAAATATACATTTGCTGCCTACATAACTACTTGTAATCTGATACTTTTAAACTTTGAGGTCAGCAGCTTCAAGTACATTTTAAGAGTGAACAGGGACACCCAACTCACATTTTTATATAATTCAGTAACATTTTAAGAACTTGGGAGTGCAGCAGGATATTTTTTCTTGTTTAAACCAGTGGCTTTGCTTTGTCATAAGTGCCCTTCAGTTTATCAAAAACAGCACAACATCGACAATAGATCATTAAACTAAAGGAAAAATTCCTGAGGGCACCCACTTCATCAGTTTGATTACTAGCTGCATGCTGAATGTCTGTTGTCCAAAACAAAAGGCACTAAATAGATCAGAATTTATCTCACAGATACTTTAAATAGAAAATGCAGAAATGTAACAGCAAGTTAACAGAAAATGTAAGAGCCTCTCGAACTTAATGCAAGCCATGAAAAACATAAGCAACAGCCCATGTACAAACTGTGGAAAGTGATCAGATAAATGTTCTGTGCTTGTACTCTTTAATGTATCATGTATCATTCATGCTCATAGGATATGCAGAAGGAAATATTAGGTCTCAGAAAACGCTTTGCCTTTAGAAAGCTTGTTAAAAATAGATATTTTGTGACTTTGCTTTGTGCATATGTCTGAGTATCTGATCCTTTCTGACATTTTGAGAAGTTTTAAGCAGCATTAGTACATTGGACAACTGCAAAATAAGGAAATGATTACTAAGGCCACAGTTCAGTTGGATATCAGCTACTATTTGGGGCACAGGGAGACCCAGTATGGATGTGATAGAAGCTTTTCACAGAACAAAATTGCATGAAACACAATAATAACAATAAATGTTGCACTTATCACATTGTGTCGAAATGTCTCAAGGATTTTATTATAAAGTGTAGTGTTTGTGTAATTGTAGGCAAACATAGTAACCACTTTGCTCACAACAATATCCCACAAAGAGCCATGAAATGAATGATCAATTCTATTGGAGGATTATTGGCCAGAACAATGGGAGAAACTCCCTTCTCTTTTCAAAAAGTTGAGATCTTAATGCTCAACTTAGTTTAATATCTCATCAGAAGATCACCTCCAACATGCAACACCTGCCTCCCAGGACTGCATTGGAATGGAATATGAGCTCAAAGTCCCACATGGGGCTTGAAACTGCAACCATCCGATTCAGAGGCAAGAAAGCTACCAACTGAGCCAAGGTGACAGAATACAACACGAGTGCCAGTTCTTTTCTTGTTCATAAGGGATCATATGTACAGTATATCTATGACATATTAGCTCCAAATTATTCCAAACTTTAATGGGATTTTTCAACGTTTCAAGTGTATTCTCTTCCAACTTTGTGTATAACCAGCATGGGTATGCTCCATCTTGCTTAAAAAAAACAGAATATTGATTTAGAGCCTGGCAGAATGATGCCTTAAATGATCATGGATACAAGAAGCCAGAATAATTTGGGTGTGATTCAATACAGTATTACAAAAGCTGTCTATGACCTCAGCCAGGGTGGCCCAAAAAGAACTATAATTGACCTGACTTACCCCTGGGCTAGAGAAGTGACAAATCACTCTACGCTCCAAATCCTGATGCCTAGCTAAGTCCAGTTGCATGTAGGGGGAGCACAAGATTGGGCTCAGTTCTAATGCCCCTTGCAGCTAAATAGCCTGCTAAAGCTCACCGTCGTACCTGACATTTGAATGGCTAGTTAAGAAATAGTGACCATAACCCATGAAACTATACGCCAATGGTAGGCAAAATGAGTCATATGTCTTCAGAGGGAAGAGAAAATTGTCGAGAAAAAAAAACATCTGTTTCTTTAAAACCACATCCTGTCTGTTTTGATTTTACAAAATAAGTTTAATGTGGCTGTTTGTTTACTTTCCTAGGATTGAACTGTGAATGTTTTAACAATAGTTTTGCTTCCCACAAAAGAAATGTGTAAAGTATACTCTTGGAAAGTGTTACAACTTTGTTTCAACAAACAATCTGGGAAAAACATCAAAGGTGATAATATTAGAAGTCATTGTTGTGCTGAAAATGCTTCCAAATTCTTCACATCAACATTAAAGCTACATTTGTAAAGCACCTTTCACATCAGGAGGATGTTCCAAGGCGCTGAACATTCGGGGATCAGCACCCAAGTGTGGGGGACGGCGGGGGGGGGGGGGGGTCAGAGTTGGGAATAGGGAGGGTAGAGAGGTAAGAGGGTGGCTGAAGGCACTGTCGAAAAGGAGGGTCGAGTCGTGCCTTGAAGGAGGAAAGGGAGGGAGCAAGGCGAAGGGATTGTGGGATGGAGTTTCAAAGGGTGGGGGCAAAGAGGTTGAAAGCCCATCCGGCGATGGTAGGGCAGGTTGGGTGGGAGACATGGAGCAAGCAGGAGCCTGCTGAATGGATGGAAAGGACCAGTTGATAGGGAGTTAGTAGATCAGAGAGGTAGGAGGGGGCAAGGCCGTGGAGGGCCTTGAATGTGAGGATGAGGATTTTGAATTCTATCCTCTGAGGGATTAAGTACAGTATGAACAGAAAAAATTTAATCCCTTAAAAATGTATATAGTTTTAACCAACAACAATTCTTACTTTTCAGAATTAATCTAATGTAACTACATCTGCTTCACATGCTTAACTTGTGTGCCAGCCTGTCTTAGTTGGTAGCACTCTCGCCTCGAAATCCATCCACCTCACACCCTCCCTTGCCTTCTTCAAGACCCATATTAAGACCCTCCTCTTCGACCGTGCCTTCAGTCACCCTCCTTTCCACCCTGCCTTCCACCCCCCACCAACCCTCAGCTCGGGTCCCAGGACCTTGGGACATCCTCCCAACGTGAAAGGCGCTATACAAATGTAATTTTTGTTGTTGTTGTTGAGTCAGATGGTTGTGGGTTCAAACTCCACTTTTGGACTTTGAACATAGTCTCGGCTGACACTCCGATGCAATACTGGGGTGTGCTGCATTGTCAGAGATGCCGTTCTTCAGGTGGGTATTAAACCAAGTTCTAGGTGGCCTGTTTAAGTGGATATTAAAGAGTTTCTTCCAGTTGTTCTGGGAGAACAATTCCCCAAATAAAATTGATCATTCACTTCAGAGTTGTTTCTGTGACATTGCGGTTTGAATATCGGTTGCCACATTCATCTACTAAACAGTCACTCCACTTTACCGTAAATCCCGGGAAGCTCTTTGAACATCCTTCTGACATGAAAGTTCTATATCAAATGTGAGGATTATTATTTGGGTAATTATGAAATGGAAACAATTTGTAATGTTACAAAACTAGAAGTTCAGTTTTCAGAGCATTAATGGTTTTCTTTAAAGCATAATTTAAATTAGTTTCTTAAGCAACTTTTTTTTCTCAGTGAAATGTAATTTGATGAAATATTGTAAACTACATTACCTTGCAGATCGAGCTCCAAGGCTAAAACCCATGTAACTCATGTTTCCTTCCATAGGTAATGAATCATCTCCTAATTCTTTCAGGTCCTGAGGTCCAAGATACTTATCTGTGTCCCCTGTCATTGCATCATCACCTGTGAGCAACCAGACATAAAAACACTTCAAACAACAAGTATTGATTTTTCACCTAATATTGTTTTGCATCATTATCCAGATTTTTTTCTCCCCTGAGGGGTGACTGAAACAATCAGTGCACAATTAAAACGGAATCAACATGCAACTTGGAAAGAAAGCACATCAGCAGATTCCAAACAGGTTCACGTTTCCTTTTGCCATGTCTTTTGAACCCAATCCCCAACCTCATACCGTGCGATGTTTGTAAACTCCCAATATGATCCGACAGAACCTTAAACAGCAATGAACACACAGTCAAAAAGGACCTATATACATATGGGAGGAGAAAAGTTCAACAAGAAAAACAACTTTGACCTCACATACTGAACAATTACCTGCTGCATAATGTTCAGTATGTTTCTCAGACAATTTTATGTAAATCAGTTCATTGAGAAGCTGTAACTATTTGGTAGAGCCCTGAAAGACCAGCACTACATCCTCCCTCAACTTCCATACTGGCCCCAGATCCCATTAGTCTGAGAGAAACACTCAGACAGCACAAAGAACCAGAAAGAGTCAGAGAAAATGAAAGAAGGGATAGTAATATATGCACAAAGAGAAAAACACACTCGTACATTGAGGAGAACCTCAAAGAGAGGAGAATCACAGAGACAGAGAGAGGAAAAACACACACACAGACACACACACAGGAACAAGTCACACTCTGAGACAAACTCACACCTACACAGAAACTCACAGAAAAGAAACACACAAACACACACCTCTCTCACACACAACTCTCTCTCTCTCACACACACATAACTCTCTCTCTCTTACACACACACAAGCACACCTCTGTCACACACACACACAATTCTCTTTCACGTACATATAACTCTCTCACACACACAAACACAACTCTCACACACAAACGTTTACACAACTCTCATTCTCTCACACACATAACTCTCTCTCACACACACACACACACATATCTCTCTCTCTCTCATACACACACACACAAACCCACAACTCTCACACAAACGTTTACACAACTCATTCTCTCCCACACACACAACTCTCACACACACAAACACACAGAGGAGAAACTCACACACACACAACTCTCTCTCTCTCTCTCTCACACACAAACAACTCACACACACACACACAAACACACACACAGAGGAGAAACTCACACACACACAATTCTCTCTCTCTCTCACACACACAAACAACTCTCTCACACACACACACACACACAGAGGAGAAACTCACAGAAAGAAAGAGACACAGAGAGAAAAAGGGAGGACAAACATACGCACAGACTCACTCGTCCAACTCTCTTCTGACTACTGAACATTTCACACGGGCAAAACTTTTAAAGGAGACGAATCACATCCCCACAGACAGAGAGAGAGGTGGGGGGGAGACAGACACACAGAGAGAGAGAGAGAGAGAGGTGGGGGTGGGAGACAGAGACAGAGGAGAAGAAAAAGAAGTGAGTCTATGGGATAGAAAGGCTTACACTCTTGGGAAGCCATCTGCTGCACCTTTTTTTTTCAGGGCAAACACTTCCGGTGTTCCCAGGAACTCCCACAGCCCCCGACCAGGTCCCCGGACTCCCGAGGAATGGCTGAGTTGCCTCTGGTCAGGATCGACCCCCACAACACAAAGCCGCGATCCCCCCCTCTCCCCTCTCCCCTCCTCCCCTCTCCCTCCACTAACCCTCACCCACAGCCCCCGCCCTGCGCTCACCAGGTGGTCAAAACAATACCCACTTTTTTTTGAACACACAAATATATATATATATATATATATGTGTGTGTGTAATTCCTGGCTTTTCCGCCTCTGAAATCCCTATCGGGAATTATTTTTTTGGACTGTGTTTGTGAGACACAATCCCGAAAGCGAGGGATGAGAAGCAAATGCGCGTATATTATACACGTGTGGATATATATCTGTCTGTCTGTCTGTCTGTCCCGACAGCAGAAAACTGGCAGATGGTAATGAATCGCGAGCAAAAAAAATAGCAGCGATTGGGGAGGTGTGACCTGTGTCAGTCACACAGGAACGTCCCCCATCCAGTGCCCCACACACACACAACACACACAGACAACACAGACACACACAACACACAGATACACACACACAACACAGACACACAACACACAGACAGAGACACACACAAACACACACCACACAGACAAACACACCACACAGACAGAGACACACACACAACACACACACCACACAACACAGACACACACACACACACAGACACACACAACACACAGACACACAACACACAGACAGAGACACACACAGACAGACACACACAACACACAGACAGACAGACACACACAACACACAGACAGAGACACACACAACACACAGACACACAGCACACAGACAGAGACACACACAGACACACACCACACAGACAGACACACCACACAACACACAGACAGACACACCACACAGACAGAGACACACACAACACACAGAGACACACACAGACAGACACACACGCAACACACAGACACACACACACAACACACAGACACACACAACACACAGACAGTCACACACACCACACAACACACAGACAGACAACACACAGACAGACAAGACAGACAGACTCCCGGGGTGGGAACTCACTCACAAATTGACTCAACAAAATCCCAGCCGCCACCACACACACACATCACACACACACACAAAACACCCAAGAATGTTGCGAGGAATATAGTGCTGAGAGATAGACATACACACACACACACAGAGACAGAGAGAGAGCTGGCGATTTGGTTAAAAAAAAACCAAATGAAACACAAGAGAGATCGCAGTGGCTTTGTGGTCGCGCTCACGGCACTGTGTTGTGTGTGTGTGTTGTGTGTTGGTGGAGCCCGAATCCAAGGGCTGTAACCAGCCCCACACTGGCACTGAAAACCGTGCAAAATCCCATTATGATTCTAATCCTCAACAGATGCAGCTCAATCCCTGGAGGCTGAACTCGGCTACAAATTTGAACATAAGGGTTTATAAACATTTGCTCAGTCGTAATAGAGTTCAGGAACAAACCACGTGCATTATTTGGCCGTCTTTTTTTTCTCTTTAACCCCCCCCACACACACACACCCTCCCACCCCCAGGTAAGCTGTAAGGCAACTATATTAAAAAAAAACCAGTAAGTAACAGGTACGGCAAACGCTGTATATCTAGTTACACACAGGGTGGAAATCCGATGTATGGGCAATACAATGATCCTCTTGTGGGACATTGTTTTAACATTAGCTTCAAGAGTTGAGTGGACTTTCAACTGCAGAGAATTGTGACCTACGTGACATTCAGTTTTCTTGGAAAGACCATAGCTCAGAAATGCAAATAAAAGCAACTGTCGGCAGTCTTGTGAGTTGGAATCCTCGATTAACGTGATAACTAACAGAGTCCGTGGTTTTACAGTAGAAATTGAAGTTTCTTTTAAAGTAGTTTCTTTTAAAGCAGAGTTCCAAACCTCACTGCACACACTGATCAATTCAAAAATGGACATCATTTACATATCTTTTTTCCTATGTCGCGTCTGCAATCACCACGTTAGGTACCAAACCTTTTCATAAATTTTTTAAAAAATGTAAAAGTGATGGAGTTAGCACAGATTGATTCACATTTCCCTGTTGATACCACTTTAAAAACCTGGGTTTAAAGGAGGACAGACTTAGCTCCCTTGGGTTCTTTTCACAGTTAATGATTTCTGACAGTATAACTTCTTGTTAAACCTTCCTGGAAACTTATCCAACACTTCTGTTTTTTCCCCAAGTATGATCACCAAAGCTGGAGGATACCCTCATACTAACACTTTTCAGAGTCTCCATATTACTTCCTTGCATTTATAATCTCAAAACCTAATTACACTGCTTTCCCTCATGTCATCTGCAAAACGACAATCTCTATCCTATGGCTTAAACAAGGTCATTAATTCATTTAAGTTAAACTTCCACTAGTTAAACTTCTCAGTTGCAATTTTTAAATTATTATTTAGACAATTAATAAGATATACCTGAATTTATGATCCATGAGATTTCTGAGTCCTATTGCAATACATTATTCTCACAACTATCTAAATCAAGGCTAACAGAACCTATAATCCTACAATTACCAGTTTTTCAGAATATTTTGCTCTAACCTCCGTATTTAAGTTTTGAAGATGGTATAAATAGGTAGGAAGAAGCAAATAAATTTATTTGAACTGTATATGGTACATTTTCAAAGGGGAAGGAAAGTCTTGGTGGGGGCAAGAGTATTGTCATTTATTTGGAGTGAAAATCCTTGATTACTTCCCCCATTACCACTTTAGGAAGAACACATTTTTATTTGGTTTATTGTTTCGTACAATGCGCCATGGAACAAACATTAGGATCATTTGGGTGAATATAAAGGTTTATTAATATTGCAATCACCTCCATATAATCAAAGTCAAAACCAAGCAATTGGCCCGGAGCGTAAGCTCACCAACCAGGTTAAAGGTTTATGCAACATTGAACAACACGTTTCAGCCAAGGCAAGCAATACGTAAACAGCCAGATAGAAGGTTGTGTCAGTATGTTAGTAACATTTCCAAAAAAAAACCCAAAGCATTATGTTGTTAAACCATTACACCAATAAAGAAAAAATACCTTCTTCACCATCTGACAAATATTCGGCTTCACTGACAATTTCAGGAACATTGGCTCTACGAACTGTATGATTTGAATAAAGATCATGACTTATTACCAAAACCATTACAATGTTTTACTAAAACAGAAGAAAAAATGAGTGTGCTTGGGAAGATCAAAATCTGTAATGTGTCAACATTCTTTCAATTTTAAATGCTCAATAGAAGAGAGAGGCAGTGTTTGAATAGGCATTACCAGTGATTAAACTTTGTAAAGAAACATGTTAAATTGTACTGCCCTGAAGTTGAAGTTTAAGTTTGTAGTTGTACATTTTTGAGGCAGATGTATACATAAAAGAGGGCACCCACAGAGAGATAAAGGAACTAAGAAATGCAGAGAAAGAAGTGATGTGCCTGGAAGAATACTGAAACAGAGCAGGAGGGACTGAGACTTGCAGAGAAATGGAGGTAAAGATTAAGGAATTCAGTGAAAAGGAGGGAGAAAGGGAACATCCATACTGAAAGAGAGGGAGGAGAAGATGGTGGGACACACCTTCATAAAGAAATAAGAGCAGATGGGACACAAACATACAGAATGGAAAGATAAATCTTCCCTTGAACTTGTATATATTATTAGTTTGTTTTGCAAGACAAACCCAAGGCTATAAAACTTTGCTTAAAATCCACAATTCCTTTACTTATATATAAAAAACACAGACAACGTGTCAGGTAGGTTAGTTTTATTTGGCACAATTCAGTGAAATATCCCTTACCTTCATCATCAGATACATCCAGAACTTCATTCATAGTTTCAGGAACATTCATCTTATGCTTTTCTGTCACAGACTGCATAAAAATAAAGACTATTAAAAACCGTCTGGAGTCACAGGGGATCAACAAAAGTTAAGTAATTTACTATATTTTAGTAAATCTAACATATATTCTTTACTTTGCTTCAAAGGCATGGATAAACTGAGTGGAATTTGATTGTGATACCATAGCACATGTAGATGGAATCCAAGAAGAACTTACCATTACAGCAGTTAACGTTTCCTCTGTGACCACCTTCAACGTATCGACAACCGAGATATAACCCAGGCGCCTAGCAATGGCCAAAGCAGTATTTCCATTCTAAAAAGATATAAACATAGAGCTTACAACAATTTAGAGTCATATTCAATTCCTAGCTATTAAAAGACTAGCTAGGAAAGAGTGAGGCAAACTACAATGGCTTCTGAGAAATCACTGCTGTTATAATTCTGAAAAACAGCAATAACGTTTTGAATGTTCCTGCTAGGTTTATAATTGTTCTCTCCCCCACCTCAACATGGTCTCTCCATGCAGCAATACAAAAGGCAATTAACCTTCTTCGCATTTTCAGTTATGCATGCCTGGGAGGGGGGGAGCAGGGGGATTACTGGAATGTTCCAGAATATTTAAGACTTATTCTGGGTTTAGCGAAGCTGAGTGCACCCTTTGTACTCTGACCTGATGTAATATTTACAATCACACTTGCAGTTTATGGCTAATTCGACTCATTGAAGCTGGAGAGAGAATAGTTTTGTCAGTTTTTTTCAACTGAATCTGTTCAAAATTGGAATAAAACACAAAATTATTGGGTAATCATTCCCATATCTTTCCTGATCTTTACAAAGCACATGCTTGGTTGCCATACAAGAAAACTGATTTTGCCCTAAAAAATGAATTTCTTTTAAAGGAAAATCTCTCTTTCGTTTGAGAAATGAAATGAATAGAACTTAGATGTTTGGAACCTCCAATAGATGGGCGTAACTGTAAGTACTGATGGGAGATGCACAGCCCAATTGTAGCAAACAGAGCTAAGCTACGGAGTGGCTTCTGCTCCATGCTAAGGCTTTGATCATAGCGCCCAGGGATAGTGTATGTTTGCATTTCATTTGGCAAGCTACCAGTTTTCAGGTGCATAAAGTGTTTTAACAATATCAACAGGGATGGAAAAGACCATGGATGAGAATATATTGCTTCGGTGGAGGATCTAGACCACTTCAGTGGTAGAAAAGACAGCTGCTTGCTGCACGACCACGACTTTGCTATTCACAGACTTGCTGTTGCAATACTCAGTTTTCACTGAAAATGATGTCATTGTGATAGATATAGGGCATAATCTGGCAATAGGCCAACATCAATGAACCCATTCTTTATTCAAATTATAATTATGTCTTTACTCGTTGTTATTGAAGGGTGTGGAGAGCAGCTAGGTTGTGTTTGGGAGGTAATTATTGGTCATGACTCAACTATCATCTGTTCAAGGTGGCTGACGATTCACCATCTAGATTGCTGACTCACTATGGTTTGTATAAACCAACTGAGTATAAAGAAATCAATTTACAAACTAAACATTTATACACCAATGTGTTGTTCTAGCTTACCACAGTGACTTCATCTGGAGCAGCACCATGCTGAAGGAGGATGTTTATGATGTGTGTATGTCCCTGTTGGGCAGCCTGATGCAGAGGTGTGTATCCATTCTGTTGTAGAGGAAAACAGTGCATTAATAAAGATATTTATACAACTGGGCATGAGTTATATTAATAGATCAAATCAGTACAGGCTGAAGTGAAACAAACCTTTGTCTTTGAATTCACATTTGCATTATGCTGCAGGAGAAAGTTCACCATCTTCACGTTTCCATAGTGGCATGCGACATGCAGTGGAGTGTAACCCACCTATGATGAAAAAGCAGACAAAATGAATGACTCAACTAATCCCCATTTTTAAAAAAAGTGAATATGCAGCGTATTTACCAATGATTACGGATATCATGTGATACAACGTGACTGGTAACCCAAGATTACGAAGTGTGTGCTATATATCTTTTCTCAAAGAATTTTACATTAAAATACAATACAAATTTACAGTCATATAGCTCCTTCCACTTTGGGAGGATGTCCCAAGGCTATTAGCAGTCCTAATTTTATTTGGCATTTAAAAGCTTATAGAAACCCATCTTGAAACCCACTCTTAGAAACCCATTTTAAAACTAGACAATTCAAATAGCATAAAACTCATTCCATACATCAGAAGGGTTAAAGGTTTGGGAAAACTGGGACTTTTCACCCATTAAACATTGGAACCTTGGAAGCAGAAGTATAGGTTTGCAGTGTCTGAATATGGGTGTTCCACTGTCTCCATGCCTTTAGGCACAATAGAGTAAGGTAAACACTTAAATGTTTCTACCTTTGTTTGTGGATCAATGACAGCTCCCTGATTGACCAGCACCTCTGCAACATTCACTCGGTCCTCCTGGGCAGCTAAATGGAGGGGCGTCAGACCACTCTGTGAATCACAGTGACCTTGTGTTAACATTTCTGGAAATATCTGACTTTTAGACACAGTCAGTTTTAACAACTTGTGGCAATGGCAGAAGCTAGACAGAATAAATTGTGAAGAAAATGCGTGCAGCAGTAAATATTTTGTATTTATACGCCTCCATTCCGATTAATATTTAATGGTAGGCGACGATATCTGTTTTCATTCACAGTCGGCAGAATAATGGCTTTGTGCACTGCACATAGAATATCATCAGCTTAACAAAGTGGTGAAAATTTAATTGTGCTGGTTCTCTTCAGATCAAAGTCATCACTGTTGGAATTGATTGTGCCTGAAAAATCATTGCTGTCAGGAGCATCTGCCTTGCATGTGAAGATCAAACTGATCAAACTCCAGAAACTACGTTATTGTAAAGTCTGCCTCAGGCTTGTACTTCATTGTCATTTTTGATGGCGCCCAGCCAGGGATGTCACTGTGCTGAGGGTTTGGACCATCTGCGGGTTGTTTAAGTTGTTATGTACCCTATGATTGTCTTTGCCCATGTGCCTGGGCCAGGCACAGTGTGACAAACAGCATGGATGGCTGACCTGCTCCACTCTTACTTTGGAGGCATCCCTTCAGATGCATGTTAGAGCTTGTTCTCCCTTTGTGTGGAGTCTCTTGCTCCAATCTGGTGGTCCAAGTTCTCAGTATCTCCTGCCTTTCCATTGTTCGCAATTGCACAGTTAAAAAACAATGATCAGAAAGTCAGGGAAAAATGTGATTCTTATAAGAATATGGAAATTCTGGTAAGTGCAGCCTCAATGTTTTGGAGCATTCAGTGAATGCTCAGGAATTATAATAATAATAATTATTCTTGCATTTGGTATTACTATGTATCATCCCTGAAGGATGTCTCAAAGTACTTCACAGGATTTACTGTGAAATGGAGTTACTGTGTATTTATAGGCAAATGTGGCAGCACAGCCATGAAACGAATGACAAATTTTTACTTGGGGGATTGTTGGCTAGGAAATTCCCTTCTCTTTTCCAACAGCACCAAGGGATCTTAAACGTTCATCTGAACAGGCAGACCGGACCTCGGTTTAAAGTCTCATTCGAAGAACGGCATCTTCAACAATGCAACACACCCCTAGTACTGCATTGCAATAACAATCTAGACTATTTGAGTTCCAAGACCTGATCCACAACCTTCTGAGTCAGAGGTGAGAGTGCTACCCCTGAGCCAAACTAACACAGTTTATCGATTAGTATTCACATGAAGTCATGCAAGCAGGAGAAACTCACTACAATACACACAATAAAAGCTGATTAGAAAGTTGACGCTCACAGACACCTACCTTGTTCCCCAGGTTTACGTTTGCGTTTCGAGCAAGAAGTAAAGAAACCATATCGACGTGACCTTCCTGGGCTGCTAGGTGCACTGGTGTTATCCCTTGCCTGGTAACTGTGTTGGTGTCAGCACCATATTCCAATAGGGTTGTTGCTATGTCCATCTGATTCTTTTTGGCAGCTATGTGCAGGGGTGTATAACCATTCTGGAAGAATGACAGAAAAAAACATGCTGACCAGTAATTTTAATTAAGGGAACATAAGAAACTCGAAAGAATACTATAATCCTGTTCACTTTTAAAATTGACAGACCAAAGCCTTTACTGTTGAACTGTACCAATGCTATGAAAGTTTTTTTTTATTTGTGGACTATATATTCAACATGCACATGGTGACTCTTGTGTTTTGATTTTATGGACATCTCCCAATAATAGATTCTATATTATTTCTCCCTCTCCTCAAATTGCAGTCGATGCTGGATTATGGCCCTCGATCACTCTGGGGACACACGCTCACATGCAACACATCAAATCCTGCCAGTCATTCCTTATCCTGTCACCAAGCTTCAGCCTGCTACAAACTAATGGTACAGAATTACAAAGAGCTTCCTCTTACAACTACTGTAATAATTCTCAAACCTGTAGTGTATGTGGAGTAACTGCATGTTTGCACTTGTCTGTATGTGTGTGTGTGTTGGTATGAGTGGTGATGGTGGGAGGGGAAAAAATTATACTTCTTTATTCAATGCTCTTTTCAGTCATCTATCCAGACAAATGTGCCAGACACTGGAGATAATGGACAGATTACGGCAGTAATGTTGCACTGTCTTTCAAACAACTCAATAACTTTTGTTCAAAACTACAAAAAATGTTTATGGTGAATATGAGACTCGTTGAGGCAAGTGAGTGCCTAGGTTAGAAGCTCAAGGGAATTAGTAAAGTCTTAGTTCACCATTCACAGATTACAAGCAGGAACCAAGCGTATACACACGGGACAATTCAAGACAGAAAAAACTAGATAGAACCAGAAAGAATTTAAGAGCTGCAGACAGCACAGTGAAGTGAAGCTCCACCTGTTGTTAATTAGCTGCAATAACTGTAATACCATATTCAAAAGCAAATCTATATTTGAGCATTATGGCAGTGCTATACCAGATCCAGGAACATGGTCAAGGGAAGGCAATAGAAGCTCCCATCAGATATTCAAATCACAATGTAGGCACCCACCTACATTACTTCCTGTGTGAATAACCAACACTAGACATCTATGAGGAGCTTAAGAGCATCTTATGTGTAGTTTTATCAGAAATCCTGTTCTGTCTATAGTTGTGAAGGTTACTGTCACCGTGACCTCTTTCTACTTTGTCTTATTTCCAATGCCTTAGGGATTACTCTGGGTCTGTAATACTGTTTTTAAATATAGCGTCTTCAGGCACTTCATTATATTACGGATTTTCCATTTTTTTTTACAAATGGATTTTAATACAAAAGATATAACTTAATTAACATATTTTACTTTACAAAACATTTCCTCCTCCCTTTTATCCTCCATCTTTCATATTGCAGTTAAAATCTTCATACCAGTTTTGGACAACTATATTGCCAACTATATCTCCTGGTATGGAAACCATAACTGCAGTCAGACAATTGTTCCAATAAGCACAATGTCATCATTGAACTCATTCAGATGTGCAAATGGAGGAACTTTACCATAAATGGATAATAATGCCACTCCCAATGTTGGTTTAAATAACGCCATTTTTTAGACTATTGATTTTTTTTGAGTAAGATAATAAAATGCCAAGTAATTTAGTGGTGCTGAGTAGATTATATGTAATATATTCCTCTATTATTGAAAATCAGTACAAACTGCTAAAAGCGGTACACAATCCATAAAATTCATAAAAGATAAACAATGACATTCTATTAACATTCTGTATTTTAACAATTAGAAGCTTTTTTTTAAAAAAAGCATAAATTATTTCCAAGTACAGTACATGGAAATGATTTGGTTTACAGACTGGAAACAGAGATTTCATTCCCAGAGATGGAATAATTGATATTTTGCTTTTATTTCAAAAGGATTCTGATTTGTAAATACTCCATTAGCTATTAATCATGATACTTTGATACTAAATACAATCCAGTCTGCTTATGTACAGTATTCTGTTCAAAGTTCAAGATAACTTCCACATAAACAGATTTGCTTCTGGAAATTCAATTCTGTAGCTCCTGCTCCAGACGTCTGTCTCTTGCTTGATCCTATCTGGTGGTAAAATGCTCTCTATACCAAAGAGCATGGGTATCAAAATTTCCCATTTTTGCTTGTGTAACAGATGGAAATGCCATAAGACAGAAATAGGGAATAAGATAATAAAAAAAGGCACACAAGCCAGGAATGAAATCCACACAGTAAGGTATTGGTTTAAGTTTAACTACAATTTATTGGCATTGATCCAATTGCAACCAAAAGATCTTTTGAAACTGTGAGGTTAATGTATAGAAATTGGGATGACCGAAGATGACCATACACATGAACTGCTCTGAAACTGAATGGACCATCTACTGAACGGTTTTGTTTACATGTATTTCAAAATGAACATGCCGATAACGTTTGATTCAGCAGAATCAACCAAATTCTCTGAGCACTGATTTTTCCACCAAGAATTTTAAAGAAATACACAAGGTTTCATTATAGCATCTACAAAAATGATATTCTTGGGTTTCTGAATACTAGAACTAAGGATATTAATGGAACGATACGCATTAATTTCACAACAGTTCATAAATAAAATGTAAAACTAGCTGCAAGTTTATTTTTCTCTGCAATATTTCACCAGCCCTGAAAGCTTTTATCAATGGTGCAATCAACTAATAAATCAATCAATCCTGCACTCAATGTTTGCTTACAGTTGTAATTGTGGATATAAAGTGGTGCGACATGAGAAGAACATAGACATTGCGAGACGAAAGAAGACCAAGGTCCATCCAGTTCGCCTTCCACCATCCTGGCAGTCGCATGCACACGTCATGACACACATAAGATAAAATGACATGACTTACATAAGATAACATGTTTTCAAAAACTCCTCCCATGCATATTTCAAAAATCACTACATTTTTAATGTACAGAGCAGGAAGCTTTAAAAATCAGTAAAAATGCATTTGCTTAATATGTCAGTGTCGTTTGAACAGAGTGCACCATGGATATTTCCCCTCAAATTGTGTATCATGCATTACCAGGATTGCTCACACTGCAGTAATGGTATATCTTCTACATAACACACATGCCGTCTTAAAAAGCTGCTGGTTTCTCAGTGTAAAGACCCCACAGCAGTTACTCCAGTGAATATTGTCCACATATGTTGCTGGTTCTCATCTCCTCCTCGTCTGTATACTGTACCTTTGCAGCCGCGTGAGGAGAAGCTCCTTGATCTAACAGCAGCAGGGCTACTTTTTGGTTATCATAGTGTGCAGCAACATGCAGTGGAGTCAGGCCACTCTGCAAGGAAAGGGAGAAAGAGAGTTGCTCGTTAAGTATTTAAATTAAATTAGAAACATTATGCAAAACAAGAAATCTTTACCTTCCCCTCCCCTCCCCCATCCCCACCCGGATTATCTAAATTATTTTGTCTTGAAAAATTTGAAACCTGTTGAAAAGCAAGTCAAGTCACTAGATTTTCGATTGGAAATAATAATAATTTCTCAAATGCAAGGATCATTATTGTTACAGTTCCTCTGTTATTCGCTCTACACTGAGGATTATAGGAATATCATATAATTATAGAATTATCATAGGAATCCCATCCCACCCTTACAATCACCCATAGTTTCCCCTGCACTCCCCCATGATCTATATTTTATCAAACAATGCAGATTCAAATGAGTTCTGGGTGGACAGTGAACCATTTGACCAAGGGGGAATCATAACAGCTGAGGCTGACTTTACCTAATCTAGCCCAGGGACATAACGTAATTGAAACAGTCTCAATGCTATACTCATTGAGATTTTCTAATTCATTAAATACCAGGAACCAGGCACAAATTTCTATTTATGTTAACCCTAAGACCATTGCAATAAAATTTGATACTGTGCAGAATTTTGGAAATGTCATAAATTTAGTCTGAACATTGAAATTGAAGACCTGCAAGAAAATTATTTTTCTAAATTAAGATTAAATTTAAGGTTTGGTCAAACTTCTGCATGACCTTAAATTTCAAGACAATAAACAGCCTTAAAGCTGAGACTGTGTAAATTTCAGGACTTCATCCGCATGACTCACATCATACAGTGCATTTATTTAATAATACATCAATAAATTCTTATCCATCTGATTAGTAGAACTGCATGAAAAAATGACTATATGGTTCAAATATTACCTTTCCAGAGACATTAGGAGATGCATTTTTCTGAAGCAAAAGGTTGGCCACCTCTATCTTCCCATACTTTGCAGCTACATGTAGAGGAGTGAATCCTTTCTGTAATGAAGGGAGAAGATGTCAAATATGACTCATTACTTCATACATACCATAAGGCCACGTGCTCATATGACAAGTGCTCACATCCTACTACAATAGGTTGTTCTTACGCTAAATCCTAACAAAGCAAAATTAGCTATGGTGTAATTGTTAGTGATATCAACCGTTTGCAAGCAGGTTCCATGTATTATTATACAGATGAATCAATTAAAAAGCACAGCATTGAGCCAGCTATTTCAATAGAATATTCAGTATACAACGGTCTATAGATAATCTCAGTACTGAGCATTGTACCTTGGTGTTCACAGAGAGAGAAGCCCCTTGTTCCAGTAGAATGGAGGCCACATCTTCATGACCTTCCCGAGCTGAAATATGCAATGGGGTATAACCAGACGTCGTGGCTGCATCTGGTGAGGCTCCATGTTGCAGTAACAGCTGAACAATATCAGCTTTTCCCAATCGAGAAGCAATGTGCAGAGGAGTCTGGTCATCCTGAATGTTTTAAAGGAAATCAGGATACAACTCCAAATAAGTTCCAAGAAAAACACTTGACTAAACCCCAAATGACTCAACAATATCATCGTTATAGGCCACTATTCACCTGACGATGTCACCTTTGTGAATTAAATGTTTACGAACTAATGATAGCACCAGCCTGATACAGTCAGATCCCATGCATGATATTTCTATAAAACTATAATTTCTCCCTTTGATAGCTCAATGGTGCAAGGTTTTATCAGAACCTCTGTGAATACTGCTCCATCACAACTAATAAGAAGCACAATTAATCAAATAATACAACATTCTGTACACCCATGTCCAGACAGACCCATCACAGAGCTCCATGTTAGGTCCTACCAATCCAGTGTTTAGACAATGCTACTTTTAAAGGGACACCCTCACTGAAATCATGATATGTAAAACTTTATGGCAAGGTTGGTAAATACGTGATGTGTTGGCACAAATATAACTTCAAACAGCTATTAGTCTTTTGAAGTGTCACAGCTTAACTTTTGAGGAAATGATCCTTTTTTTTGCACCTTAGCTTTTGCTTCCACTTGAGCTCCATTCTGAACCAAATGACGCACAACATCTGCTTGTCCTGCCCGGGCAGCCATGTGCAGTGCCGTCTCTCCTCTCTAATGACAGGACAGAGAAAAGAAGAAATGCAGACTGAATATGCAATCTTTTAAACTGTCTCAAACTGTTCTGCCAAGTCCAAAAACAAGAGAAATTCAGCCAATGATCTAGCTGGGCCTGATGATTTGTTCAATTTGTGTTCCTGTGGCTTCCAACTTTCACAAACACAGTGAAATAAACAAAAATATCCCACTCACCACGTTTGTTGTATTTGGTGATGCTCCATGTTGCATTAACTGTGTCACAATATTCACGTGTCCCATAAAGGCAGCAACATGAATAGGTGTAAGGCCCGACTGCAAAGAATAAAGTGGGTCACAAACATGTCACTGGCTAACATGGAATTTGTTTTTTTTAAAAAAGCAACCTATTATTCTTGATAATTCTTTTAAGTACAAAACACATATGGTACCTCAGTAACTGCCTGAATCGATGCTCCATGCTTTAACAAAAGATCCATTACTTTAATTCGGTTCTTCTTGCATGCTATATGAAGTGGGGTGAAACCATTCTGCAACACAGATTCAATATATAGTAAATAGTAAATTTGTTTCACTCATATTATTTAGAAAGTTAAAAGCCCATTTCTTTGACTAAAGCCTTTAGGCTTTTGCTCACAAGGCTATCTTTATAGTAGTAAAGAAATCGCTTACGGTCAGAAAATTCATATTTCACATTTACCATAAAAAGTACAATCTTTCCGTTCTAGCAACTGATCCACTTTGCGCAGCTTTAGAAAAACTGAATGAGAAACCACAGTCGGCAAAGTAATAGGGAAGATTTTCTGAAAATCTGTACAATTAGTCATGTTGATCCTGGACTCTGTGGTTTCTTGATCCAAAGATATGTTCAACTTTGTCCACTAACTGTGGCATGTGACAAACTGTCCTTTTATGTTACGATAATATGGACTTTCTCTCTCTAATCCTAAAGATATAATTTCCTTACTTATCCCCCCATTTCTTTTTCCACTGCACTCCTCCCAGTCCTCTAAATAAACTATTTAAAAATCCCAGTTATCACATGGATTTGCTGAAACAGAAACCTCAATGGTGAAAGTTCAACAGACTGTAACGCTTATGGGTCTCACTTAAAAGAGAATGTGGGATATTCTCGTAAATTGCCACTAGATGTCCTCCAAGCACCTTGTTAATGTTGCACAATTTTAACGAACACAAACTGAAGCAACACAAAAGCAACACAAAGGCAAAAAGCCCTCACAGGTATCTCCTGAAATCAAATCCTAAAATTAAAGCTTTACTGATGAATAATAGTGAGATTTATTCTTGCACTTTCAGAATATGTAATGCTTCTTGAGAATAAAAACGATTCCTCAATAACACCCAATTAATATTTACAGGGCTGTTACATGGATCCTTGTTGCCTTTCATTTCATTGTGCAAAGGATGAAACAGACACATAGGTGAGCAGCATCAACAAGTAATTTGACTCCATGTTACCATTTCCAACATTTCCAGAGAGAAACTTCAGGACCAGTCTAATTCTATTCTGATACTTTATAATCTTTTATGTCACGCTAAGTTATCTGTATTAAAGACTTTTTCATTCCATAGCTATCTGTGGGACATTGCTGTGCTCAAATTAGTTATCACATTCACCCACAAAACACCCAGTCATTCCACTTTACAATATATCCTGTGAAGCGCTTTGGAACATCCTCCTAATGTGAAAGACGCTATATAAAATAGACGGATTTTTAAAAATATATGATGTAATATATATTAAATATTTTCCCTCAAAATATACAATCAATTCACTTTACAGTGTATTCTGTGAAGCGCTTTGAGACATCTCGAAGACATGATAAGGCGCAATATCAAATGCAAGGATTATTAAGATTATTATTATTAATAATGGCTTATAAATACCCTTATGGTAGTTTATAAATATTAATTATTTTCTCCCTTCCTATCGTCCTGTATTTAAAAACTAACATCTCTTCATCCTGTGGCCTTGTGTCCGATTTACACAAAGACCTTATAGAGATCCCGAGTCTTTCTTTAATGAAAATCTAACTAGTCATTCTCGCAGTGATCTTTGCAGAATTTGGGATAATAGCCATAAACTGCCACTAGATGTCCTCAGCATTCCTTGCTCACGTTCTACAATTTTACTAACCAAACTGATACACAAAGACACAAAGCCCTCACAACGTTCAGCAGGAATCTCCTGAAATCAAATCCTGCTTAAAATTAAAGCTTTGCTGATGAACAAAATGTGCTAAGCAGTAGCCACTGAAATTCCTTCCATAAATTTTCTGAAACAAAAGGAACGCGCACAGAGGTTTAACTGCATGTCCTAAGCAGCCAGTTTTATTATTAGTAGCCCTCTATCAAACTATCAAAAGAATTATGGAAGCTAACACCCTTTGTTGCTTTTTGGAACAGTTTTGTTTAGTAGTGGATAGTGATGATATTGCTGTGGACTTTACAAGGTGATGTTGATTACTGAGTCCAACAGTATAAGATAAATGCATTAATACCCATATCTGAAACGGCCCTGGTACTAATCCAGGATTAAAAACTGTGAATATAAATGCATCTGCTTCTCAACAGCAGACGCTGTGAACCATCTTAAGGCAGGCTCATCAAGCATTTGTGTGATAAACTGTGGACATCACAAAAAAATGAACACAGAAGATATTGTTGGGAAATGTCTGATAAGAGACTCAGGAATGAGAAGGGGTGGTGGGTGGGGTGGGTGTGGGCGCGAGTAGCAGGAGGCTATTCCTGTTGGTTTGACTGTTTGTCCAGAGGTGCATTAACATGCTGCTTTCCAACAACTGTTTGGATGGGGTACAGGGTTATAGACTGGAGAGCTTAAAAAAAAATTGGAAGACACAATTCTGTACTGTTTAACATGCCATCTGACAAGGATCACAAAGAGTTAACCACATTCAGTGAAAGTAAGTGGCAAAGGTCTGGAATGAACTTGTGGTTCTTTGGAATTTTCTCCTTCTCCTAAGTGCTATCTGTCGTTGCTAGTCTTCCTCCTCCACCCAAAGAGAGATCAGAACCTCTTCAGAACCTCAGAACCTCTTCATGGTCCCTCCGCTCCTTAGTGTGAGCGCTGTGCCCAGGTTTTTTACTCTGACATAAACATTTCTTTCAAAACATTTGTCAATGGTTAATAGGCAATAAAATTCTACCTGCTTGCCGTTAAGATTTTCTTTCTAATAAAAGTCTTTTCCTCTAATAAAAGTCTTTTTGTTACGTGGTAACTTGGCAGAGTAGCCAAATGTCAACTTTTAATGCTCCATTTTAAAAAGAAACAGATTAACATCTACAACTGTAACACATGAAAGGACAACCATAATAAAACAGAATAAAACGGAACATGTTGCAGCAGCAAAATTCCTCCAGGTAGTAACTTTGGATGGCTTGCTGCCCAGAACACATTGCCTGTCTCCAATAAATGGAATGATGCAAGAGTCAACATTCATAGTACCCACCAGCGCTTTGGCATTTGGGTTGGCTTTCTTTTCCAAAAGGACCTTGGCAACCTTGTAGTGCCCACAGTGGGCAGCGACATGCAATGCTGTCAGATAGTCGTTTGTCACATCGTCAACAGGCACATCATGCTGAAGGAGCAGCTTCACCGAATTGAGGTGATCGCCTTGTGTAGCCATGTGCAGAGGAGACAACCCATTCTAACAGAGGATAAAACAAATGGTAAAGGTAAAGAGTCTTGTACACCACCGCCAGTTATACCAGGTCTCTTAAAATACATCTGCTTCAATGATCAAACATTATTATTCAGAAGAACTTGGTTCATAAAGCACAAGGATGGTTAATAAAATCCAAATAGTAGTTCATTTACAGGTTTAACAAGTTACATTGCCTGAATGAATTTCAGTTGATTCTTTAAAAAGCTTCCTTGACTTGGTGTAAATTTTTAGCACACTATATTGTACATTATGTAAACAGCCACCACCGATAACAACCTTTCCCCTCACTTTGGAGAGACCAGAGACGTATATCAGCACAAAGTAGAACGAAAGACAAGAGAAAGGAACACCAACAAATTCTAGAATACACTAGTCCACAATACTTTTGAAGCAAGTAGCATCTGTTCAGCACTTGAGCTGCTTTTTTTGTGAATTATTTAAGTGCCAACAGTTTTGATATGTGGTTTCAAGCAAAGACTTTGATGCTGGTTTGTTCAGAATGACATACTTTTGTTTTTGAAAGAATTGGGGCTCCTCGATCCAGCAACATTTCCACAACCTGTTCATGGCCACTCCTTCCTGCACAGTGTAGAGGTGTCAACCCATCCTGGAGAAGAAAACACGGTAAAATAATCAACTAAAAACGCGTCAGTTTAAACAATGTTACACTGATGTAAGAAAATGCTGTAAAAGAGCTCCAACTGGATGCAGCCCATATTTAAACAAACTACAATTTGGATTATTTTTCGCCCGCGAAACAAAATGCAGTCAATTCACTTTACAGTATATTCTATGAAGCGCTTTGAGCGTCTCGGCGATGTGATAAGGCGCGATATCAAATGCAAGGATTATTATTATTATAATGTATTAAGACTAACATGCTTAAGAAGTTTAAGGAGATTATAACTGAAAAGTGTTGTTTTTATTTGTTGAGATCTGCCCACCACTACTCTCTGGCTAACATTGTAATGCACCATACTAGAATATACATTGATATCGGTGTTATACGGCTTGCCACCAGATATTGTCGAACTATGTGTGAGCCCAATTCATTGCTATGGACTGATGCCATTTAAAAAACGTTAAATATCAGTTTGTCCCTGGTCTAAGAATTCACTTTGGTATCATTGGACAATATTTTCATGGTGTTATCGATGTTTGAATGTACTTTGTACTGAAACAAAGCTCAATTTATTCTTTCAATGGCCCATCACAAGTAAAGTGAATTTTTTCTGCCTTTATTGCTCCAATAAAGAAAATCCAAGAAATATATTTTTTAAAAAAGTATAACAGTGATCCAATAGATTCTCACAATAGGTTGCACTTCAGTTATCTGCTACTCTGTCACAGCCAGGCTGTGATTACTGCATTTTAGGAAGTCCTTTAAATATCTCTCTTTGTATACATTTAAAAACACACTTGCAGTTATTGGTTGCGGGTTTTCTTTTGATGACTGCCTTGTGCCCTTTACAAATCAGCCAAAAGGAACCATTTACTTACTGAAGATCTCCAGATCACTCTCACTATGATCCTATCCACACCGGCTGATTACTTGATGTGCTATCTGCAGTAGGAATTGCAAACTCACCCTTGTTTTGGCTTCAATCTGAGATCCTCGATCCAACAATAACTTCACCATGTTGGCATTCCCTCTCTTTGAGGCCACATGCAGTGGGGTAATATCATTCTGAAGAGAATATTGAATCAACATGAAAGACACATTTAATAGCAGTAATGCAATATCTCCTGTCTTACATGAAAGTTTCAAAGTCCGTATTTTACAAGTCACTGTCATATCACAATTCACAGGCATGTTGTAAAGCTGCAAAATGCAGATTTCACAGTCAAATTTTTTTTTGTCAATGATCGACTTTTCATAACCAGCCACACAAAAACAAAACAAAATCAATTAAATGTTAACAATATCCTCTTTGTTGTTTTTAAACGCTCCTATGATTTTCCAGAGCAAAATGCATTTTAAAATACAAGATAATTATTTAGCATTACAAGGCTATCATTTATTTACAATCATTTATTTAAGTCCATGGACATTACAAAACCTGCAACCCCAAAAATACACTGAATTAGAACCCTTTGGTGGATCATCTTTATTTGAAATCTTGGCCTTCAGTCAGAATAGGCTCGGGCATTATGTTTGTTGGGTGATAACCGAAAAAGATGCAACTTGAAAATCCCTAAGCAATGAGCTGGGGCACGCCTTTCAAACTAATGAAAATACCTCACAGCTTTTACAAGAGGAGAGGTAGTTTGTTTATTTGGATCAGATCCAGTTGTATTGTGAAATAAATTCTGGAAATATGCTAGCTTCTGCTGATCATTAATGTGAATTTCACTTTATTCTTTGAACACTCAAAGTACAGTACCAACAAAGTCCACAATGCTCTTCCCCATACTAATTGGTAAGTTCTCTATGCACATGATCAAATATTTGAGATTTATAAAGATGAGGTTTGTTCACATGTATTGTCAGTAACCAGTTGAGAGTATCTGTGATTCATTCAATTCAATTCATGCATTCTTAACATCTTTGCCCCATAGAAAGTGTGTTACTTTACAGGTTCCACATGTTTACTTTAATTATACAAACTTGCCTTCGACTTGTATAAATAGATCTATGGGTGAAATTCTTCTTGACCCTAAAAGTATTGCTGTTGTGAGCTTACAATTTGACGTTCTTATTATAAGCACGCATTGTTAAAATTGCTAACTTAGCAACAAGAGGAATGCCATCGCTGATTATCCTTAAGCTGGGTATTTGTCCTCTATTGAACTTATATTTTGAAAAGGGTTGGTTTGGATATCAGGTTGCTCACCCTGGGCTATGCGACAGTCTGAGGCCAAAGATCGGTCAAAGTGCTAACTAATATTGACTTATCAATGTAAATCCCTTATACCTATGTTAATGTGGTTGAATATACACCTAAATTGGTTGCATAACGTTTAGAAGCAGGAATGCAGATATACATCTGCAAAACACATTTTACAGGCTGTGCATCGTGGACCTAAAAGTTAGTAAAAACATGCAAAAAATGTGATGGAAACTGTAGAGGGTCATTGTGGGGCCGGGGAACAAGATACTGAGAGAAAAAACTGTAAAGCTGATTAGCAGAGCTGCTGCAGTTGACTGTGATGCATTGAATAGAATGTAGAAAAAATATCTAAAACAACTTACAAGCAAGAGAGTCTGCTTCCCAAGTTGAGACTAAATTCAACAAATTGTCAGAAATTCTCTGAAATGCTACATAGATACAAGTAAATCGACATCCAGGTGTAATCTGTTTGTATTGATGACTGTATGTATACTTATTGCTATAATCCACCTCATCTCGTGAGTTACATACGTGTTGAGGCCAAGAGAATGGGTGGCCAACTGGCTTTCAGTCATGTCAATCTAACCCAGGCACAAGGATGTGTGCCAATATTGTGGAATGAGTCTGATTCTCAGGTTTCCCCCTCTCTACCGTGCCACTCTGAACCCAGCACCAGATCGTATGTCATTCATGCAGGATGATCAAATTCGGACCTCTGCTATAGCATCTCAGTTGTGACTGTGGTAATTTTGTTGTTGTGGTACAGAGAAATCAAATATTTTCTCTTCCCCCATTGATAAATAACCTACTCTGTCACAACATCTGGTCCAATCTGTTTTACCACTCTACTTTTACGCAGGTTCACTTTAAATTTCATGCACTTTCATTCATCATCAGGATTTAAAAGTTTTGATTTGACTCTGAAATAGTTATGGAAACAATTCAACACCCCAGTCTCGCCTCCCTCCACATGTCTGTGGAAAGCACAAGAAAGATACCTCACATTTCTTGTAGTACCATCCACTGCCTGCATAGTTATTTAGATACACAGTATAAATGGGGGAGCAGTTTAGCTTGAAGGTGTTCTGCCTATTCCTTCTATTCTCTTCCTCTCAAGGTTCTGGTTTTCAATGATTCTGCGTGTGCACAGGCAACCCCCATTTTCACACTCACAGGGCACAATATTAATACTGGGAGATTCCAGGGTGTCGGAATGGAAGAAAGAAATCCTGTGCCTCCTCCCTGGGAATAGGCTAGGCAGCCTTCACCAAACCCAGTCATTTCATTCAATATAATCGGAGCGGTGAAGAATGTCAGTCTCAACCACATGTAACTCATGTTTTTGAGCTATTTATCAGAAGAGAACAATCCCGTTATTTCCATTTTCAATCGTACATGTAAAAAAGCAAAAATACAGAAGCAAGAAAAATTGCCCACGGTGCAGAGTATACAAGAGAGAGCTCGTTACGTGGGAAGACTGGAATCTTACCCTGGCTGTGAAATCTACAGCAGCACCTCGATTCAACAACAAAGTTGCTACGTTTATATTCCCGTAATGGGCAGCTATATGAAGCGGAGTAAAGCCACTCTGAAAGAAAAAGATTTTGAGATTCATTATACTGCTGTGTCTATTGTGCTTACCACCAACAGTTCAATTTAAAGCTTTCAGATCAAATCATTTTCGTCTCTTGCTGGTTAATCAAACCTTTACATTTAGCTCAATCCACTTAATGAAGTAATGCAACAGAAATGCTATTCTGCAGCACTACATCTACAGCCACAACACTCCACTTCCAATTTCAAGTTCAGCTTAGTTTTAAATTAGCTTTACATCCATTACATTTTTCTATTGCTTAGATTAGAGATCAGTAGCCAAATAAAAAAAAATTCTTGCATTTGATATAGCACTTATCATGTCATCAAAATGCCTCAAAGTGCTTCACGTTTTTTTTACTGTGAAGTGTAGTGACTGTGCCTCTTGTAGGCAAAATATTCATAGCATGACAATGATGCCTCGGATCCAAAGCTACATCTGTTGAGATGTATTGATTATTCTTTCTAAACTCATCACTCCATATCTGTGTGAACTTCATCCTTTTATAAACAACAAACAGTATTCAGTAGCTCTGTGATTGTTATCCATGATATATTGAACACAACATGAAACACCGTTAATTTAGGCCTACAGTGTCATAATCAGGTACCCTTTTATCTTTGCTCAACTGGGTGCCGACATGTGGAAACCGATCACCGTGCTGAAGAATATCCAAACCAGACAGAGTTCAAAGTGTATGCCACCTGCACAAGGATCCCTTCCTTCCCTGTATTTGGAATGGAAATGCTCACACTCTCCCTAGACAGATGCACCCTGCTTGCTGAATTCCGGGGTGTATAGATGAAGGTCGGCAAGAGCCAAGGCTTGGGGATCCCAGAGTGCGAGTTGAGGCTGGAGGTGAACCAATTCAAACCAAGGTTTATCAGTGGGCAACTAACATTGAAGTAGAGCAATGGTTACATTACCTGGGCTAGAGCTGGGCAGTAACATCTTAACTTCGACCACAGTTTAGTATTCCCTTTACTTTATACATCGCTCACCAAAGATCACTCTTGACAACCGAGTTGTAGACTTTTACTATTAATCTATGAAGGGGAATCTCTTTAAGGCTGCACTTAACAGATGTGATTGATGCTTTTGATGATCTTTTGTACAGTGGTTTGATAGTACCTCTTTGCATATTTTTGCTTTGTGAAAATTTCCAAGCAAAACCACAGCTATATGAACGTTATGAGGTTAGCTAACCTTTTGGACAAATAAACACTCCTCAGTGAATTGATATATATCTTATTTTGACAAGGAAACCCCACCACTGTGACACAAACCAACTCCATGGGACAAAGTTCATAACTCCAGGAGTTCTATAGATGTAAACATTTGTCACTGAGCTTCACATAGGTCAAATTTGAAAAGAAATCTTGGGCCCATGTGGTTTTATACTCTCACTCCAATATGGACACATGAAGAGTCAGCAGCTTGCAGTGCAACTAGTAATATTTGAAGCAAGATACAATGTTCAGTTACCAGATACAGGCAACTTGAGTGATTACCGTTAAACCTGTAACACAAGTCACTGTTTTAAGGCTTTTCTAAAATTGGTAAATATAGATACTGATTCATAAAACAGTGCAATTTTACACGAGTATGAATTGTATAACGTGCAGGGGAAGGGGGATGTGAGTCATACAGTGGATCTTTGAGTTTAACTCAAACTACAGTACATGCGAAAATGCATCACTTGACCTTGTGTGCAAGTATGCTTAAAGGGCATATGTCATCCCCGAAGGGTGTGAGCTGCTGGCACAATGTGACAAGTTGCCAAGAGAGGCTCAGGCTGTTCCATTTAAAGTGGTTGTCATCTGGCATGGCGATGAGCACAATGTGCAGCCAGCATCTGACATGTTCAGCTCCTTTTATGAGGCACCGCGATGACAACACTCAGCAGTGATATCAATATGTTCAGATATTTGCAAGTGTGATTTCCTGCTTGCAAGCCTGAAATAGAGGATCACACACACCCTTTAAGTGAGAGGGGAAAATACGTGTGAAGAACCCAAGTGTGTGGTGCAGTAGAAGTTTACATTGACGCTGAACTGACAAGTGTTCAGATACATTAAATTAACCTTCTTGGTCGCGGAGATTCTCTATTTTTAGTGTAAAACACATTTTTCAACACTAGTTTATTTCACAAAGCTGCAGTATTCACTGGATAAGGTTATACTAGGCGAAGTTACACTTGGCAGGTAGTTCATGTACAGTACTAGGTTAGTGCTAGAACATGCAACTAATAATCCAGGGCTCACACCATGAGTCCTGAAGGAACTTGATGCATTTGCAAATAGTCAGCAAGTCTCATAGCCATGCTTACTGTAAAGAAACCATGTTTTCAAAAGTGTGTTTTCACAAGGCTTTAAAGCCTCTTTTTGCTGACACTTGCAGGGTAAGTGTCATGCAGCAGCCTGAGGAGTCAATCCTGAATGCATACTGTGTCAGGGCTGTCTGCAGTTCTCAGCATGTGTGTTACATCAGACACTGTAACTGGATACAGTCTCCACTCACTTCTTGCGTACACAGTGAAACACATGTTCTAATCAAAACACATTCCAGAATATTTTGAGGCAGCATTTTTGTTGACACTAAAATAAAAGCTAAACCTAAAGTGGTCAATATTCTGTGACTAAAGCTCCCAGGTCCAACTGCAGAAAGCCCTGCTGCTCAAACTACTGTCTATACTCGGACATGCTAGTTTATATAAAGCCGTTAATTTTTAGAAGGAAAGCAAAGCCAGAAAAAGAGAGAGATGAAGCAGCAGCACACAGATTATGGAAGAGTGATGTGGTATATATACCTCTGTTGTTCTATTCACCATCATCTACGATAGCACATTGGGCAGCGAAGAGAAGAAAAAAATGAACGGTTAGTTCACCAACAGGTGACATGGACGCACAAGCTCTATGTTGGCGAATGACAGAAGGCAGTGATGTAAGCAAAATGGGCTGAGAGAGGACAAATAAACCAGAAAGAAAGAGAAGAGAAGAGAATTCAGGCCTCGGGACTAGAACGTACTAAATAGGAAAGATTCCTTGCAAACACAGTTTACGATACATTATCTGAAACATCCTCATGGCAGATGAAAAAAGTTTTAAGGAATTACTCATTACAAAAGTAATCATAAGCAAAACACACTTTCCTGCAATTTGAGGAGATTCACTTTGTTATTTCAGTGATTGGAATCAGATACAAAACCTACAGGGATTGACTGAGTTTCTTTGGTGTGTTTCTTCCTGATACACTCTTCATTCACCAGTGGAGAAGGCCATGTAAACATGACTACGGCAAGCTGCATGACAAGGGAGCAAGACCTACCTTTGACTCCACATCTGCATTATGATCATTCTGCAGAAGCAACGCTGCAGCTTTGGTGTCATCTTTGCGGGCCGCAATGTGTAACGCTGGGAGCCTAACTTTTCCTTTTGTATCATTTTCCAGCAACAGTGATACCACTTGATCGTGGCCTTGCTGCAGGGCTACAGCTAGTGGTGTGAATCCATCCTTTATAAAAGAAAGGTGCGCAATTACCAATACTGTTGATACAAACTCTCTGGCTTGAATCGTGCTGCAAGTCAATAGTATTATGATGATCATTAAAACACGACTATTATTATTTTCATTTCTTTACTTAAAGCAATTGATACAAAGGAACAGAACAGCTCCTTCACTTCAGGCAGCTGGTGTGTCAAACACAAGAGGTCATGTGAATATTTTGTTCAGCTTAAGTGTACATTTTTAAACAGAGCGCAATGCCCCTATTAAACAGACTACCAGTTGTTTTTACATGTGTTTTAGAATTCAGGTAAATAATATGGTTGTGTAGCTTTAATATCTTTTTATATACTAACTAGTCCACTGAAGGGCAGACACTGAAATAACCTGATTACGATTCTTAATTTATTTTTAACTGGGAAACAGTATTTTTTTAAAAAAATGAATTGCATTTTGCACTCAGTAAAAATGGTATGCATGCCTCCGAATTGTGTACCCAAGTAAGTCTGAACTAGGAAATATTATTTCCTCATATAAGTGGAATACATTGCACAAAATGTCTGTGAAATGTGGAGGAAAGACTTCAAAGAAAATTGTTGTGTAAATATGCTTTAAAGTCCACTTCAGATCCAAGTCAGTCAGTCTTACTTTAAAACAATGTGCAAAAGACTTCACTGTACTCAAGTTGATCATAGAATTAATCTGGTCTGAGGTAGTTACCTACCTACCACTACCTACCCGCCCGTACCCTCCGTTCCTCTGGCTCCGGTCTGCTCCACATCCCCCGCCCCAACCGCCCTACTATCGGTGGCCGGGCCTTCAGCCTCTCAGCCCCTAGGCTCTGGAACTCCATCCCCCAGTGCCTTCGCCTTGCCTCCTCCCTTTCCTCCTTCAAGGCCGGTCTCAAGACCTTTCTCTTTGACCGTGCCTTCAGCTCCCCTCTCGACTCTCTACCCCCTCCTCGCTCCCTCCCTTCCCTCCCCTCACCCTGACCATTTCCCCCCTGCTCGGGTCCTGACCCAACTGTACAGCGCCTTGGGACGTCCTCCCGACATGAAAGGCGCTCAATAAATGGAATCTTGTTGTTGTTGTTGTTGTTGTAGTTAAAGAAGATCTTGGCTGGAAAATCATTTTGATCATTGTGATCATGAGTACAAATGTAACAATTATTGTTATTGTAACTAAGGCACCATGGTTTAATAAAGGCATGGTGAGGGTATCGCAATCAAAGGGCTTCATAGCTGCTACGTAGACAATAAAGGGAGCTGAGCCTGAAGCTCTAAAGCTGAGCTGTCCGTAGAAGGGAGCAATTTTCGAGACTGAAAGAAAAAATATATCACGATATCAGCAATCTAAGAGTCTGAGAACAGTGAACTGGACATCAGAGATTCAGGGATGAGTGGACTAGACATCAAACATCAAACACTCAGAAAGAAGTGGAGTAGAGATCTGAAACTTGGGAGCAGTGGGGTATTCATCAAAGAGGATTGGACTAGACATCAGGGAGGAATGGACTAGACATCAGAATCCCAGGGAGTAGTGGAGTAAGAGATTTGAGACTCGCAGCAATGTAGTAGAGGACTGGACAAGACGTCAGATTCAGGGAGAAGTGGATGAGAAATCAGTGACTCCAGAAGCAGTACTGTTTTACTTTGATGTTTCTGAGTTTTGCCATTACCAATGCGGAATGTCCTAGTCAAACCCAAACATTTTACTGCTTTCTCTGAAAGATACACTGCGCAGTTTTAACTACATGAGTTGTGTCATTTATGAAGAACATGAAATTATCTGAGTCTTCTATAAAATAGATTTGATAACTATTATGTTGGAGGGTGATGAACATGAAAGCAGTTAAACCCATCCTTACACTGGCATATTTATAGCAATATTTCTGATCTACGCGAGTTGTTAGCAAGTCTCAATTTTGCATACAATCTGTTTGGTGAAATGAGAGACAATAGCGACACATTACCTTTGTAACCAATCACTTGCTATGTGATATGATAGATTTGGTGAGTCTGGTAGAATTTAGCTAGTGCATCTTTCCACTTACACAACTTGTATAATACTGCTTAAAAAGATAAAGTTAACAACATTTCCAATTACTTTTTTTTGAAATTCAAAAGATTGCAGCTTTACTGGTCCCAAAATACTACAGTTAACAAAGCAGGAACATCTTTATTTTAGCAACTTTATTAATGCTCAGCATTATAGTTGAGGAATGTGCGATAGTGAATGTCTTATGATAAGACACCAAGGTAACAACATCAAGAGCTTAGGAGCCAAACACCCAGCTTCATTAGAAGAGACAGCAAAGGCAGCACTTTAACAGACTTGGCAGAACATTAAAATGACACAATTGTGGAAGAATTTGCAAAACATTTTCTTGGTTATTAATTTTTAAGTTTCAGCGACTTAATAGTTTTGTTCTCCATTCTAAATAGTACAGAATAAATTATCTTCCTTCTGACCACATTACAATGTCTAACTCAACCAGATCTCAGAACACATAACTCTTCAATAATGCTTAGAAATTGCAAAAATATATTCCAGCTACTGTCTGTGTGCTTTTAAATCACACCTAAATAATATCAGTAAAAGAACCATGTTTTCACTATAGACAGAAAGAATAATAAACTGAATTACCTCAGTTGCAATACTTTGACTTGCACCATTGTCCAGCAGGAACTTTACAACTTCAAGATGGTTCTCCTGTGCTGCCATATACAAAGGAGTGAAGCCATTCTGCAAAATATAAAAATCATACTCTTTCAAATCATCTCTTTTCAAAGCTTAAACCTTTGATTTCAGAGAGTTCAACACCAGTTACCCATGCAAAGATCTTCCCCTAATTCTTACAAAGAGAAAGGGCCAAGTTTAAAACTAATTGAAGGGTCAAAAATGCAAATGGCTTATATATGTTAATAAGCCCGGTTGTCTCAGCTGTCATCCAGTGCAATATTGAGGGGAAGGTTGCTTTATTCAAGATACCGTACTATTTTTCAGATTAAAAGTGTAACTGCGATCCCATTTGCTGTTCTAGTCAATCAGGTGGATATTACCAAACCTAAGCGATTATTTTAAAGATTTATGGTGGGGGGAGAGGGTGGGGGGGTGGCTGGCAAGAGTGGAAGAAACAACTATCCACTGACATGACATAGACAAGGGAAAACATGACATTTTTTAATTAAGAAGGGAACAGTTAAAGATCCAAAAAACCTGCACAAAACCACAACCCACAATGCACATCCCATAAATTATTAGGATTTTTGGATACCACAGAGAAGAAAACAAAATAGCACAAAGACTATAATAAATATGAGAGAGGATTACAGACTGTCTCAGAAACTACCCTGCCTGACCAGGGAATGATGATCTTTTAAGGAGGGGAGAGTTTGCAGGTGGTCGGGGGGTGGTGGGGGGATGAGTGTGGTTCTGGGGGTGTAAGAGCGGACATGTGTGCGTGTGTGTGGTGAGGGAGGGTGTGAGGAGCTTATCTAGTTATATTGAGACTTGCAAAATACTGGTTAGACTCGCCTCAAGAGGACTTGGCTTTGATTCGTAGGAAACTTTGTTTTGATTTGGTGTGACTACTTTTGACTCTTGTTAAAACAAAGAGTTTGAACACTATGACAGAAAAGGAGAGATGTGGGCTGCTGTTGGAATCCAGGGTCAGTGAGTTTCTGGGTGGAGTACACAAGTAAACATGTCAGTAAATACTAACATTGGACACCAGATAGTAATGAAACCTAATAATGTCATTCATGGACAAATGCAGAGCTCTGCTTCTTGTTGATGAAGCAATGCTGGGTTAAATATAATGGGTTTATTTTAAGTTAAATTGTAAAGCAATGGGTTATTCAGACGGGGCCTGCTTTGCTACAAGTGACCATTGAAGCTAAGACTAAAACTACATTTAAGAGGGAAATTTGGATTTGAATAGAAACAATATGATAGCTCAGAGGGAAAGAGGAGGGAGTTGAGATTAGGAAAGACACATCCAGCAAGGAAGCTAGCATCAGTATAGAATTGAAAGGGCTGAATGGCCTCCTTTTGTGGTGTAGTTTCTTTGAGTTCAAAGTTTTTATGTGATTTGTTGTGAACAAATTGGAGAACTTAACTTAAGGGGCTGTTTATAGATATTCTGAGTGCCCAATATTTTATCCTAACTTCATAATACAATGTTCAAGCCAGCTACTTTTAAGAGTTCTTTGTTTCATAAGTAAATTATTTGGCATTTTCACAGCATTCTTTATTTCCCAAGGCTTTAGACAGCAGCACCTGGAAGAGCAAGCAGGTGAGCTCCATTCAGGTCTGCCCTGTAACCATATACCAGGCCTGTGAATCGAGCTCAGGGGGAATTCACGCTGAATTTCCTCTCCTGTTATGGAGAAGCCTCTGGCATCCACCCAGATTCGCTCCTCAACAGCAAGGCTAAAATTAGCGAACAGTTCAAGATGTAAAGGCATTAAGTTTCTGAGCAGCTCAGTTCGTATTTATTCATCAACATTTATTCATCACCTCACTTTTGATGAACTAGTAATGAATGAAAAAGCTCAGGTGAAATTTGATCAAAGTAGAGTTTTTAGATCTCTGCTGTTGCAACTGATGGATTCATGAACACAAATAGTTTTCACCAGTTGGCACAGTTGGAAGGACAGCAAGAAACAGCACCAACCAAGGTGGGGCTCCCTGCTGCTAGATGAGAGATGTATATGGGACAAAGATACCAGAAAGTTCAGGTAGGATTGAGATTTTAGTACGTTATGAATATAAGACATTTAATGGGGAAGGGCAAATCTAAGTGGTACTTTCTGTTTACAGTCCTGTGCACCGTCTAGTTTATAGAAGAATAAAACTGTTTTTAAATGAATATTGTATTTGCCTTAAGGAGTTGTTATCTTTCATATATTTGTATAACTTCTTGGATGCTAGGCAGCTCTGGTAATTTATGGAGGGAAGTCATGTATATCCTGGAACAATTTATTTCAGCACAAAGTGGATGCTTTGCAGGTTGGACAAGCATAGTTTGCCAGTGAGTAATCAACAACACCCGGCTAGTACTTTCCTGACTTCAATCAACTTGTGTGGCACTAAATTGTACAGACCGGAAAGCAACCATTACAATTCAAAGTCTACCCCGAGTTGGTTACTGACCTCAGCCAGGTCACAGTAGGGTTCTATCCCTCTGGGATAGAGAGGGGAAAAATAAACCCTGATTCTTTTTCCTGATCACTATTCAGTGACCCCTGCTGGAAAGTGTATGTGTAACATTTCACATTAATATTAACAGGATTAGAAAAATAAAGGTTCAACCCCATCAATATAAATAATATGAAAATGTATCATCGTGATGTTATCATGATGAAGTGATGTGCAGTTCTTCACTCTCGAAAAAAAAGAAAGTCTTGCAGAGTCAAAAAGACAAAACCATTTAAAGCATTTCCCAAGAAATATTAGTTCCTGCAGTAGCACAGCTTTTGGAAATATAATTTTTCAAATGCAGCACTTCCAGTTCCCATCTTTTAAGTAAGATACATATTATATGTAGAAGACTAAAACATTACAAATGAGTACAAGATATTTTTAATACAACAGCATTACAGTAAATTAACGATGAAATTGCATAAGAAACCATTCACTGTTGAATTAAGGATATTGAATTAAGAACCTCATCTAACTATGTAGGTCGAATGCACATCATTCTATGAGTCAAGGACCGAGCCTTCAGCTCCCCTCTCGACTCTCTTCCCCCTCCTCGCTCCCTCCCTTCCCTCCCCTCACCCTGACCATTTCCCCCCTCCTCGCTCCCTCCCCTCCCCTGACCATTTCCCCCCTGCTCGGGTCATGACCCAACTGTGCAGCGCCTTGGGACGTCCTCCTGACGTGAAAGGCGCTTTATAAATGGAATCTTGTTGTTGTTGTTGTTGTTGTCGAAATCACATCATTCTATGAGTCAAGGACTCAAAGGTGTTTGAGTGAAAGCTAAACTGTAACCCTGATAATATAATCTCTATGCACAGAGCATGGATGGCACTGCCACCTGTTCATATTGCTTTATTTTCATCCAAAACAGGTTTTCATTGGTTAACAAGGTTATATTATGTAGATTGTGAATATATGTAAATTATTCAATCATAAGCCTTTGGCCTCATTTAAAAATCCATTGCTCTAAAGTACTGTTGCACTGCTGTTCCTTGTCATTATGCATTCAGACCATGTAACAATGCAGTTAGTAAGACACTGTCAAACTCATCTGAAGATCAAGGGTGACATACTTCTACTCTATTTCTTTAAAAAAAACAAATGTTATTTGTTGTACAACTGCAAATAAGATTAATTTTAGAATTGGCGTATTCATCAACATGAGCTAGTTTATGCATCTTAAATGAACGAAAAGGTAAGTATATCCAAATAGCATTTCTACATAGAACATCATATTTTAAATCCATGCAAATTTAGATTTATTTTATTCAAATATTTTATCTTTTAACTCTGAATTACTCATATAACGCTTGCCTGCAATAATACAACTTATTCTTATTTTGCTTTTGGTACAAAGTAACAGTCTGAGCAACTAATGTACAATCGATGAGCAATTGCCAAGAATTGCCACCCCAGCTCTGGACTCTGCCAAAGAACACATAAGCTCAAACCAAGAGAGATTTATTTCTAGGAAATATTTCTCTGTTGTTGATTCTACTGTGGTAATGCACTCAATATCATAACATCACAAAAAAATCATCCTCCGACAGAAACAAAAAAAAAAAAATTCATTAAGACAACATTTTCTCAGAAAACAGATGGCAATTTGCAGCCCTAGTTTAAAAATAGTAAACCCCCTCGCTCCTTCACAATAAGAGATGAACTATAGAATATTGCAATTTCAAACATAAAATCTGCAGAATTCCTTAAGGCATTGCTCACCTTAATCATTATAAGGAATGCTTCTAGAAATGTAACTTTTCTCAGCACAGCATTGCATTTAAATTTGAATATCTAGAAGCTATCCGAACAAAGACCTTTGATCAAATTAAAATCTTACCTGGGACTGTGCGTTGATATTTGCTCCATTTGTTACCAACACTTTTACAACTTCTGCTTGTCCAGCTAAGGATGCGATGTGCAATGCAGTATTTCCTTTCTAAAACCAAAAATATACATGCAATCAATTAAGGAAAAAGATTTAATGAAATAATATTTGTAATTACTCTTCATATTTCCCTCTCTTTTTAATGTTTGCATTTATCAAGACTTAGTCTCGATGGAATTTCAGAGCTCAGAACCTTAGAATCGAACACCAATAATAAACTTGAAGGAAGACTGAATGAAGCATCATCTCTTTTCCCTGTTATCTGGATTCTTGGAGTAAACACTACTATGGTACAAACCAGGTTGTTGACCAGAGCCTTATTTTAAAAATAACAGTTATTAATTTTATTTCCATTACGTGACTAAACTACAAATTGAGTAATGCTCTGATTTTAGATTTTTAGACATGGAGTATCAAAATAAAGTTTAAAAATGAACAATTATAAAGTATCAAAGAACGAGTATTGACGGAGTGATTTAAACTTTCATGTTAAAATCAATTTCAGTTGTAAGATGAAAAGTACATACAGTATAAATTCACATGAAACTTCTCAAGGCTCAGAATACACAACATTTTAGACAAGCCTCAAAATTTGACTGGCTGCACATCCGCAGTTACCAATCATGGCTCAAAGTCAATAAGTCGTCAAAGTTCAACCTGTCTAAAGATTCATCAAGAAACTCATTGTAAAAAATAGCTTAGGTTTCTTCCAACACAAGAAAAATACATGATTCCTCTCACCTGCTTAAAGGATACCTTTGGGGTGAAGAAAGTTTTATAATAGATTCAATGTGATAATTTTTCTTATTCTTTCTGAGCTTGACTGTGAATATGTTGAGTGTCATAATTGAGCTTGAAATGTACAGTGTACAACTGATGCAATCCATTGGATTTTCAAACAATCATTTGGATTGCTGACCCCACATTCCTATACACATGCTAAGCCAGGAAAGGCACAGAGTTATTGTTGCGTGTTAGTGGGTGGCTAGTCAACTTCCTGCAGTGCTAATAGAGCTGGATGATAACAAGCAGAATAAGCAGTTCAGCTTCTTGCCAAAGTATGTTATCCAGGAATTAGGTAAGTTAACCTTTCAAAGGTTGCCCCATCAATTTCTGTTGCTCTATCAATTAATAATCCACACAGCCAAAACAACTTTAAATATTCTAACAGTAAGAGGATAGTCAGTGAAGACGATGAAACCCTAAGGGGCCCAAGGGCTGAAAAAGAGAATGGACAGGAGATAGCATATTGGTTCTGAGTTTACTTAAACTGTTAGTTCACTCTTGGCTTCAAAGATCCAATTTTTCACCTCCTTCCATACTGTCTTGAAGATGAACAACAGATGTTCCCTGTGAGACATCTCCTTTCAAAATTGAAGAGCCCTAACTTGTCTAGTCACTTTATGACCTTTGGATATCTTCCCATTTCTGTTAATTTTAATGTTTTAATGTTCCGACTGATCTATTTCAAAGCATTTTGGTTTAATCTTCCCTTTCTGCAATTCGGGGGTCTCAACAACATCTCAGTGCTTCTTACCGTTCCTCTTTGGTGAAAATACTTGCAGGCCAAAATGCCAAGGAATAATTTGCAACCACTGTTACACCAGGACAGAAAGAATGGGAGTGAAATAAAATCCAGTAAATGGCCCTGTGTTCCAAGACGTTCCTAGAAACTGAACTGTTCAAGGAAATGATCAGGGTAGCTGATGGCGTTTTGCAGTTGTTTATTGCTTCAGTAGTGTTGCTGGCTGACTCACAACATGCAATGGGTTTGGTGTGAGCAGAAACATTTAAGTATTATTGAGGTATATCTTGCAGCCACTTATACTAATTAAGTTATATTCCTTTCAGAGATGATTAGTCATACTCCAAAGCCTTTGGAACCTCGTCTCTTGGTCTATTGTTGCTTTAAACTTCTCAAAAAATCCTTAACCCATTTCCTACTGCAGCTCATGTTCCAGAGCAGGAAGTGGGTTCACTTCTGTAAAATGGAATGCAATATGCAAATCATAACTATATCACATGTTTCTTCCAAAGCACATGGACAGCTAATTCTGAGCCAAGGAGCATTAGCCTAGCATTAAAAGAAGCTGAAGTCATATATGTTGTTGAGGTGGCAAATCTGTGTTCAGTGAAGCTATGGTTCAATTAGTTCCTATTGCATTATTCAGCAGCACTTAGCAAAATGAGCCAAAGGTGCATAAAGGATTTCGATAAGCAGCCCAAAATTATAGGTCCTTTTCCTGCAAGATATACAAGGTGAAAACTTCCATTTACAGATAGAAAATCATTACCCTGATCCCCTTGAATTGACTGTGACATTTTGACAGACGTCTGTATGGGGAGGAGGGCAGGGCAGAGGGGGGAGTGAGGGCTGAGGTATGTGACGTGCAGCTGATGAACATGGCCTAAGATGAGAGAAGCACACTGCTACTGTTGGAATCCTTTGTTTTGGGGTTTTGCACCCATTTTCCTCATGGAAACATAGAATTTGTTTGCATAGAAGAAAGAGTTCTTTTTTCATTAATCCCGAATGGGAAACACTGAGGATTTGCTCCAGCTCAGGTTGCTTGGTTTAATTGGATACCTGGAAACCCCTTTGCCTTTTATAGACCATTACCACAATTCTGTACTTCAAGCGAATGCTAACTACTGCATCCAGTGACATCATGTAATTGCTCGCGCAGTTTACAGGCACACATGCACATCTCAAATATTACGAGGATGTCACAAATTGGAAAATACCAATACAAGAATCCTCTGCATGTGAAGCACGTGAATGCTAGGCTAATGCTGATTAAAAGATTGCTTATGTGGCTGTTTTTACATGTTCAGGTAAAAATGACTAACAAGTGAGTTTCCTTGAAGAAATAGGAGCTCCAGATGTATATTTAAATAATTCATGTAGATTTTTATGTGATGCAAAAATTAATATAGGGGTCACCATGGTCTCTTACACACAATGGATGCATAGTGGGAGTAATTTTGTGTGCACTTGTCTTTGCCAAAGCCCAAATCAATTGAGAAATATCCTGCTTCCAGAGAGCTGCACTGGACTGGCAAGCTTCCCTTCCACATTCTGGCCCAGGTGAGGAGCACTCCATCTATATCACTAGAAAATGTCATCCAGCGAGTGAATGAAATGCAATTAGGATTCAATGAGAGTATACTATACAACAGAATACTGTACCTAACCGCAAAACACAATGTCTCTCCTGGAAAATATATTAAAATAATTAGGTGTGCGTGGCCAAATTATGTCACATTTCCAATGTGCTTGACTTCTGCTTCCAATAAATAGGACCATTTAATGAAGTATCTATGGTGTTCTGATACACTGCTTCACGACTGCACAATGTTTGAATTAAAATGCAAAGAAAGCAAGTGACCAAGAAAGAAGCTGTAATCACCAGCAATATAATACTGCATTTGCTCATAGTTTTCAATGTTTACATATTAAACATATTAATAGGCTCAGTATGTGTTCCTTGTATTGCAAACTACACATCAGGTCAGATTTTATTATTCACATTAAAAAAAATCTAAGAAAATATATTTTAGTTAATTTGCAACAGGCCTGTCAAATTCGAAAGGCATTGAATGTCTTCAAAATTATTTCCATTTTTTATTGTGATACTGTTCACATTCAAACCGTCAAATGGACATCAGAATAGCATGAGAAAAGGATTAAAAAAAAAGCCTTCCAATTTAGTTTTTATCAAGTGAATAACAGCCTCAGTCTCTATGGATGTCTCTATGGGCACGACTACTATCAAATGCTGCCCTGATACTTTACGTTACTGATTTTCTTCTCTGTCGTCCACTTTAAACATCTAATGGCTGTAATTACACTACTACAGACTGCAAAACTCCCACTAACACGTAGAACCGCAGTATCTTACTGCTTCCACTGGTTACCACCCAACATTGCCAGATCCCAAAGCATCTCTGCTGGGACATTCACTCAACAAAGGCCAGCTCTCCAGGATATTGTCAACAATAGTCAACATTGAACAAGCGTAGCTTTTCCCATTCCTTGGCCTCACTTCTGAATTTATTCCTGAACCTTGATACTGGTCACGTACGACATTACCAGCCATTTTTGCTTGATGTCTTGATTATAGCTGGTGACCAACAGGATCAGAGACAGCCAGGAGCAGTGTGTACTTACCATTAATGATAATGTTTAAGGTAATGCAAGGAAATAAAAAGTTTAATTTGCAGTTAACAACTGAGATGGTAGGTTGTCTGTACGTGGTGGGGGGTGGGGGGGCTGGAACAACAATGCACCAAGCCTGGAAGTAAGCTCCATCCCTGGCCGTTTGTGGCAGGTATGCAATTATTTGCTAAATAATGAATCACAGTCTTACCTTTGTTGCTGCATCCACATCAGCACCCAGTTGGATAAGTTGGGAAACAACCTCTACATGGCCTTCCTTGGAGGCCAGATGGAGAGCATTCAACCCATTCTGTAAACAATAATTGAAAACACGGCAATGTCATCAGTGTTTTAAACTAATTCATGAACCAAGTTTCATTGTAGTGTTTTTTTTGTGCGGTGTGGAGGGGGGGGGGGTGGAGTGGAAAGTATTTTACTGACCCATATGACCTGTTTTGCTTAGTACAATTGAATGCATTAGCTGCTGTGATGAAATATTGTGTGTGTACAAGATCTGACTAGAATACTTTATTTCTAGACTTAACCAAAGTTATGTATTCTTTCATTCATAGTACAGTATTTGTCCTGTAATGTATTCTGCAGCATCAGATATAGTGGATAGGTTCATACTAGCAGTTCACTTTCTTTAAGAAGATTATGTATGAAGAGAAAGTGTTTCTTATTGTTTAACATATTGATAGCCTCATCACTACTTTTATACATGTTAACCTTAATGGAAATCTATCTATAATTTCATGGCAGTTAAGCTTTCTTTTTTAAAAAAAATTGGGGAACAGTGGGAGAATCTGCTATGTGCAACGCTGCCCTGTATTTGAGATAGAGAGACAGGGACCAAAAAGGGGGAAGAGAGAGATATTGAGAGGGAATAAGAATATGAGAAAAGCTTTGAATAAAAACAAAAAAGGGAAAAGAGCAAGAGAAAGCGGAAGAGAAGTCAATGAAACAGACAGAGAATGCTGCCAATAAATGCAAGAAAAGCAATGATCAAAATGGAAATAAAAATAAGGACAAGAGAGAAAGAGAAGGGCAACAGAGACTGGAAGGTCAAGGAAAAGGATATATCTCTGAGAGGAAGATACCTCAGGGCTGGCAATGGCACAAAAAAATAACAAAAGATTGAAACAGAATAAACTAAAATTTGAAAGAGAGAAATATATTGAAAGCTAAGTAAAAAGATAGGAATAGAAAAGCTAAAATAACTGATGTACATAAGCTTCCTTTTCCTATGTACTGTACCTTGGCGTGCATTTATTTCCATACCATGGATGGATAAAGTAGAATTGTTTATTTGCTTCTATGCTTACCTTGATATATAGTCACTTGTATACACGAATACAGTACATCAAGAGGAAAACTAATTGTGATGTGGATAATCTAACAGACTTGCAATATTGTGTGCTGTCAAGATCTCAATGGATGGCTCTGTGACTGATATTAGTCAGGTCATAAGATCAACATCATGCAATCTACAGGGATATTCGTTATTTTATGCATATATCCCATAATCAGGAACTTCAGCAGCAATAAAAAGAAGTTCCACATTCTAAACATGTTAGCGCTCTGTTTTGCATTGCTTCAAAGGAAGCGTTTCACCATCTTAGGGAGAGATAACAAGATGAGAAAAATGTTTTTAACGTTGTGATATTTTTGGGAATTTAATGATGCACTAGGGTAAAAATCACATTAAGTGGGAGGTTTGAATCTTAAACACTAGTACATGAGCCAGCACCAGCACATACACAGATGCTGTGAGAGTTTTTGCTTTCACTGAGGAAGCCTACGGTAACAAGGAACACTCCATAGTGCTGAGGAAGGGTGGACGAAGAGCCAAGTGATATTAAGAAAATGTCTGGGTCTGTGCTGGCTCTTTTAAGAGCAATCCTTTTAAGTCCCATTTACCCACCCCACCATTGGCAGGAGAGCCTTCAGCCACTCTGCCCCCAACCTCTGGAATTCCATCCCCTAATCACTCCGCCTCGTCCCCACCTTAGCTTCCTTTGTCCCGCCTCAAGACTCTCCTCTTCGACCATGCCATCGGCCACCCCCCTTCCCCTCCCCCACCTTCTCCCCCCTGACCCCAGCTCAGGTCTGAATTGCTGTACACTGTCCAGCGCCTTGGGACGTCTTCCCGACGTGAAAGGCGTTATACAAATGTAATCTTGTTGTTGTTGTTTATCGAGTTCCCCTTTGAAAGCTCAGAATTATGTACACAATATGGTGAAAGTATTTTCATGGTTTCCTTCAGACAGTCTGGAAATATTCACTGATTAAAACTAGTTAGTTTAATAAATGTTAATTCAACATAAGATTAAAGAGCTCTGTATCAGACGAAGAAGATCAAACTCGCTGCAATGGTCTTGTCATAGGAACTGCTCCTTGTGCTGATGTGGATTCATTTGCAGCTCGCTGCTCTCACTTTGCCATTTGTGCTAATTAGTAAGATTTTCTAAGCATACAAGAATAGTAGATGGCCCTTTCACTGTGCGCTAGTTATAGAACTCCAATTGTAGTCCTGGTCGTCTTTGGCAAAACAAAAACACTGAATAAACAGTATATTACGTAATATTTCAGACTATTTACTGTCTACATTGAGAAATCAATTGAATGTACATTTTCAGCTTGCTTGTAATTCTCTGCATTAAAAGTATCTCCCATTTCACACTGGGGAATATTTAGACCATCACATCCATAATCATCTCCAGAACAATAAAGCTAACTCAACGCAAGGAGAGTGTGATACGGAAATGGTCTGTGCAGATTGTAATGTGGAAATAATGAACATAGCAGCACTTTCATGTTAGAATCAGGGAGAGGCTCAAGCTATAATAACCCCTCAGTCACCTATTCTAACAGAAGACACAATGGAACGCTCATTACCATCAGTTGCTCAATTGGAATCCGTAATTAAAAATAGTCTTTACAGTTAAAAATAGCTTTAGTTACCCAACATAATAAATCTGAACCTTTTAGGTGTTTTTTCTTTGAAATGCATTTAAGGGTGTGAGTCACCGCTTTGATGTCTTGATGCACCTGTTTTACAAACACAGACTTTCATCACAATTTAAAGGTCATTGCTTCCACCAATCTCATTGCAGTATGTAAATAATCCATGTATTAATGAACAATTATGTAACTGTGTCTAATCTAACCTTCAAAATTAACCAAGTTAGGCTGTTTTCCCCGGAGCTCTTATTGAGGTTCCCAAAATGAAAGGGATGAATGAAGAAAATCTCCATCAATCAACGTAAAATTGGCACGAGGGTATAAATTGAGAATTATGACCAGAAGAAAACAGGGAGGTCAGTAGAAGTCTTTTTTCTACACAGGGAGCTGAGGATAGAAATGATAATCTTGCGTTTCAGCGAATTGGGATCCCCAACAAATGTTGTGAAATTTTCTAATCTTTATCTCTCTTTTAAATACCATAGTTATCCTACAAACTGCAAGCTCTGGTTCAAAACTCACATTTCAAGTTTTTTGGTTTCGACATTTGAGGTGTTGCAAAACATTGCTTCAACTAAAATATACATGAAATAGGAAAGTGATAGGCATAAGAATAACTAGATTTTACAATGCATTGCTGAAGATCCATATCTATTGCACAATTTATACAACATTTAAATTTATCCACTGAGTGTCCACAAACCTGGTTGCAAATGTTTATGTCAACTCCAGCTTTGATGTAGTCAAGGGCCTTTTCTAAGTTTCCAGCCCGAGCAGCTCGTAAGTAGCTTGCATTGCTGTCGGTCTATTGGAAGATAGAAAAAATTGTTTAGAAAGGTATTTAACAAAAGAGGCATCTTAACAGAGCAACAGTGACTGCAATCTGTTAATAAACTTCCGCACTTAGTTTTCGTAAGACAAAAATGAAATGAGAAATAGTTTTCTGATTATTACTTTTTGTTTTCTTTCTCGTCTGCTTCAAACGTATGAAGTTTTGGACTAAAGTATATCTTTAGACTACAATAACTGCATATAATACAAAGACAATATAGTGATAGATAGTTACCAGGTCACTTAAATATCTAAATCTACATTGAATGATTGTTTGTGAAGTGAACAGTTAATTCTGCAATTTATATGGAATACATTCTAAGTAGTCATACCTAACACTCTTCAATATATCAGCAAAACTTTCATTTGAAAAAATGTACCATCACACTAACTCCTTGATTGGCGCTATTTGTGTACTTACTAAAAATTATATTATCTGAATATTCATAACTTAACGTTTTAAGTGAATACAGATGTTTTCATTATGAAAGCAGACAATCTTCAGATCAAACACAAAAAACTATTGCTACCTTAGCGAGTCAGTTACCACAGATCGCATTATAGCTAAATGAAATAATAAAGAGCAAGTTGAAACGAGGACAATGCTAAACTTCTAAAAATGAATTTAAAATAACAATAATCCTTTCATTTGACATAGTGCCTTTCACTCAGAAGGGAAGCTTCTCCAGGTGTCCTGGTCAACAATCCCCCAAATAAAATTGGACATTCACTTTCATGGCTGGTTGTGGGACATTGCTGTGCACAAATCTGCTGCCACATTCATCTGCAAATTCACAGTCACTACATCTCAAAGTAAAATCCTGTGAAGTGCTTTGAAATCTCAATAACATGATAAGGTGCTATAATAAATGCATAATAAATTATTATTATTGTCATGCATTATTCACAAATTGCCCCCTTTATATCTGTGTATGGATGGAATGGATAATATTCTCTTAGAATAACCAAAGAGTACCCCGTGCTAGAGTTCTAACAGCTATGTGTATTAAGTCAATAACTTGCTGAAATCTGGAAACTTGAGAAAATTGCTGCTGTCTCACAGTTTTTGCTGATGTACATTGTCAAACAGAATGAATTGTGAAGCCTACTCTGGTCGATATATTCAAAATGGATACTTGGGATACGCATGCTATGTCTCCTGCAGACATGCTGAAAGCTACCTGTGGTGTAGAAGTTGAGTTCAGTGGTAACTGTCACAAGAACAGGAATAGCAGCGGGGGAGAGTGTGGTGTGGGGGCGGGCACCGTGTAATTGTGATCACAAAATCACTGGGGTTCAACCTCAGGCTCTGGAGGCACAGCTCCACTTTTATTCTCACGTATGAAATCTACTTTCAAGATGTCCTGTGAAATTAGGTATCTTCTCAACCTGGGGATAATAATAATAATCCTTGCATTTGATATAGCGCTTTTCACATCTTCTAGACGTCTCAAATTGCTTCACAGAATAAACTGTAAAGTGAATTGACTGTATATTTGTGGGCGAAACAATTGTGCACAGTTTCACAGAATCTAACATCTCAGAGCACTTTACAAAGCCTGGGTCAGAGGCCAAGCAAGAGAGAGAGGAGGTGGCTACAGGCATGGTCGGTCAAAGAGATAGCTTTTTGTAGCATAATATGGTACCCAAATCTTTCAATTGTACAAAAAGATTCCTATATTTATTGAAAGGTAGAGCTCTGTGTTGTACATTTATCTAAACCTGAGTTAACAAGGCTCAGCAGGCTTAATAAGATGGTTTAATGTATTTTTTAATTATTTCGAGTGGAGTTACCGAATCTCTAAGGTGCCATAGTACCTTCTTTTAACATAATACAATGGTGTGTTAGGCTTATCAAAATGTGTGGTCATGCCAATGTTGCACAGTAATAAAGATTGCTGTTATTAATCTTCAGGACAAAATCACAAGAAAGGTGAAAAAATTATTTTAGTCCACTTGAACTCAGCCACCTTATCTTCTTCCCACTGCAGTATCAAATTATTTCTTAAATTGTTTCCAATGTCCTGGGCTCAACCTCCTTCCCTGGTAACCTATTCTAGCTGTTTATTACCCACTATGTAAAGAAATACTTCCTTTCCGTCTTAAACTTGCCCTTCAAAACCCTGAACCAGTGCCTCTTGTATCCTGCCGCCTTGGTATAACACAGTATTATTGTACATTTATTTTCTCTTTCTCACTTATCATCTTACGTACTTCAATAAGTGCTCTCTGAGACATCCCTTTCCAATAAGCTCTAATATATTTAGTAATTCCTCACACCTCATCCCATTAACACTGGAGATCAAATATGCAACATTAGTTCCGTCTTTGGACAGGCATATGATACGTACTTAAACAGTTTATGTTTTCTAATCTGCTGAACCTCATTTCTACTTGCTTTTCTGTGTTTGTCCTGATACCATTTTTTGTTCCCAAGATTTATGATGTTTTAAAAAAACTTCTAATCTGTACCAGTGAGGACCCAGACCAAGAGACCACTAATTGCAACCTGTGAGTTAAAATTGTGTTAAGTCCAGATCTAGTGAACAGAAGCAGCCTAATGAAAAGAATGCCAGCAAAAGATTAATATCAGTTTGCTCACATCATCATTAATATTGTTACTGAATTTTACAAATGTTTCCAATAAGTTATCTGAACAATCCAACTAAAACATAAGTGCTATATAAATGGCACTAAAATTACTCCAAAACAAAGTTCTTGCTGCTTTCTGGGAAACAAACAATTACATAACATAGGAAATTCTGGACGAAAAAAAGACCATGGCCCATCTTGCTCTAATCTGAAAGAGACAACTTATTCTATTCATTCAATGAATCGGAGACAATAGATTCTATAACCTTCAAGCCATGAAACATTGAGCTAGCAAAGTGAATCATGGAGTTTTCTATTTTTAAAAACCTATTCCAACCTAAATATAGTACCTAAGTGCTTATGTACATCAGAGTGGGTCCAGCCTTTTATTTCCTCTTTGCTATTACACATAGCCAATGGCAGAGAAGAGTCCCTTTGTTAGTTTTTTTTTTGTTCCATTTTTGTTAAAAGTTGCCAACAAGAAAACAACTCCAGTACAGTGATGGTTTTATATGCAATGGGTCAGCACAAGGCCAAAATTCTAGCTCAGGGGCTAGAATATGTATTCACTGCTCCAGAGAATTGGATACAACTGTTTCCTCGGCACACAATTTGAAATCAACCATAATTACATTGAAAAGATGGAAACTGTTTATGCTATAACAAATAACCATGCAAGTGAAGGTTTTACACAAAGGGAAGCAACAAATGTTCAGCTGTTAGTGGGGAACTTTCAAGTGTCGCTAGAGGGAGAGATAGTAGTCTGACACAATACAGCACAGACGTTTATTTGCAAAAGCATAATAATAATAATATTCTAATGCACTAGTCTATTAGGGGGAAAAAACACTCATTATCTACTCTTTGCCCCTCCCCGAGACATTTCTTAATTGTAGTGTTTAGCTTTTTCTCATCCGAACATTTAAACAGTTGGGTGAAATAACGTGAAATACTATATTCACTTGTATTACTTCATTGCAAATAAAGAATTAAATTAATATCACTGTGTTGAAATCAAAGTTCATTGCACTCTTTCTCTCTCAACTCATATTGTCTTGGAATTTCAAGATTGTGGAACTTCCCTTCTTTGTACAATTTATAGTTTTAAAACCCAAGCTTATTGTCACTGAGCTATTACCCCTGAACTTCCCTGATTTTCTTTCCTACTTTGGTGGAGTCCTGTCATAAGATTCTTGGCTCTATTTAATAGGATTTGCAACATTCTCTTTTTCTATACATTCCAAGAAGTGAGAGGGCTTTTCAGTTTAATGTACACACACGTGTTTTACAGAACTTCTACAAGTCAGTTACCTGGGAGACTTTGAAAAGAAATGACATCTCAATCTATGTTGATGTCTGCATTTATAGCACTAAACAAATACTGTACATTCAATAAATAACAACATCACCATGAACTTTTTATATTACAAAACCTTAATCAATGTTTAATGTTTTAAAACCTGGAGATACACAGTCACTACACCACTCTCTGTCAAACACTTTGAAATGTCTTGCAATCGGTGCTATATCAAATACAAGAATTATTCTTATAATGGTTATAACAATGTTATAAGGAATATTGATGAAGAGAGATACGTTCAGCGCAATGATATTTTGCACAATAATTTAACACATTTGACATAGTGCATGTACTGATTCATGTGATATTTTATTTCTGATCAATGTTACTTGTTTAAAGCTTTACGATTTATTTTGATTGTAAGCTCATTTTAAAGTCTTCACCTGCAGCTGTTGTTTTGTCACCCACCAAGCACAACGAGTGTGAGCTGGCAATAAACAATGTGAACAGAATGTTGGTCTAAAACGAATAGATCAGCTGAGTCAATTCCTCAGAAGCCATCCTGACATTGTACAATACTGCGGTTACACTATACCTGGAATCCCACATGTTGAGACATCGTTCTCACATTTATACTACACAGTGGAGCTGCCAAATCTCCTGCCGGGAAGAGTCAAGTCAAGCAAAGGCTTTCAGTGAGACACAACATCTGGCTCTGCAGTGGGTTCTCAAGCACAGTTTTGCAACTGATTTCAGAAACAACCCGAGAACAGGTCCCCATACATTCAGTACAAGATGGTGTGTGTGTGTGTGGAGGGGGGGTGGGGGGGTTGGGGGGGTGAAGGGTTCAACGTAAAAGTGAGTGGAAACCATAAAAAGTTGGAATCTCACCCTCAGGAATGTTCATATAGAATTGGACGGACAACATATCTTTGGATAAAAGAAATGAAGAATTGGTTCTAATTTCAGTTGTAGATATTGATTAAATAGGCAACTTTGTATGTCTTTGGGGGCAGAGGGGAACATCAGTCATTCACGAGGCAAAATGTTGCTCAGCAATGGCGGTCTATGTGGAAAAAGTC